TTCTTTTAGTGGTGAGGATAAAGAAGCATTGCAGAAGCCCTTCTTACACATTCCAAGGAAGGATGAAGGGTTTGCAAGCTATAGATAAGGTTATCACCCTCGACAAAGCTCAAAGACTGCGACATTGAGCGTGATGGTTCAGTGACAGAAGTAAGATGTGAGAATGGTCAGAGGGATACAAGGACTGAAGTGCAACATTTCTGCATGGACAGCATTATACCAAATACTATCAGATGATTCAGAACACTTTTCTGTATAGAAAAGTTTCATTGGTGGATGTCAAGCCATGCTTGATAAAGGCTTTGTAGCCTAGGATCTTCTTCATTTCCTGAGGAAACCATGGCAGCAGCCCACAGTGCTCCATGCCAACATGAACAGGGGGCAAAGAAAATATTTCTTGCATTGCAGGGGGTTGGACTAGATGACCCTCGGGGCCCCTTCCAGCAATACAATTCTATGATGACCAAAAGTTGCGATAATGAAACATTTCTTCCTTTTGTCTGATGAGCACTGCTTTCCATAGTGGTCATGGCAGGCATCTAGGAGAGAAAGTACATTTGCCCCACCAGAAGAAAACCTACAGAAAGACTCTAAAATGATGCAGCAGAAGTCAGCTTCCTCAGCAAGGAAGTGCAAAGAAGAGGGAAAGAGACTTGCCTGCCCCCACCCTCAGTCATTCCCAGCTGAGCAACTAGCCTCTTCCAGGCCATGACTTTAAGAACAGCAGAAGCAGCTGGGAAGGGAGAAGAGGAGTTGGGGGGTAGTTTTATAAGTTGTATGTCTTGGTTTCTCAGTTTGATCCTTTTAAGCCACTTCCGCCTTGAGGAGGAGGTGGGGTTGCGAGCTTCACAGCCCCTCCATGTGTGCAGGGGGTGGGAGGCCGGCCCCTGGCGACTGGATGATTCCCGGCTGCGTCCCCCCCTAGCCAGCCAATCGGGTTGGTCCGGGGGTGTGGCCTGCCCCATAAAGGCAGGACACAGCTGGAGATCTCCCTCTTTTCTGCCTTCCAGCTGCTCCGGTTTCCCCCCCTTTAAGGTTTTCTTTTCTTTGACCTTGCTATGGACTTCGGTTGGTTGCCGTTGAGGGGCCTGGTAGGAATTTTTCCACTTAGCAAATTGGCACCAGCCACTTGGTTTTCGCCTACCTCATAGCACATTGTCACAACTTTCTGGATATTGGCGGTTAGGCATTGGAATAGTTCTGTAGATGGAAAGAGGGGAGGTAGCGCCATCACCTGTCCCGCATATTGAAGGGTAGTCCGTTAAAGGATTCCTGGGGGCGTGGCCCTGTCCGAAGCCTAGGGAGGTTAGGGCCTAAGGCCTGCCCCCTATCGGTGACTCTGGGGGAGCTCCTAGTTGATATTTAAAATATCCTAGTTTTGGGAGTTAATTTTATCATGTACTATTGTATTCTAAAAGATTACTGAATATTACTTTATTTAATAGAAGTCATTCCATTTTTAAAGTTATGTTTTATTATGACTTTTTGCATTGGATCAAATTATTGTTGGATGTGTGTTCTTTGTTGTATATTTTGTTGCTGTAGATCGCCTTGTGTATAGTAATGCAGAAAGGTCGTGTACAAATTAAAAGTGAAATGAATTGACAATGTCTAGAAGATAGGGCACAACAGCAGCCAGCGAATGAGGGGTCAAACACTGAGGCAGTCTTGTACTGTTGTTGAACTGCCCTGGACAGGCTTGTGCAGATATAGGGAGTATAAGAACATAGACCAAAAAGCTGCGAGTCCATTCAGGAATGCTCTGTCCCATGAGACTAGGGCCCTGCAGGATTTAACCTCCTTCCGCAGGGCCTGTAAGACAGAGCTATTCCGCCTGGCTTTCAATTTGAATTTAGCCTGATATTTTATTCCCCTCCCTTCCTCCCCCTCTCCACTCGGATTACCCACTCGGGGACCCCACAGCTAATTCTCCCCTGGCCTCCTTGCTGGCCCAAATAGGAGTAATTTAGCCAGCTAGCCCTGGTGACTATTTAATGTTTATTGGATGGATTTCCCCCTAAATTGATTTTTGAACTTTGAATTTATTGTTATTCATGCTTTTATACTGTATTTTATGCTGTTTTTTGTTGTATCACAATTAAGTGTTTTAAATTTGTTGTTAGCTGGCCTGAGCCCGGTTTTCTGAACCAGGAAAGGCGGGGTATAAATAAATAAAAATTATTATTATTATTACAGTGGTACCTTGGGGTTACATACGCTTCAGGTTACATACGCTTCAGGTTACAGACTCCGCTATCCCAGAAATAGTGCTTCAGGTTAAGAACTTTGCTTCAGGATGAGAATAGAAATCGGGCTCCGGCGGTGCGGCAGCAGCAGGAGGCCCCATTAGCTAAAATGGTGCTTCAGGTTAAGAACAATTTCAGGTTAAGTACGGACCTCCGGAACGAATTAAGTACTTAAACCGAGGTACCACTGTATTCACAAGGATGCATATCTGCTGAGACTGACTTTGATTGGATAGTTTGAGTTTGGGGAGGGAAATTTAAAATATACTTTTGTTGACTTGGGGGGGGGAGCATTGGGAGCTAGAGCATTCCTGAGCTGGGTGTCAATCTGCTCCTTGAATGGAGTAAGGAAGAGCCTCAAAGAGCTGGGAACTGCTTTGCCCCCAGAGTGAGTGTGTGTGCATGCATGCGCACACATGTATGTGGGGTGGGAGTCTGTGGTCTAACCCATTACTGTGCCATGCAGCTATTTTATCTAATACTGTGAATGTCTTCTTTTTCAAGCAGATACCAATTTTGTCCTGGGCAATGCCCAGATAGTGGATTGGCCCATTGTGTACAGCAATGATGGATTTTGCAAGCTCTCGGGATACCACAGAGCAGAAGTTATGCAAAAAAGCAGCACCTGCAGGTATTTCAGGGCAGATTTGCTTTCCGTTCGGTAACTTGCAAATGTTGCTTTGTTCTTGCTCGGGTTGAATGAAAACAATCTGATCAGCCCACTGTTCAGTTTAATCTTCCCCAGGCTGTGGAAACCACAGCTGCATTTTGTGGCTGAGAGAGCAGGACTTATTCAAGAGGGAGCTTTTAGGGTAGGGATGAGGAACCTGTAGACCTTTAAATGTTGCTGGGCTCCATCTCCCAGCCACCCCAGCTAGCATGGCCAAAAGCCAGGGGTGATGGGAGTTGTAGTTTAACAGCATCTGGAGAGCCCCAGGTTCCTCATCAAGAGTGTTAGATAATGTGCAGGTTCATCATGTTTGGCACCAGTAAATCACACAGGAAGGATACCAAACATGAAACTAGCAAGATCAAAATGGTTGTGGCACTTCTGTATTCTCTCCTTCTTTTAAGGTACAGTCATATCTCGGGATAAATGTGCTTCAAGTTAAGTATTTTCGGGTTGCGCTCCGTGGCGACCCAGAAGTAATGGAGCGCGTTACTTCTGGGTTTCACCACGCGCGCATGCACAGACGGTCAAAATGATGTCCCACGCATGTGTGGAAGCGGCGAAACGCGACCCGCGCACACGCAGACGTGCGGATGCGGGTTGCGTTCACTTCAGGATGCAAACGGGGCTCTGGAACGGATCCCGTTCGCATCCCAAGGTACCACTGTACTTAGCCAGACAATAAAAAATATTCCATTTTGTACTCACAGCAATCTTGTGGGTACGTTAGTTTGAGAGGCCTTGCCTCACCCAAGGCTGCCTAGATAACTAAACTGGAAACTGCACCCAGGTTTCCCTTGTCAAAGTCCAAAATTTCGCTTACTACACTGGTGGCCTTCAAGTCATGACCCATGCTCTTCATGCTCTAAGGTAGTTTGAAACATTGTCATGCTGGCATTTTTTGTGTGCAAACAATTTGGGATGAATGGTCGACAAACTGGCCATCTAGGAATGAGGCTGGCTCCTGTCTGAAAACTACAATTCCCAGGGTTAATAACATAGGAAAAGCCATCTAGATCAATGGTTCATCTAGTCCAGGATCCTGATCTCACAGTGGCCAACCAGATGCCTATGGAACATCCTTAAGCAGAACCTGTGCATTCTTACATCCTGTGGTTTCCAGCATCTGGTGTTCAGGAACATGGCTACTGCCAATGACTAGGCAGAACATAGTCGTCATGGCTAGTAGCCATTGATAGCCTTTCCCCGGTTTCCCGAGAAGAAAAATGTTAAAAATGTGCAGGCACACACACACACACACACACACACACACACACGTACAGAGGGAGAGAGAAATGGTGCAACAAAAAGAAGAGAATATAGTGTCGGGGACTGTGCTGCACAGATGAGGAATGGTGGGAGCTTCCCCCTCTCCCTGCTCCTGATCAGGATTCTGAATCTTCCCAGGAGCAGTGGGAGAGTATAGATTTGGAACTGCGGTTAGCAGAGGGACATAGTTCAGAAGACAAAAGTTTGGAGGAACTGGGGGGTGAACAGCTAGGAGAAGAAGAACAGAGAGAGAGAGAGAGAGAGAGAGAGAGAGAATATTAACAGACTCTGGTTTGCTGGAAAGTGTCCAGCTGTCCAATCCAAGGTCAAGGAGATTAGATAGGGTAGCTGCACAGAAGGCACGGTGGTTGCGAGATCAGGTTGCAAGCGGCGGAAGTAACTAAGGGGGAAGTGGGTGGAAACCTTAATTGGGAGCACCTTTACTCTGAGATGGACTCTTTGTTCTTGAGCTGGGATCATTAAAATCTCTTTAAATGGTAAGAGACAATTTTTGCTTTGTTCTGCTTATCCACAGCCAAAGGGAGGGAGGAAGCCACTCTCCCGAAGCCTGATATATAGTAAGCTGCTTTTTTTTAAATAAAAAAGTCCAAATGCCGACATGTTTCAAACAAAAGTATCTTCTTCATGGGAATAGTTAGTGTCAACAAACAAGCCCCAGGGGCTAGGTATGCAAATCCTACTGAGAGTACCCTAATAACCATTAATACATTTTTGTAAATGTCTTGTTGTGTCAATATGCCTTGCCTGTGACTGCCTTCTATCTTTGAACGCTTTTCCACTTTCCCTGCAGTTTTATGTACGGAGAGCTGACTGACAAAGACACCATAGATAAAGTTCGGCAGACGTTTGAGAACTACGAGATGAACTCCTTTGAAATCTTGATGTACAAGAAGAACAGTAAGTCAGGTTTTTCACTCACCTTTCAACAGGGCCACGTTGAAACCAGAAATGCAGGCAGGAGAGCAGATCATGAGATGTGGTTTAACAAGACATCATCGCTGCTACAGGAATGGCACTGGGAGTACTATTTCCCCCTGCCCTTTCCTTGGCACTAACAAGTTTTCAGGAGGAGGGAGTGATGAGAATTATACCTTTACTTGGAGTACAGTAACAGGATTGCCAATAATGATGTATCGTCAATTGTAACTGGAAGCATCATTGAGTGCAAGTAAACAATCTTTTTATGGAGTTTGGATACCTGACTAATTACAGCAGCCATCACCAACCTGGTGTCCTCAATGCAGACATTGTTGGAATACAAATCCCATCAGCCCCAGGCAATATGTGCTGGTCTTTTACCTCCAGATACTGCTGGACTACAACTCCCATAATCCTTGACCTCTGGCCTGAGGCTGATCTGGAGGGTTGCAGATTCCCTACCCCTGTTTTAAGGGATGGGTATTAAGCATGGTAGACAAGTTGTCTTTTGGCCATTAGTGATCTTCTTATTGAAGAAATCCCGATATGGTGCTGCAGAATCCCAGCATTCTCCAAAACACAGATTTAAAAGCCTAATCCCAAGCCTAGCCTTTAATTTATCCTGGCCTTTGATATCTGAAACACATCCCATTTTTTGTGATTGCATTCTCCCCCCCTTCCCCCCTTTTTTCTTTTATGATTATTACTTTGTAAGAATAAGAATCTTATTTTTTATTCTTTTATTTTGACAAATTAATAATCATAAATAAATAAGAATAAAAATGTGCACCCCACCACCGAGACCATTCTGTTGTAACTATTAAACCTCCCAAAATTTCATTACCTCTTGTGATAGTTTGACCCCGTTTCCGTTTTAAGTTGTAGCCCACACTGGCACCTTAGGGTGAAGAGGGGGTAATAAATTAAAATCATTACCATCATTATCATCTGAAGGACAGGGGACATTTATTTTATTTGGGTCTTCCAGCTTCCTCCCACGGGAGGCACTGATGGCCACCAACTTGGATGGCTTTAGAAGAGGATTAGACAAATTCATGGAGGACAGTGCTATCAATGGCTACTAGCAATGATTGTTATCCTCTGGCTCCACTGTCAAGAGACATTATGCCTTTGAATGCCAGTTACAGTGGTACCTCGGGTTACATACATTACATACACTTCAGGTTACAGACTCCGCTAACCCAGAAATAGTACCGTGGCGTGGCAGCAGCAGGAGGCCCCATTAGCTAAAGTGGTGCTTCAGGTTAAGAACAGTTTCAGGTTAAGAACGGACCTCCGGAACGAATTAAGTACTTAACCCAAGGTACCACTGTACTGGGAACTGCAAGTAGGAAGAGTGCCATTGCCCTCAAGTTCTGCTCACAGGTTTCCCATGGGCATCTAGTTGGCCACTGTGAGAAGAGAATGTTGGACTAGATGGGCCACTGGTCTGATCTAGCAAGGTTCTTCTTGTGTCCTTCCTGACTGCAAGCCTTAGTGTTGGCAATCTGGTTGCTTGTCTGTTTTCAGAGACTCGGCGTGCTCTTACAAGGACCGAATAATGCCTCCCTACCCGATCGTTGCCTCGCTTGTCATCTTTTATTCATGTTCAGCTTGTTCCCTTCCTGCCTATTATAGTACAGCCTGAAGTACTGCTCCTTCTGAGACAGGATTCTGCTCGGGGCAGTTTTGCAGCACAAAGTGGCCAGCACTAATCTGTAGGAAAGGATAAGAGCACTGGGAGAACCACTCAGATTCGTTGGACTCCTTTTGTTCCGTACAGGGATGTACACCCCACCTGAAGTTTCAGGGCTACCTGGAGGTGTCAGGGATTGAACCTGGGACCTACTGCAGGCAAAACAGATGCTCTGCCACTGAGCTGTGGGCCTGGATAGCTCAGTTGGTTAGAGCATAGTGCTCTAACCATAGTGCTCTAACCATAGTTTAGAGGTCCCGGGCCCTAAGGAAGTCAGACTATCCTCCACCAGGGCCAGGGCCTTTTCAGTGATGGCTCCAACCTGGTGGAATGATCTGTCCCATTAGACTAGGGCCCTTCAGGATTTAACCTCCTTCCGTCGGGCCTGTAAGACAGAGCTATTCCGCCTGGCCTTTAATTTGAATTCAGCCTGATCTTTTATTTCCCTTCTCTTCCCTCCCCCTCCCCTTTTATGAAGATCACCCACTCTGAGACCCCACAGCTAATTCTCCTCTGGCCTCCTTGCTGGCCCAAGTAGGACCAATTCAGCCAACTAGCCCTGGGGATTATCTAATTGATTTTTTATTTTTATTGTTATTCATGTTTTTATACTGTATTTTATGCTTCTATTATAGTTAAGGGTTTTAAAGTGTTTTAAATTTGTTGTTAGCCACCCTGAGCCTGGTTTTTGAACCAGGAAGGGTGGGGTATAAACAAAAATTTATTATTATTTATTATGATAACACCAAGGTTGCAGGTTCGATCCCCACACGGGACAGCTACATATTCCTGCATTGCAGGGGGCTGGACTAGATGATCCACAGGGTCCCTTCCAACTCTGCAGTTCTATGATTCCCCACAAGTCCTGTTGGTGTTAGTTTAAATCTATTGCACTCCCCCACCCCCAGAACTCATTTAAAAGCGTACTAAAGAGACAACCAACCGATACATCATTTCAAAAGAGCTGTTGGGCTGAAGACTTATTTTTCTTCTTTAACCACTTTTCAGATATTTCTAGTTCAACAGAGTAACCTCAGCCCTTTCTGATTCTTCCTCGGGGGAATGAAATAGGATTTCTTCATCTTAACATGTAGCGTTCTAACCTATTGACCCTCTTCTCAGCCAGCCCACGGATGGGTTCGATGGTAGACAAGCGTGAAGGAAGAAGCCTTTTAAGACGCTGGAAATGGCTTTGCTGGGTCTATCAGCCTAACCGCACTATGCTTTCCTCCCGGGAAGCTGTGAAGGGCCAGCCCCCCCCCCCGCTTCTCACTATGTGTTCTGCTTGCTAGGATGGAGCAGTCAGTACCCCGCAGAATTTCCGGTGCATTAATCTTAAAAGCAGTCGGTCAGATGCAAGAGATTTCGCTCGGCTTATGTATCTAAAAACTTAGTTATCGCCCGCATGGCCTGCCTAACCCATCCCTATCGGAGACACTCGACTTGCTCACTAATGAATCCTGGGCAGAATGCGCAGCTTCCTGCCTCATGTACAGCAGCAGCATTAAAAATGAATAGTGTAATATTGACTGAGGGAGTTTCAAAGGTCAGCTGTAACTATTATGTAACCAAAACTCAGCCGTCTGCTTTGCCATAGCCAGTAATTAAAGGAGAGGTGACACATGCCTAGCTTTCATAGCAGGCCTGGTGTGTAGCTGGTATATCTGGCTGGGGTAGCATTTAGTGCAAGCCTATACATGTCTATTCAGAAGTAAGCCACACTGAATTCAGTGGGACTTACTCCCAAGTAAATGTGATTTAAAGGGAGGGTGGGAGGCTTATAGAATTGTTGAGCTGGAAGGGACCCTGACGACTATCTAGTCCAACCCCCTGCAATGTAGGAATATGCAGCTATCCCACACAGGGTTCAAACCTGCAACCTTGACATTATCAGCATCACACTCTAACCAACTGAGCTATCCAGGCTTGGGGAAGCTGGGTAGGTGGGAGGTGGTTTGAGGTGTCTGAACAAGCCAGGAATTCATCTGTTGCTCTGGTGTTTAGCCAAGTCATAGAATTATTTTATTTTTATATTGTAATTATTAGTACCAGCTGATGGCTTGCCTTCTAAGCCGCTGTCTCAAGGCGTGTTGCATATAAGATAATTGTAAATGGTTAAAAGCAACAAGTATATTTAAAACAAGGCGAAAACCCTAACAAGCAGGAAAGACCCAGCCGGGGAAGCCTGTTGGAATAAAGCAGTCTTCATTTGTTCCCAGAAAGTGCAGATAGTGGGCACCTCTTGTATTTCAACAGGAACACTGTTCCACAGGACAGGGGCAGCCACACTGAAAAGCCCTCCTCCAAGTTCAGTGGAGTGAGCTTCTGAGATCTTTAGAACTCTCCTGCCGACGGCAGTGATCTGCTCTGTATGTAAAAGATAAGACGGTCTCTCATGTAACCCAGTCCTGAGCTTCATACAGCCTTATATGTTAGTTATACAGTCATACCTCGGCTCCCGAACGCCTTGAGAGTTGAACGTTTTGGCTCCTGAACGATCAAAAACTGGAAGTCAATGTTCTGGTTTTCGAACATTCTTTCAGAAGCCGAACATCCGGCGGGGCTTCTGCGGCTTCCGATTGGCTGCAGGAGCTTCCTGCAGCCAATCAGAAGCTGCACTTCGGAAGTCGAACATTTCATAAGTCAAATGGACCTCTGGAACTGATTCTCTTCGACTTCTGAGATATGACTGTATGGGCCTTATATGTCAGCCCCTTGACTTTGGCCCAGTAGCTGATTGGCAGACACTGTAAATCCTTCAGGGTCTTATGCACCTGTGGTAATTCGCTCCCATGAGCAATTTAGCCACCACATTCCACAGCAGCTTCAGCCTTTGGAGAAACCCCAGGCTGGCCCTACATATTTATTTGCTTTTTTAAAAGATAATAATCTTGCTTTTCAGACGATTGCTTTCTCCCAAAGTGGCTAATGCCAAGGAGAAGGATACTGGAGGGAAAAGGGAAGTCTGTTTTTAAGGCCAGAACAAACTGCTGAGCTATCATTTTGTGAGGAGGCATTTTTATCCATGCCGATCTCCCCTTGCTGATGTCCTTGCCTGAATAGCAATTGATGGCCCTTGTTCCTTTGAATGATGGATGGGGCCAGAATGCCCTTGCTTCTTGCATCTGCGGTCCCAGGGCAACTGTCAGTCAGAGCAGAGTGTTCTTCTGGTCAAAGAGCAGAGGGAAGTGGTCTCCCTGCAGCTGCTCCTTCTTTGGCTGGTGGAAGTTGGTCTCCATCTTGCTGTGACGTTCTTCTTAGGAGGCAGGAGTGGAACCTCATAGTCACCTTAGTGCCCTGGCTGATGGTAGGTGGGGGTAGAGTGTGCTGCCTTCAACTCTGTGGCCCCAGGGAAATTTTAAAGCTTTAAAGCTCACCTCGACTCTGAGGCGAACTTTATGACCCCTCCAAACCTTATATCCAAGCTTCGCGAGTTTTCCCAACGTTCCTCTCTAAACTGAGCCGAAACAGGGTTATGTAATGTGAGACAGGCATCATAATTTATACATGTTGTGATGATTTTCTTGGGAAGGGAATCTGGATCAGCTGCCCTGAGCGGTGTATTTACACTAGAACGGTGGGATATGAATGCTCTAGTAAACAAATAAAATAAATTATGTCAATGCAGACTATCTGTTCGTTTCATGGAGAGTATACACAGTCTAGGCTATGTGATTACGGTATTTGTTGCACCCAAAGACCGCCCCCCCAACAATTGCATTTCAACAGTGACCTCAATTTCTGCATTTTGTGACTGGTTGCAAACAGATCCATTCTCTCTCTCTCTATATATATATATAAAAGAGAGTTGAAAGGAGCAACATAGCACCATTATTTCCCTTGATGAACATCCTTCTTTCTTTTGAACTACTCTGGCCTCCGTTCAAAGAAGGTTTGCATGCTTTTGAAGCAAAACCAAAATTCTCATTCCTTCTCTTGAAATGTTGGACTTCTTGCAGGTAGTAGAATGCCAGGATTCCAATGGGAAAAGGTGGGGGCAGGGAGGGGGCTTACTTCTTTTATTGCATCCTTGTACTGCTGTTTTGTTGTTAGCCGCCCTGAGCCCGGCTTTGGCTGGGGAGGGCGGGATATAAATAAAATTTATTATTATTATTATTATTATTATTATTGATCATCAGAAGTACAGGAATGTGCTTCCGCTGACCAACCAAACTAACCAAATCAATGAAGATATCTGCATCATTGGAAATCTAATTTACAGATGGGAACTGCAACGAAAAGTTGCAGCATGGAGTACTTCCTGTTCAGGATTCCAGCCACTCCGTTCTCATTTCCCCCAGTTTCCCATTCCCTCTCTCTCACTGACAGCGAGCATTCTATAGCCGCTTACTATGCTCAGTTCTCATTGGGTTTGGGGTGGGTGTGTTCCACTCCCCCTTCGGGTTTCCCCCCCTTAATATTTTGCATAGTTCTGCAAATGCCAAGTTTTCCTCAAGCCTGCTTAAACCTTCCTCTTGTGCAAAGATTGTGCTGATTTGATGTGGGAGCTGTGGCTGGCTAAGGGGGCCGAGAGCTATTCGAAGACTTCCCCTCCCAGAACTACAGTTCCCAGAGTTTCTTGGGCAGAAAGTCTGATTCTTAAACCACTCTGTGAATTGTAACTCTGTGAGGGAAGTAAGGAGGAGTTTGGATTTGATATCCCGCTTTATCACTACCTGAAGGAGTCTCAAAGTGGCTAACATTCTCCTTTCCCTTCCTCTCCCACAACAAACACTCTGTGAGGTGAGTGGGGCTGAGAGACTTCAGAGAAGCGTGACTGGCCCAAGGTCACCCAGCAGCTGCATGTGGAGGAGCAGGGAATCAAACCCAGTTCACCAGATTACGAGTCCACTGCTCTTAACCACTACACCACACTGGCTCTCCCAGTCAATAAGGGTCAATAACTCTCAGTACCCTCAACACACTACAACTCCCAGGATTCTTTGGGGGAAGCCATGGCTGTTAAAGTGGTATAATTGTGATTTAGATGTGTGGTGGGGCTCCCTGGGGCTTGGTGGGCCTCACAGAGAGTAGTCAAAGGGTGAATGTGACCTGTGGACCACATGCTGTCCACTGATGCTGTACAAGTTACTGAGAAGTAAGCCCCATTGAATTCAATGGGACACATTCCCAGGTAAGTGGGTATATGTTTGCAGTCAGTTGTTTCTGCTGTTCTGCTGCCACCATATAACCTTTTGTCCTTCTGTTTGTTTGCTGAAGCAATGCCTCTCCCCGTAAAACAATATGGTTGGCATGCTATACAGCTTTTATGTCATTGACCAGTTTTTTGTGTGTGTTGTTTTTCCCCCCAGGGACTCCTGTTTGGTTCTTTGTGAAAATTGCTCCAATTCGAAATGAACAGGACAAAGTTGTTTTGTTTCTTTGCACGTTCAGTGACATAACAGCTTTCAAGCAGCCAATAGAGGATGATTCGTGCAAAGGTTTGTTCTTGGCTCTTTATTTTTTGGGGGGGAACACAAATGCATATTTTAAATATATACAGTGGTACCTTGGTTTGCAACCGTTTTGGATTACAACCATTTTGGATTACAACCACATCAAACCCAGAAGTACTTGTCCCTTTTTTTGGATTACAACCCTTTTTGTTTTTGTTTTTTAAATAATATTTATTATTTTTCCAAAAACTTAAACACTAAAAAGACAATACAATACAACACATCAAATTAACAAAACAAAACAAAAACAATAAAATAAATCAAACAATTTCATTATCCCATCTTTCATTCACTTGTTTCCACGACCTCCTCACACCTCCCTTTTTGTATTCTACTTCTGTTAATTATTTCCGCAATTCCTTTCCATCTTCCTCTGTTTTCTATCCTATAATTATCTTAATTCGTTCTAACCTTATTTTTCCTTTAATGCTCTATTAACCTATCTGTACTTAATTCCTTATAACATTTCTACTAAAGCCATATAACTTCATTCCAACATTTTTCTAACATTCATTAATTTTACAGTATTTCTGTAAATAGTCCTTAAATTTTTTCCAATCTTCTTCCACTGACTCTTCTCCCTGGTCTCGGATTCTGCCAGTCATTTCCGCCAGTTCCATATAGTCCATCAACTTCATCTGCCATTCTTCCCGGGTGGGTAAATCTTGTGTCTTCCTATACTTCGCGATGAGTATTCTTGCTGCTGTTGTTGCATACATAAAAAGTTCTATCCTTCTTTGGCACCAATTGGCCGACCATGCCCAGGAGAAAGGCCTCTGGTTTCTTCAGGAAGGTATATTTAAATACCTTTTTCATTTCATTATAAATCATCTCCCAGAATGTCTTAATCCTTGGGCATGTCCACCAAAGGTGAAAGAATGTGCCTTCAGTCTCGTTACATTTCCAACATTTATTTTCGGGCAAACGGTAAATTTTTGCAAGCTTGACTGGTGTCATGTACCACCTATAAATCATTTTCATTAAGTTTTCTCTTAGGGCATTACATGCCGTAAATTTCATACCTGTGGTCCATAACTGTTCCCAGTCAGCGATCATTATGTTATGTCCAACATCTTGTGCCCATTTAATCATAGCTGATTTCACCGTTTCATCCTGAGTGTTCCATTTCAACAGCAGGTTATACATTTTTGACAAATTCTTAATTTTTCACAACCCTTTTTGTTTTTGGAGGCCCCATTGGTGAAAGCACGCCTTGGGTTACAACCTATTTTGGTCTCCAACCGGACCTCCAGAACAGATTATGGTTGTAAACCAAGGTACCACTCTATATATTCTGGTTTTTAAAAATTCAGCGTAACCTAATTTCGCATAGATTTCTTTGCTCTGTCCATAGAATTATTAAGAATCAGACTGAAGTAACTACAAATCAATGTATTTGTTAAAAGCCTTTATAATGCTGAGTGTGGTTAGGAGACCCCTAGTTTCCTCCCAAAGCTACAATACCCAGAGTTCCCAAAGAAGAGGGAATGATTGACCTAATAATTCTCAGGAGCTTCAACAAACTTCAGCTCCCAGAATCCTTTGGGGGAAGCCATGACTGATTAAAGTCGTATCACAGTGCTTCAAATGTGTGGTGCAAATGTGGCCTTAAGAGAATAATGGGGAGGGACTATAACACTGCAGGGACGTGGGTGGCACTGTGGGTTAAACCACAGAGCCTAGGACTTGCCGATCAGAAGGTCAGTGGTTCGAATCCTCGCGACGGGGTGAGCTCCCATTGTTCGGTCCCTGCTCCTGCCAACCTAGCAGTTCAAAAGCACGACAAAAGTGCAAGTAGATAAATAGGTACTGCTCCGGCCGGATGGTAAACAGCGTTTCCGTGCGCTGCTCTTGTTTGCCAGAAGCGGCTTAGTCATGGTGGCCACATGACCCAGAAGCTGTACACCAGCTCCCTCGGCCAATAAAGTGAGATGAGCGCCGCAACCCCAGAGTCAGCCACGACTGGACCTAATGGTCAGGGGTCCCTTTACCTTTACCTTTACCTTTACCTTTATAACACTGCAAGTGGACATGCCATGGTTGGCCTCTGAGACCCCTGCAGGGCCCACCAACTCCATTGAAACATTTCTCCATTGAACCAGGAGCATCCCTTTAAAACTTTTCTGGCACTGAGAGAAAAGGGCCTCTGCTGATGTTTTCAAGGAGCCACCATTTAAATTTCCTCACAGTGTCCTCTGGTCTGCTCCTGGCATAGCATCGCTCCTGAGATACACTGCAGCAAAGCCAGCTGTGCAGCAATTAAATAGCTGCCCAGTAAAGGAGGCAGCAGTAGCCTGGCCCACCTCACAGTGCCTCCAGGATCTGTTGCTGCCATTCACCCCACCACCACTCCCACTGACCTCTGGGCTGCATGAATTGGGAGAAGGAAAGAGCAAGTAGGTGCCTAGCAGTTATGTGTGTGTCTGTGTGTCCCTGTGTGGTGGGGGAGCATTCAGCAACGGGGAGCAGGGAGAGACACTGACAGTGGGGGGAAATGTGCACACCTGACTATCCATCAGGGTGGAGAGGGAGAGTGACCACAGCCATGGGAAATGCAGCATATGACATTTCCCAAGGCTACCTTAAACCAGGAATTGGTCCTGCATGAATAATAATCATAATAATCATCATCATAATAATAATAATAATAATAAATTTATATCCCACCCATCTGGCTGGGTTTCCCCAGCCACTCTGGGCAGTTCACAGCATATATAAAAACACAACAAAACATCAAATATTACAAAACGGAATAGTCTATACAGGAAACAAACAAACTAATAAATTAATAAAGGACCCCTGACCGTTAAGTCCAGTCGCAGACGACTCTGGGGTTGCAGCGCTCATCTTGCTTCACTGGCCGAGGGAGCCGGTGTTTCTCCGCAGACAGCTTCCGGGTCATGTGGCCAGCATGACTAAGCTGCTTCTGGCAAAACCAGACCAGCGCATGGAAACGCTGTTTATCTTCCCGCCGGAGCGGTACCTATTTATTTCAAACTGCTTTCAAACTGCTAGGTTGGCAAGCGGGGACCAAGCAACGGGAGCTCCTCCCCGTCGCGGGGATTCGAACTGCCAACCTTCTGATGGGCAAGTCCTAGGCTCTGTGGTTTAGACCACAGCACCACCCATGTCCCTTTAATAAATTAATAGAAAGCAACAACAACAACAACAATCATATTACAGTGATACCCAAATTTAAATAACCACCAACCCCAACTCAACATTTAACCAACACCAACCCAACAAAAGCAGATAAGAGGAACCAAAATTAGAACTGTTTAAGACATTTTAGCCAGTTGCCCCAACCCAAGAGTTGTTCCAGCAATGTCCCAGTGGCCTCCCGGGAGTCTTTTAGCTGTTCAGGGTGAGTCTGGGCTCTGCCCCCTAGGCCAAGTGGAAATGGGCCTTGCAGCAGGGAGCTGGTCTTCCTTCTAGCACTCGCAGAAGATCCCAGGTTCAATTCCTGGCATCACCAGTTAGAAGGATCATTTACTGAGACCCAGGAGAGTTACTTCCAATCAGAGTAGGCAGTATTGTATTAGGGATGCGGGTGGCGCTGTGGGTTAAATCACAGAGCCTAGGACTTGCCGATCAGAAGGTCGGCAGTTCGAATCCCCGCAATGGGGTGAGCTCCCGTTGCTTGGTCCCTGCTCCTGCCAACCTAGCAGTTCAAAAACACGTCAAAGTGCAAGTAGATAAATAGGTACCACTCCGGCGGGAAGGTAAACGGTGTTTCCGTGTGCTGCTCTGGTTCGCCAGAAGTGTCTTAGTCATGCTGGCCACATGACCCGGAAGCTGTCTGCTGACAAACACCGGCTCCCTCGGCCAATAAAGCGAGATGAGCGCCGCAACCCCAGAGTCGGTCATGACTGAACCTAATGGTCAGGGGTCCCCATTACCCCCTTTAAGGATGGGTTTCTATATTTTTTTTAATTTAGCAGTCTAGAGAAAGCTGCCTAGCGAGGAGTTGTTGTGCTTGGAATTTGGGAAACTCGAGTTCAGATCCCTGCTCAGCTATGAAGTTGCAGTAGATGGCTTTCAGGAAGCTACTGTTTCTCCGTGTGATGCATACCTCTCAGGATTGCTACTGTTGTTTATTATTATCGATTACAAAATTAAATCCTAGACAAAGCTCTCAAAGTGGTTTAACTATAAAGTATGATATAAATCAATACAAATGCAATCCTCTAAAACAGGCCTCAATGAAGTTACATTTAAATCAAGACAGGAGATAAAAGCAGATATCCACTCAATAAGTAACTAGGGAAGGTTAGGATCTCTGGCTCCTTGTGTGACGTAGCTGTGATCACTGCTAATGCAACCAAAGACAGAAACTGGCATCACTATTGAGTAGCTTCCTATTAAAAGGTTAGCTATTGATTTGCCCAAGTGATTGTGAGTAACTGAAGCAGATGTGTGCCTAGTTAGTGACTAGGGACAGAAAAATTCAGGAAAGTGAAGAGGGGCCTATTATCTTGAGATGACATAGGGGGAGACAGATGAAACAGCAGGGAGAAGCTGCTGTTCATTTCGAGCGCAGATGCTAGAAATGCTAATGTTTAAAGAAATTATAGATCTGCTGTCCCCCATAAGCTTCTCAATTATCAGCTAATGTTTGGGATGCACATCACAGAGCTGATTCGCTTTTTAAAGCTGCCTATGATCACCTTGTAAATGAAACAAATGGGAATCTGTAGAAGGACACGTACTAAATGTAGGTTCTTGAAAAAAATGTCCAGAGCAGTTACGAGAGGGAGAGAGACTGAGATGTAAGAGTCCTTACTGTGATGCAAATCCCAGCTTTGTGCATATGCCGCTTCTGACCCAACTAGGTGCCCCACAGTAGGTCGTAATGAGTCCTGGACTCTTCCATAAAAGTTTTGGGAAGGATTCTGGGCTTACTCCAGCTTTGCATGCTGCATCTTTCTTCCTATTTCCCTTTTTAATTGCTCCTTCCATCTCACTTTCATGAGGTCATTGCTCCTTGAGGGAGGGGACAAGTGGTGGCACTATAAGTAGGCATGAGGAACCTCAGGCTGGGGGGGCCAAATGTGGCCCTGCAAGCCCCTCTATCTGGCCCTTAGGACTCAATCTATGTTCTGCTTCCTCCTCAGTCACACCTTCTCTCTCCAGGCCACCCCACCCCCCGGCCTTGCTTCACAATCTCTTTTTGCTTGGCTGGAATATGTCATCAGACTTTGATAATGCCTTTTGGTTGCCTGGATGGAGTGTGTGTGTGTGTGTGTGTGTGTGTGTGTGTGTGTGTGTCAGAGAGAGAGAGAGAGAGAGAGAGAGAGAGAGAGAGAGAGAAAGAAAGAAAGAGAAAACAGAGGTTTTGCCCTCTTTTGCCTCAGGCCACCGGATGTGCCCCCTCCCCGAAGAATACCCAAGTGGGAATGTGGCCCTCAATCTGATAACAGTTCCTGTCCCATGCACCAGAGTCAAGTTGAGGGTCAAACAATGGCAGGCCTGGGATATGGGCCTCAGCATTCTGCTGTGGGGTCAGCCAGTGTTCAGGACTGGAGAGGAGGTCAGGACCAAACAGGAGACAGGATAAAAAACCCCAAGAGTATCCAAGGATGCAGGAACACATCAGGAGCATCTTATTGCTCAAGCAAGGCTCAGCTGAATCACGAAGTCCTCTTAAAGTATAGGAAGCCTGCAAATGGTCAGCCCAGGTTTTGACAATTCTTCCCTGTGGAGCTGCCAGGGGAGTTGCACTCAGGTCGTGCAGCAGCTGAGGATGACTGAGCCCTACCTTGAATAAAGTGTGCTAGCTGGACCAGTGGTCTGACGGAGAATAAGAGGCCTTCTTATGTTCTGAGCTGAGTTTAGAATTAATTCATCTTAGTCCAAAGGTTTCGTGTTAACTTGAATGCAGTCTGTGCTGAGTAACAGTCGGTCGTGCTCATGGCTTGGATGAGCTGTTCACTGTCATAATGAACCAGACTTTGATTGACCGCTGGATGCTCCCAGTGCTTATCGGTCACTCAGGGCAAAAAGCCCTGAATGTGGTGACACTCCTGAACAGCAGATTAGCAAGAGGAATATAGGGATCTGCTTTAAAGCAAATCAGACTATTGGTCCATCTAACTCAGTATTGTCTACACTGACTGACAGCATCTCTTCAGGGTTTCTGGCCCTGCCTGGAGATGTTGAGGGTTGAACCTGGGACCTTCTCTATGCAAAGCATGTGATCTGTCACTAAGCTAAAGCCCTTTCCCATTGATTAGCCCTGGTCAAGGTGGTGTTGGAAACAGTTGCTTGTGCATGAGGTTTAGTGTTCTGAATGTGAGATTTGGGGATGCATTTTACTAATGTGCATGTTAGCAGGCTGTGATCCAGGGAAATGCTGAGGTTCACACAATAGACTTAGCTCTGCACAGTTTTGGACTTTTCAAAAAGTATTTGAGCAGCCTCCTCACTTTTTCCCATGGCACAGAATGATCTAATGTTGAAATTTCCTCATTTCAAAAGCAGCTTGTAATGTGGCAAAGGGAGGGGGAAGCTGTTGTTTGAAGAAGAAAAAAAAGCAGGTCTAAAACTGTAAACCTACATATACTTCTTTAGGAGTAAGTCCTACTGCACTGAATGGGACTTCAGAGTAAGTATGAATTGGACTGGGCAGCACCAGGTTCGCAGAAAATCTAGGGTCACAGGTCGTTGGATCCTCATGCTGTACCACGTGGACAGAGCCTGGTTTTGTGTAGCCCCAGCCTTGGAAGTTCTTCTTCCCTTTAATGTCACCCCACTGCTAAAAATAATGAACTGTTTCGCCTGCTATTGGCATTCTGTGCTATAGTCTTAAGTCTGCTGCACTTTCATTTGCCTTCGCTGACTAATGAGAATAATCAGTCCTTGTCTATTTTCTGTGTATGGGAGACAGCCATGCCTCTCCTCGGGCTTCTGTAGTGATGTGTTGTAATAAGATTAAGAGAATGTAAACATGGATTCCTGCATTCTAGGGTGCGAGGGGACATTCTCAGTCCTTGTTCCATTATAGATGTTACTGATTTTAGCCTTCCCTCCGGTTCTCTTCTCTTCATTCTTGCTATTTTACATGCATGATGAGAACTCTTATCCTCTTATTTCTTCTATAATATTCCAGCCTTTCTCTTATCTAAAACCAGGCAGTGCTATACAGGGACTGTAGTGAGATAAAGCACTTAGACGATGCTTTTTTTAGAATGGGAACTCTCATTGCTAGTGTTGTCTTGTGTTTGAAGCCATGCCATTTGAGCAAAAAGCCCCCCTTCTCTTTCAAAAAGCTGCTGCTTGTTTGTATGAATCTAGAACAAATTAAAAACAATATGGCCTGTTGCCTCATCATCACACAAAGGCCTGTAAAGCAAGCCATTAGCTTCAGCACCACGGACAGCACCAGTGGTTAATACAGTTTATCCACCACGCATTTAGGTTGCATGTCCAAGCACGCTGATCTAGAAGTAAGTCCCATTGAACTTAATGACTTACTTCTGAGTAGACATGCACAGGATTGCACCTTCAGTGTCAGAGTCAGCAAGCCTTAGTTATCGTGGCAGTTGTTCATTCCTCCAATTACTCTTTGCATAAACACAAGGAATCACCTTGTAGCTAGCTGAAAATACAACTATGTTCTACATGGCAAGCTGCTAATGGGAGTTCCTCTCCATGCAGACAGAGCAATTTTCACACAATTGAAACCTGCAATAGGACTGTAATATTAAGTGAGTTATTCCAGTGCAATCATGCAAAGAGAAGATGCAGTCTACATCATACTCTGTGATCTGCTACCATTCATTCACAGTAAACTCCTAGTCTCTCTCTGTGTGTAATACCTTTCATTACATGGCTGCAAACAGTGCTATGTTCTGGGATGCATGGAACTTTTGTGCCTACCCTCCTCTTGACCCTAGCCCTACCCACACTCAATTTCTGTAGCTCAACGGTAAAGCATCTGCTTGGCATGAAGAACATCTCAGGTTTAACTCCTGGTGTCTGGGAGAGACTCTTGCCTAAAAGCCTGGCTTGCCAGTCAATGCCGGTCAGTGTAGACAATACGGAGCTCCAGCTGCTTTTGGACTACAGCTATCATCATTCCTGAGCACTGGTCTTGCTAGAGAGGGATGTAGTCCACAAACATATGGAGACCCAAGTCTGGGAAACACTGAGCTAGATGGACCCATGGTCTAATTAGTATATATGTGTCCCATGTCCTTTCCCATGTATTAAGAATGTTACAAAAGCCCTGCTGGATCAGACCAAAGCATTCTGTTCTCACAGTGGCCCTCCAGATGCCCACGGGAAGCCCCCCAGTAGGATACAATCGTCCAAGAATGCTCTATACTCATGTTTTGGTATACAGATGCATCCTGATTCTGGAGGTAAATAGGGCCATCAGGTCTACATTGATAGCTATACCCTCCCAAGCCTTATAAACCCAAGTTTATACAGAATTATTGACATTGCGCCTCACCAACATACTTCATCAATGAATTCTCATATTCCTTGTATAAACAAATGAGCTAATCCTTCCCAATCCATGGTCCTGGAAAGCAGCAAACTCACAATATAATCCGAGGGTTGGAACTCTACTTTTCACCATGCTGCGTCTCATTTGTTGGAGGAGAAAGGTGGTAAGAGGTGGGCATAGCTGCAGTTGTGCAAATTTTGGCTTATCGTTGGAGAGGAAGAGGGACTGAAGCCATATAATATAATATAATATAATATAATATAATATAATATAATAATATAATATAATAATACCATATAAGCACCAGGATAGAAACATTGAGGAACAAATAAGAAATGAAATGTGACAGGAGTGGTGATGGTCTGGATGCCATCCAAACACTGATAGTTATTTCCTGTCACTTCAGTGAAATGAATAGAAGTCACACAAAATCACTGCTTGGTTGATTACTCCCTTGGTTGTTTTTAATGAGCCATTATACATCGCAGTGTTACTTCATTAAAGAGAATCCTTCTTATTGAACACAGCAGAGTAAATGTATTAGAGCAGGGGTGGGTAACCTTTCCCCCCTTCCTGTTGAGAACTGCCTTTCTTGCAGGGGTTATCTGTCAGTGGACAGAGCCAGGGCTGCTACAGACACAGCTGAGCCAGAAGTGTTATCTAATCTGGGATAAAGACTGACCTGCTTCAATTTCCGCCATGGCTACTTCAGATTAGAGTTCCCACTCCCATGCAGGTCTACTCAGAATTAAGCCCCACTAGATTTCACAGATGTAATCTCAAGTATACAGAGGGCTATTTTTTATTTATTTTTGTACCACAGACAAATACCGCCCCTCTTTTGGAAAGCAAGGGAAAATAATTTATTTCTCAAGGAAATCTGATGGGACAGAACAATGGGGATGATTCAGGATATTCCTAGAATTGCTTTGCACAATATATCTGGCTGTTTGTAATAACCGTTGTGCAATTTCTTGTATCGCCTTCAGGCTGGGGGAAGTTTGCTCGCTTAACCCGTGCACTCACCAGCAGTCGGGGAGTCCTGCAGCAGCTCGCTCCAAGCGTACAGAAAGGAGAGAATGTCCACAAGCACTCCCGGCTTGCTGAGGTAACGTGTGATTATTATTGCCAGCCCACTTGAATCAATAGCGCCCGACTCTTGGGAACAGCTCACCTGAATTCCATTGACAAGGGAGATCTATTTGCGGGATGTTTGCTTGGAGTGAATTGGTGGGAAATCATGGGGATTGATAGGGGCCCACAAACTCCACCTGCTGCAGCTAGTATCCCATCAGTATCTGTCAAGTGTCGCAAGTTGAGACACTTCAAGGTGTGCAGGGGCAGGGATAATCTTCACAACCGCACTGGGCCTCTAGTGCCCTCTGAGTGTTATGATATCATGGTGCCAGAACAATACCCTTTGGAGACAAAGTCTTCAAGCAGCAGCAGCAGCAGCAGCAGCAGTGGCAAGGGGGAGGCAGACTCATTCCCTGGTCTATTCTGAGCCAGGTCTTCTGCCCAAGATCCTTCATCCTGTCCCTTAAATGCTGGGGCCTGAAGCAGGTGCCTCACCTGGCCTCAAGGGTGGGCCACATTTGGAAGCATTGAACTGGTGCAGCTCTTGGAGCGCCTTATAAGAATGCATCTGCCAAATCTAAGATTTGTTGATAAATGCCTGCATAGCTTTGACTTTGTTAACACTTGGAAACGTTAAGTAAATGTCCAAGCAGAGAGCCAGTGCGTTGACTTTGTCATAGAAAGCAATGCTGCTGCGGTTCAGGATTTTACCTCCGCTTTAAGTAGGCCATATACTCTTTGCTAGACAATTCCTTGCTAAATTGGTGCATCAGATTAGACTTCACATAAATTTAAACCAGGACAGCTGGTGAATTCATTGTAAATAATACAGTATATTCTGCACATATGAGATGTGTATAATTATTTGCCAGTTAAATACTGCATTCATTATTTTTATATCGCCGAGCCCACGTCTAAGCTCCAGTGCATTCCAGCACACTGGGAACCAGTAGATGTTGTAGAGGAAAAAGAGCGTAAGGGGACTTTGAAAGGGGTCAGATGTGTTTTGGGTGCAGCCTAACTGTGCTGAGGGGCCCATAATGCTTCTGGTCTCCTAATGGTCCTACAAATGTAGGAGCGGCATTTGATTTTAAGTCTGCAAGAGCAACTGTAACAGATACCGAGGACCTTCTGGCGGTTCCCTCGCTGCGAGAAGCCAAGTTACAGGGAAGGGAACCAGGCAGAGGGCCTTCTTGGTAGTGGCACCTGCCCTGTGGAGCGCCCTCCCACCAGATGTCAAAGAGAAAAATAACTACCAAACTTTTAGAAGACATCTGAAGGCAGCCCTGTTTAGGGAAGCTTTTAATGTTTAATAGTTATTGTATTTTAGTGTTTTGTTGGAAGCCGCCCAGAGTGGCTGGGGAAACCCAGCCAGATGGGCGGGGTATAAATAAATAAAAATAATTATTATAGCATCCAGAAAGAAAGCTAGAGCATCTGCTGTGCATCAATCCCAACATCTTCAGGTAGGGCTGGGATTGTCTCCTGCTGGAAACCCCTGGAGAGCCATAGCCAGTCCGTGAAGACAATGCAGAGCTTAAATGGAACAATGGCTTGATTCAGGAGAAGGCATAGATATGGTTAGGATTGCTCTATGAGTCATCATGAGCCTGTTTATTTTATTTTAAGGAAAGATGGCCCATGTGATAATTGGGGGGGGAAAAGCATGCTGTTTTGTTTTTTAATAGTGAAAGGCTTTCCCTCTTACTGTTTTCCAAGCAGGTCCTGCAACTGGGCTCTGAAATCCTCCCTCAGTACAAGCAAGAGGCACCAAAGACCCCACCACATATCATTTTACATTACTGTGTTTTCAAGACCACTTGGGATTGGGTCATCCTGATTTTAACCTTCTACACGGCTATTTTGGTCCCTTACAACGTCTCCTTTAAAACGAAACAGAACAATGTGGCCTGGCTGGTAGTGGACAGCATTGTTGACGTCATTTTTCTGGTAGACATTGTGCTTAATTTCCACACCACGTTTGTTGGGCCAGCTGGAGAAGTGATCTCTGACCCAAAACTGATTCGCATGAATTACTTGAAGACATGGTTTGTCATTGACCTTCTGTCCTGTTTGCCGTATGATGTGATCAACGCATTTGAGAATGTTGATGAGGTGAGTTTTGTTTCCACTTGCCATCTAATCGTTTACCAAGATCGGTTGACTGGGGAGAGAAATGGCTTTTTAAACCAAAAGTTGGTTAGTTGCTCTCCATCTACACATGTGCTTAAATAAATGTCATTCTGCCTTCCTAGGCTGCAACCGCTAATTGATTGCAAATTCTCAAGAAATTGCAATCAATTCACAATAGTACTTCACAAAAGTATTTATAGATTTGTTTGTTGTACAGGTAATGGGAGGTGCAATAAGCTAATACCTCGTGAAATGCTGAGACTGAGATTTATATAATGACCTTTAGTCCCCAGATTCATTAAGCATTTTTTGCAGCTTTATTTTCTTTATCACTGTAACATATGAATGCAAAAAATATATAGTCAAAACTGATTGAAAAAGTCACTGTCTGCCCCATGTTTGCTTGATGGCTTCTCCAGTTTCAGCAAGCACTTCATCTGTCTTAAAATATTAGGCTCAAAAGATGCTAGAGATGGGTTGCAATTAAACAGTTGCGTGTCGAGACCCTGCAGCCACCCCCTCGTTGGGAAATAACTCACACAAGGATACAGATATTAGGTTAAGTTATTGGGCAAATTTGGCCACAACTTTATTGAATTACAGAATGTGAGCGGTATTGGCTTATGCATTGATTGGACCCGACTATATCTGACTCTTGCCCGCTGCACAGGATGTCCGGTAAGGGTAAACCACTGGTAGGGCGAGCCCTGTTGATGCAAACCAACTTGAGCTTCTCCTGGTGTTCCCATCGGGGTCATGTCATAGCCCTAGCCCCTGACCGGGCTTCGGACAAGATCAACACCCCCGGATTCCTTTAACGGAATACCCTTAAGCATGGTGGGGCAGGTGATGGCCACACCTCCCCTCCCCCACACAAGGTCAAACAATGCCTAACCGCAACCCTAACAAAGTTGTGACGATTGCTACAAGGTAGGCGAAAACCAAGTGGCCAGTGCCAATTTGCCAAGTGGAAAAATTCCTACCAGGCCCCTTGGACAACCAAGGCAACCAACCAAAGTCCATAGCAAGGCCAGTGCCTAACCTGCAAATCGGGGGGGGGGGGTGATTGAGGAAGGGAGCCAAAGAGGAAGTCCTCTGGCTTGCTCCTTGGTTTAAACTGTCCCGGCCATGCCCGCCCCCAGCCAGCGGATTGGCCGACTGGGCTCTGACGTGGCCAGGATCCCCCGGGCAACGGGGGACAAAGTCCCCCGCCCCCGGTGGGGAGTGGGTGGCCACGTGGTCCACCACAACTCCTCCCCACTGGGAAGTGGAGCAGATTAGCCATGCACACACACTCTTCCAGATCACATTTTAACTATTCAGAAAGTATAAGACCATTGAAAGTTTCCCATCCAGCATCGAACCAACAGCTATCAAAAGCCAAGGGGCGGGAAAGCAAATGATTAACCAACTTTTTGAAAAATGCAGCATGGAAAAACTTGACGAACCTTGCTAAGAAACAAATTCTAGAGTTGCCATGCTGCCAGAGCTAGCCTGGGATGTCTTGCCGTTGTAGGCAAAAGGCCTGCATGCCACCCCTCCTTCCTTCCTGGCCTTGCCATTGCACCCACTGCTGCCCGCCCTGCCACTGCACCCTCACCGGCAGCTGAGCCCGCACTGTCACTGCAACACATTGGCAGTGGCACTGGTGCTGTGGGAACAGTGAGAGCAATGGCGCAGTGGCAGTGTGGGTGAAGCCTTGGTGGGTTTGGCAGCAGCAGAATGGCAGGGTCGGGTGGTCAGATCTGCCACCTGAGGCCAATGGCTTGACCTCGCCTCATTGATGGGCCGCCCCGGATGCTGCAAAGGGAACACCTGGCTCTGACTGCTTGAGAAGTAACTACCGGAAGAAGCAGCGACTAGATGAGGCTTCAGCTCTGGATTCGTCAACAGGCAATTCTACAGGAGAAGGAAATTTCTGCCTTCCCAGGCTACATTGACGTTGCTCAAGTGGTTGCTTGGCTGCTTGGAGTTGTGAGTAGGAGGCGGTGTCTCTGGGTCATGTTAGATTCCATATGCTGGGTGTCTTTTCAGCTGTACTATGTTGATGCCTGGTGTGTGGGTGTGTAAGGGAAGGGGTTGTAGCTCAGTGGCAGAGCATCTGCTTTGCATGCAGAAAGTCCCAGGTTCAATACCTGGCATCTGCTTGTTCGGGGCTGGGAGAAAATACTGCTCCCCCCTTCTTTGGGTCAGTTTTATTCATTTACAGTGGAAGCTTGGGTTGCGAACATGATCCGTGCGGGATGCACATTCGCAACCCACAGTGTGTTTGCAACCCACAGCGGTGCGTCTGTGCACGCGCGGGTTGCAATTTGGTGCTTCTGTGCATGTGCAAAGCATGATTTTGTGCTTCTGCTCATGCCTGATTGCCGAAACCCGGAAGTAACCCATTCCAGTACTTCCGGGTTTGACGCTGGTGGTGCTGTGGGTTAAACCACAGAGCTTAGGACTTGCTAATCATACGGTCGGCGGTTCAAATCCCTGTGAGGGGGTGAGCTCCCTTTGCTCGGTCCCTGATCCTGCCAACCTAGCAGTTCGAAAGTAGATAAATAGGTACCGCTCCAGCGGGAAGGTAAACAGCATTTCTGTGCGCTGCTCTGGTTTGCCAGAAGCAGCATAGTCATGCTGGCCACATGACCCAGAAGCTGTACACTGGCTCCCTCGGCCAATAAAGCGAGATGAGCACCGCAACCCCAGAGTTGGCCACAACTGGACCTAATGGTCAGGGGTCCTTTTACCTAACCCGAAAAAACACAACTTGAAGTGTCTGTAACCTGAGGTATGACTGTATTTTTAAAATTTAGTTTTTATTAAAGCTTTCCTTGTGAAGCAAAAAAGTACATACAGGCAGCCCCCTGTTTATGTTCCGAGGCATGCATTCGCAGGTGAAATTGTGTAGAAGTGAAACCCATGGGAAAAGCCTGCTAACACCCCCATTCTGCCCTTTTAGTGACGTTTCAATGACATCTGGGTCACTTCTGAGTTCAGCACGATGCGCATCTACACAGTCATGCACGTATTGAATGTGCGCAAACAGGGGCTGCCTGTATAGCATACCACTTTCAATTCATAGAGTCTTTTTCACAGTTCATTTGCATTCGGTATGAGACACTGCTGTCATAGACATGATACGGTAGGGGGAAGAAGAGAGGGGAGAGGGGGTGAAGAGAGATGGGGGGGGTAATGATATTTCATTCTATTGCATAGTGTTTGCTCAGGGGGTTTTGTGCCAGCATCACACAAATAGGTACCGTATTCATATATTTATAAAAGAATGCTGGTGGAATCCTGGAGAGCCATTGCCAGTCTCTGTAGACCCCACTGAGCTAGATGGATAAATGGCCAGACTCAATATAAGGCAGCATCCTAAATTCCCAAGCATATACATTTCACTTGCTTGTGGGCTTCCCCCTTATTCTTAATGCCCCAGAGTTCCCTCAGAAGAAGGATTGATTGTTAAACCCTTCTAGGAGTTGTAGCTCTGGGATGGGAATAGGGGTCTCCTAGCAGCTGTCAGCACACTTAACTAACGACAGCTCCCAGAGTTCTTGGTGGAAAGCCATGACTCGTTAAAGTGGTGTCTTAGTGCTTTAAATATATGGCATGAATGTGTCCTCAGTAAGTGTGTTGAGTTCAGTTCTGGGACAAATCTGCTACTGCTGCCTGCTTGTTTCCCCCTGCCCAGAAACAAAATCCAGCACAGGCATCTGCTTCCAGCCCCTTTGGCTGAGTCACATGCATCATGGCAACTGACTGACTTTCGGGTGTGGGGATTAAGTGAGCTGTGCTAAAAATGATCAGACTCAGATCTGATTTGTTGGCATGCTCTAGCAAGTAAATGAGTGAAACCTTTACATGACTACAGAGACTGATTTTCACAACACCTCAAACTTAATGTTTTCAAATCTGATCCACATATTCATCTGTGTTGATACAGCAATGGGCTTCTTCTTTTTTGTGTACTGTCAGGTTTACAGTCCTCTGGAGCCAGTAGGATTCTTGAATTTATCACTAGCTTTATAGGACTATCTTTCTGTGATTGTGCATCACTACATCTTTGATTCATTGCTCTGGCTGTTCTCTTTCCTCACAGAGAACTTTTGTGATGTTGGAGGATTTCGATTTCTCCCTCTGACACCAGTCAGGGTCTGTTGATCCTCCAAATATTCAGCCCCTTCTGAATGGGGCATTTAATTGGTGTGTTTGTGTTTGTGTGTGTTAGCATTCTCTGATTCTCTAGGTGATGCTTTTCCTCTGGTGGGCCTGAGAGGAAGATGGTGGGAAACAACACACTGACATGCTCGTTCTGGGTGTGTGTGTGTTTGGTTGGGGAGGGCAGCTGCAGTGGAGAGCATTTAGATGATCAGTCTCCCAACTGAAGAATGAAATAATTTTGTTGCACACCACCCCAGTCTCTAGGGATGCAGGTGGCGCTGAGGGTTAAACCACAGAGCCTAGGACTTGCTGATCAGAAGGTTGGCGGTTCGAATCCCCGCGACAGGGTGAGCTCCCGTTGCTCGGTCCCTGCTCCTGCCAACCTAGCAGTTCGAAAGCACATCAAAGTGCAAGTAGATACTGCTCTGGTGGGAAGGTAAACGGCATTTCCGTGTGCTGCTCTGGTTCGCCAGAAGCGGCTTAGTCATGCTAGCCACATGACCTGGAAGCTGTACGTCAGCTCCCTCAGCCAATAAAGCGAGATAAGCACAGCAACCCCAGAGTCGGTCACGACTGGACCTAATGATCAGGGGTCCCTTTACCTTTACCCCAGTCTCTGCGTGGTGCAAGATTCCAGCAGCTACAGGCACTTTCCCAGGGTTTGTGTTTCCTTTTGGAAATGAGGCGCAGCGGAGACTGTGGTGTCTTTATGATATACTGTTTTTTTACACGTATATACAACCTGAGCTTACGATGGAGGGCTTCACAGCATTAGCACCGCAAGAAAGTCTTGTTTCTCCTATAGCCACAGCCTTGGATTCAAAAGCAATCATTGCTGTGTCTTTCTGTCTCCCCAACTTGCTGTTTTGCTTCTATGTCAAATCACTGCCCAAACTCTCTACTCTAAGCTCTGGCTTTATCTGTTGAGGGAGGGAGCCCCTCCCAATTGCTGTCTCGCACTGAGTCACTTCATCCAGAAAGCTAGCTTGGCTGTTTCCCAGAATTAGAAGGCTTGATTAGCTTTCAACACTTGCTGGATCCAGGGATTAGAGGAGTCTAGAACCTCCAACTCCTAAGATTATTTGTTTATTTAGTCAAATTCTTCTTTTATCCCAGTCAAAAGGGGCTCTAAGTGCAGCTTACAAATCACCTAAAAAAAAAAAAAAGGCAGTCCCCTCAGGCTTACAAGCTAAAAAGGCATGGCACCGAGGGGAAATAGATTGAGAGGGAGGAAGTAAGCAAACTTGGGTACAGGTTTTGGGCTACAAGTTCCTCTAATGCATAAAGGTATAGTACAACTGATTTAACTCAGAAGGTTTCTGCTTTCCTGTTTACCATCTATCTATAGAATGTAGCGGCTTTTGCATGCTAGTTACAGTGCAAATTTCAGGAGAGGTCGCGCCATCATTTGAAACCTTTCTTTCCCCTGAATAACCTATTTCAGGGTGGGGAGATCTTCAGGTCTGGGGGCTAAATGTGACTCTCCAGGGCTTTATTTAGCTCTTGGATGTCTTCTTAGGCCACTGGCTCTGCTTCACTTCCTGAGTGTTTTTGCCTGTTTGGAAATCTGTGGCAAGGTAAAATCTACATTCATTGCTCTGCCCACTTTTGCACCCCCCCTTGCCCCCAGTGGCGTAACTAGCTGCTCGGGTGCCTGATACGGCGAGTGAGTCCTGCAGCCAGCGGCGGGGCAAGTGGCCCATGGGGGTGGGGTGAGCTGTGTGGAGCCTCTCCACTGCCTCCCCCTCAGCTGTAGGGTGGCTGAGAGAGAGGCGGAGGGCAGATGCAAGCCCCACGCTGCTGTTTCAGGCAGCGTGATGCCTGCAGGCGCCCAAGCCACCACATCACTCCCAGGAGAGACGTGTGGCTCCGGCACGCTTCAGGCCCCATGGTAAGTGCCGGCCCCCGCAGTGTGGCACCCAGTGCCAGCTGCCTTTCTGGAGAGCCAGTGTGGTGTAGTGGTTAAGAGCGGTAGTCTCATAATCTGGGGAACCGGGTTCGCGTCTCCGCTCCTCCACATGCATCTGCTGGGTGACCTTGGGCTAGTCACACTTCTTTGAAGTCTCTCAGCCCCACTCACCTCACAGAGTGTTTGTTGTGGGGGAGGAAGGGAAAGGAGAATGGTAGCCGCTTTGAGACTCCTTCGGGTAGTGATAAAGTGGGATATCAAATCCAAACTCCTCCTCCTCTTCTTCTTCTTCTATGTTTGTTGACTGAACTAAAAAGTTTCGTGAGCCCAATTTTTTAAAAAAACCTCCTCATATTTTTGTCATTTTGTCACCCCCACTCAGTGATGACACCCGGGGCAGACCACACACCCCGCACCCCCTTCCTCCACCACTGCTTGCCCCCTAAGTGTCCTTATTTTCCAGGGACAATTCTGGAATTACAAAAACCATCCCAGCTTCTGATTTGATCCTGGAATGTCCCAATTTTCTCTGTCAGTGCCACCACCATGGAGCTTGGGGAGGAGGATAAGCCATGCTTGTCCTGAGTGGTGGCAGCTGCAAGGGGGCATTCTGATGCCTCTCCACGGCCTCTCTATGGCCGCTGCTTGCAGTCTCCTCTCTTGGGCAGCCTGTAGCAGCTGCTGGAGGGCAGGTGAGGAGGAGGAGAGGCCACCACCGGCTCTGAAGTGCAGGCAGAAGGCAGAGCTGCTCTGGGTGGGAAGAAAGGGGGAGCAGAGTGGGGTGCAAGGAGTCTTTTTTCTTTTTAATACTTTGTGTGTCCACATTGAATCTCGCCCCTTTCTAAAATTCATTTATTGGTGTGTTTTACTTTTTGCAAATCTACCAAAGGATGTAATAAAATAAAACTGAGATTAAGGGGTTTTCTCAAGGCAGTAGAGGGTGTGTAGACTGTGTCCCATTGGTGTAGCAGTGATGGCACTTGCCCTTCTTTTGATAGGAAATGCTCTGTGGGAGGGGGTAGAATGGCGGGTGGGTTGAGGAGCGTCACTTGGAGGGGGGAGTAGGAAAGGTCCCTATTTTTATGAGGAATGTTGGGATGTTTGTCTCTAGCCTTGCCCACCACTGGTATGTGGAAGGTTTCTTAGAAGTGAAGGTGTCCCTCAGTCTGCAAAAGGTATTCCCCCCCTCCCCAACCCTGGTTCACTGTGAGCAGACTTATTCTTAATTAATTATTATTCTTGGTCTGGCTGCTCTCGCATGAGCCATGCTGCTAGATGACTTGCTGGCATTAGCTAAATCGAGTGCCATTCTTCATTCTGGTTAGCCCCAATGGCATCAACATGCCCTACCAGAGGAACTGCAGGGGAGGAAGCAGGAAATACAAGCGAAGCGACGTTTGCTTAACCAAATAAATTAGAGAAAAGCTTGATGTTAGGCAAGGAAGATGTTTGGCTTCCAATCTAAAGTAATGGAGGAGAAGCACAGAAAACAAAGCACAACCTTCACCTCAGTAGAAACAAATGTCATGTAGTCTGAGAAAGGGGAAGTGGTGGATCTCAGAATTTGAACAGAAAGCGGAAAAGGAGATGGAATAGATCGTGAGTGAAGTATTGCAAAACTACTATGTTCACAGACTGGGCAATACATTGGGTTGGCCCGAAGGCCTTGTTAATAGAATTATCTCCCATTCCAATACAAGTGGAAACTTGCTTTGTATAAGTGTGCCTCATTATTATTATTTCTTCAGGTGAGGGATACTTTATCATAGTCCAAGCCCAGTGCAGAAAACAACTCCAAAGTTTATGAAACGATGCACGTTTATGGGGCATAACGTATTGTTTGATTATTTTGTGATGTCTGAAAATACCGTATTGCAAGTTGCATTACATTTGGAAGATGCTGGAGCACACAGCTTTTGCTTTGGGCAACCAGACCATCCTTTTTGTAAGCCACACTCTCTCTTCTTGTTGCCTGAATCAACCATTCCTAAGCAGCCAGCAGAACGCAAAAGTTATCAGTAACCTTGTAAAAAAATAATAAATAAAGCATTGAACCATAAGGCTGGGCGACATATCGACATATCATCCAAATCCAGTTTGAAGTCCATATCGTGACATCAGTTTCATAATTTTTGACCTGGCAATATATCACGAATCATGATGTGTTTGTGTGTGTGCTATGCAAAAATCACGATGGGGGAAAAACCGTGAAGCCAACTGATGCCTCTGTATAGCTCCATCCTTATTTCAGGCATTATGATATATTATATCACGATGTTTATCTGGTGATATATTGCGATATTGAAAACCGGATATTGCCCAGCCCTAGTGTACTGCCATCGCTGAGCCTTCTTTGAAAGGACGTTCCACCAGTTTGGTGGTGCCATCATGGAAAAGATCCAACTTCTGAAGTAACACCTTCAGACCTCTTAAAGCAAAGTATGTGCAGCACAACTTTAAATCTTCCCACAACCCAATCCCCTATTGCAGCAGGAAGAAAAGACGATTTATCTCTGAGTTGCTATTGAAAAGGTGTTATTTCTGCATCAACTGACAACATTTAACTTTTTTTTTATTAAAAAAAGCTTGACAAAGCAGAGCAACCTACATAAGCCTCTCAGTCTATATTAAGCCGAAAGAAATTAAGGTCTCAATTACACCCCAGGGATAATATATGGTGATATCATTTGTCAAAGAAGAGCAAATTGAGCTTGTTATGTTGGCATTGCTTTGGAAAGGGGCTGTCAGAGCAACACTTTAAACAGCATAGAAAGGAATGCTGTTCTTTGTGGCCCACTGTGTCAAGGCAGTGAGTGTCTTGGGACATGTTGAACAGCCCAAAGGCAGTTGGACTAATTTGACCAAGGCAGTAAGGTCCAATGGTTACCTGAAGAGCAATGGACACAAGCATAAAGCTGTGAAATGGGAAGAGGGATCAGGGAAAAAAAGGAGAGAAATGTGTGACTCCTGGACATCAAGGAGTTAGAACATTAGAACATGGGTACCCCCAGTTTGTAGTCGGTAAGGGTTTGGTAATTCATTTATTCTCTTTATCCTAATTCCCACTTTTTAAAAAGAGCATAATACCATACACAATTCAAGAGAAAGCTGAAATGATTAAGAACTATCTTTTTATGCTCTTAAAATCAAACAAGGTTTTAATTGGGTTGATGTTGCGAATGTCATTTTAAATTTAATTTAATCCTTCTGCATTGCTATACTCAAGGCAGTTTGCAACCCATAGAAATGAAAAAAGCATGCAGCAAAAACTACACCCCACAAGAATTCAATCTGAATGAACCAGAATGAAAATGGTTAAGAAACAAATACTTTAAACCAATTAACATAAAACACAAACCTCCATTTCACATAACATGAAATATATTTTTTAAGATAATCAACCCAGCAAAATGTCAGCAAATAATAAATCGCATCCAACAATGGTAATGAATAGTTTAATAATTATAAATGGTCAAAACAACAGTGGCAAAGACCCAAATGAAAGCTAGTTGTTCCACTGAACAACCTATAGCAGTTGGACCCAGGAGATTAGCTCAGCCATTTAATTGACCAATTGCGCAGCCTTGGGAATTTTCCTGGAGCTGTGGTGAGAGATGAGAGAAGACGAATGAGACAAGAAGTGTGAAGTATTTCCCCCTATTATATGTGCTCAACAGACAACAAATAAGAATGAGAGTAAAACATAGGCAGTCCCTGGTGCATAGCATTGGAATGGGAAGAACATATTTCTATATTCTGTTTATGGAGGGAGTGGGGGAACTGCTTGAGAATGTGAACTTATGTGAATCTGTCATAGCCTTGCCAGTTTTAATTTGGCTCAGGAAAGATATAAATAGTCTTCTCTTTCCATACTTTCCTAAAATTGCTCATATTCTGTCATGCACTGAGGGGATTAGATAATGCTTTTTGTTGTGGTTTATAAAAATCGGAGGGCTTGCAGTTTTTCTTTTTTAAAAAAACCGCACACAATCAAACTACTTCCCTCAGTTACCATGTTGTATTGCAATGATGGTATGCCTACAGTGTGCAAAGGCCGTGCTTCTCCCCCACCTAGAAAAATAGGTGCCGCTACTCACCATGAAGTTGTTACAGTAAGGGCCACACTTTTTAACAAAAAAGAAAGAGGTGCTGGTATTGCATACCCCTAGGTACCCCCGGGGGGAGGGGAAGCACTGTGCATAGGGAATGCAGTTGTAGGATAACCAGCAGCTGGTCTTATGGCACATTAAAGACTAAGGCTGTACAGTGGTGCCCCGCAAGACGAATGCCTCGCAAGACGGAAAACCCGCTAGACGAAAGGGTTTTCCGTTTTGGAGGTGCTTCTCAAAACGAATTTCCTATGTGCTTGCTTCGCAAGACGAAAATGTCTTGCGAGTTCCTGCGGGGTTTTTTTCCTTCCCCCCCCCTTTTTCCCAAGCTGCTAAACCGCTTATCAGCTGATGGCTAAGCCGCTTATCAGCTGATCTTTAAGCCGCTTAACAGCTGATGCTAAGCCACTTATCAGCTGATTGTTAAGCCGCTTATCAGTTTATCGTTAAGCCGCTTATCAGCTGACCGTTAAGCCGCTTATCAGCTTATCGTTAAGCCGCTTATCAGCTGATCCACTAAGCCCGCTAAGCCGCTAATACAGTACTGTAGCACTAATCCGCTAATGGGCTTGCTTCACAAGACGAAAAAACCCGCAAGACGAAGAGACTCGCAGAACGGATTCTTTTCGTCTTGCGAGGCACCACTGTACTCAGGTAATTCAATGGGACTTACTTTTGAGTAGACGTAGTTAGCATTGTACTGCAATGTTAGTCATACTTGCAGCTCGCTTAAGTCATAATATGACTTAGTTGGCTATCATCCCAAACAATTTATTTGTTTTAAAATAATTTTTATTAACAATTTCAGCAAAACAAAAATTTCAAAACATATCGTCTTCATTATTTCCCTCCCTTTCCCCCCATCCAGCCCCTCTCCCCCCACAGAGACTTCCCTCAGCTCCTCTCTCTGATTTCTCAGCACATAATTATTCTCTGCATGTTATAAACTTGCACATATCCTTACATTATCTATCTATCATGTTATCAACCAATAATTTTGTGTATGTATATTCAAACCCTGCCAAGGAGTCCAGTTCATTTTCTTGTCTTTTTAGATAGTTTGTAAAAAGCTCCCATTCTTCTTTAAAGTCATAGTTGTCCTTGTCTTGCAATTTGTATGTCAATTTAGCCAGTTCTGCATAAGTCATCAATTTTTCTTGCCACTGTTCTTTCGTTGGGATTTCCTCATTCTTCCATCCTTGTGCTATCAAAACTCTTGCCGCTGTTGTAGCATACATAAATAAGTTCTTTATTTTTCTTGGCAGGTCTTGTCCTAGAATCCCTAACAAAAATGCTTCTTTCCTGTCCCTCACACTTTTTCAAGCCATGGATTATTTAATAGCCATAGGCCTGGGTAAAGAGGAATGTTTTTACCTGGAGCCTAAAGACATGAAGTGATAGCGCCAGGTGAGCCTCTCTGGAGAGAGCATTCCATAATTGGGGAGCCACCACAGAAAAGCCCCAGCCAGCATAACCAATGATCAGGTATGATGGGAGTGGTAGTCCAGTGACAACTGCAGACCTGAAGCTTCCCTGTCCCTGAAGCATAGGATTGGAAGTAACAGTGCTGGCTTAATACTTTTACCATAGCCCTTGATGAATTGGGTTTGATGCTTGGTCAAGTTAGTGGGCTGGCATGTACTGTAGAGTGTACAGCAAGGTAAGAGTGCCTTATCTATGAAAAATCTAGTTAGAAAATTGACACTGTGGGATTTAAGACTTCTTCAGTGCTTGCAGGTGTAACCCGAATCAATTTGTTTAGCACATTTGTATCACACATTTCCTCTGAGGAGCTTGGGGCAAGGTGTTTAAAGGTTACCCCAAGTGATCCTCACAACAAGCCTGTCTGGCTGAGAGCTTGTGACTTTCCCAAGGTCACCCTAGGAGTTTTATGGCTCACCATATGGGCTCCGTGTTATTCACCCTACAGGCTATTTGGTATTTTGTGCCCTCAGCGATTGTTTTGCTGGTAATCTTGTCTGTATTTCATTTGCTACAGTGAGCGTACAAATAGTCTTCTTCGACACTGGAAAGATACAGGGTGAACTCTTGCCTTCTCGTGAGTCACTCAGAGTTTTAAAAAACCCCAGCACAACCTTTTTCACACTTCTAGCACCTCCACTCACCACCCAGTGTGCCGTCCAAAGCTTTTAGCGTCTTGCTTAGGTCAGCATAAGTAAAAGTTCAAATCCCAAGTGTTTTTATTTATTCAGACTAGGGCTATTGGGAAACGGCTCCCCGGATTTGCAGAAGGTGAACTGGTGGTGGTGATGAGGTATCTCACCAATTTTTCAGAGTCAGAGGAGAAAAGTAGTGAATGGGATGAGGAGTGAGGAAAGGCCTTTAGATTTCATTAGTTTAGGGTGGTGAGCGGCTGGTCCTTCTCTCCCTTCCAGCTCCTCCATTCCTAGTCTGTTTGAATATGGCGGGGTGGGGAAATTGGATATGATTCCTACCAGCCATGATGGTTACAATTTCATACCCTCCAACATTTCTCCGAAGAAAACAAGGCTGTCCCATTCCATAATGATAATTTTACTATTTATACCCCACACATCTTACTGGGTTGCCCCAGCCACTCTGAGCAGCTTCCGACATATATAAAAACATAATAAAACATTTTAAAAACTGTGCAGGATTGCCTTCAGACAGCTTGGGGGTTGGATAACTCCATACCCTCCAACATTTCTTCAATGAAATTAGGGACATCCTAAGGAAAAGTGGGACATTCCAGGATCAAATCAGAAACCAGACTGCTTCTCTAAATCAGGGACATCCCTGGAAAACAGAGACACTTGGAGGGTCCGTAATTTAACTCCACTGTCAGAATACTGGTTGCTGGGAATCCAAATTAGGGAGAGTGCTGTTGCGCTCAGGTCCGGTTTGCGGGTTTTTCACAGGCACTGTGAGAACAGGGTGCTGGACCAGATGGGCCATTGACCTAATCCAGCAGGTCTCTTCTTATATTGTTAGAACAGAACAATAGCTGAAAATTAAAGAGAAAAAAGATAATTACTTTCCCGGCTTTTCATATACCAGTTTTGCTAATGATGCTTTAGTCTTACGCAGAAGCAGCACACCGTAAATGTATTCTTACAGCACAATCCAATTCATGTTTACTCAGACTAAGTCCTACATTGCTCAATGGAACTAACTCTGCATGGGATTTTAGAAATACAATCGTACCCTGGAAGTCGAACAGCTTAGTTCCCAAACCTGAACGTCGCAAACCCGGAAGTGACTGTTCCGGTTTGTGAACTATTTTTGGAAGCCGAATGTTCAGCGGGGCTTTTGCGACTTCTGGTTGGCTGCAGGAGCTTCCTGCAGCCAATCAGAAGCTGTGCTTTGATTTTTGAACGTTTTGGAAGTCAAACAGACTTCCAGAACGGATTCCTTCAACTGTATAGTGGGTTTTCTGCTATAATTTCCACTAGGAATGCACTGCTTTTCAAAAGTAGCACTTGCGCTCATCCATTTTTGAATCTTTGCCACCTCCTTTCTTTTTTGCATGGTGGCGCGTCTTACACTTGCCTTTAGTGAATTTCATATTGTTTTAGCCCCAGTCTCTGCTCTATCAGAATCCTAAAGTGTTTGTGATCCCTCTTCATTTCATGCCATCTGTCTCTTTGATAAGAGAACCTATTCCTTCATTCCAAACAAACAGCAAAAACCGATCAGCACAAAGGTAAACCTGGGCTATTTTATTTTTTGACAGTTGTCCATTCATAATCACTGCTATAACTCCATTGGCTGCCAAAGGGTCACCAGTATTTATAGTTGGCTTTGACCATCAGTAGCAGGTCACTGCATGACAGTGGTTCCATATGGCTCTGTAGATGTCATGAGCCCCATGGAACCATAATGGAAGGAAAGGTTGAATCCTGAGGAGGAATTGGAGGAGCTCAGGGAGTTGGAACTGGGTGACCCTGAGGAACGTGGGGAAGGTGAAATTGGGACACCAAGAAGTGTCTGAGAGCAGGGAGGTCAGTAGTCCATGCCTTCCTTGACCAAGTGCATTCTTTCTGCAGCACCCCTGTGGGTCTCAGGAGCCCAGTTCTGTCACCCCTTGCCTGCAGAGCTGGCAGCCTCTCACGCTTTTTTGAACACCCTTCTTTGTGGAGTGTTTCCTCAGCCTCCTCTCTTCTTCTCTCTCCTTGGGAGGCCTCTAGGCAGCTGCAGCTGCCACCCCTGGCCTCTGAGCTGCCCCACCTGCCCCCAAAAGAGGTGTCTCCTTACACAGGGGCCTGGGAAGAGGCTGCACCCAGCCTTAGTGGCCCAATGGAGACTGACCAAAGGTGAACATTAGGTCAGTACCTTGCCTTGGGAGGCAGCAGTGGGTGCTGCTGGGCCTGCAGGGTGGAAAGGCTCCCCTTCAGCACTGGGCACTCAGCTCCTAGGCACACCTTGCACATAGGAAGCACAAGAAAGGCCAGTGCAGCACTTGGCTGCCTGCCTGCCGAGTCTCCCACTTGTCTGTTCATTCCCAACAGCAAGGGATGGTGGACTGGCTGGCTAAACTCCCTCGCCCGCTTGCTTGCTTGCTCTGAGGCTGCTTCAGCTCCTGGCAACCAGCACCCCCTGGCCAGCCTCAGAGGCACCATTCTCCTGGGGAGCTAGTAGCCAGGGTTGCTGCAACAAATAACCCTGGAAGACTTTGAGAGGCAAGAGGGCATCAGAGGATGGAGGGAAGGAAAGAAGGACAGAGGCCAGTGTTGCCCTCAAGGCACCCCAGGGTGCCACGGCACACTGGTTGAAAACTACTGGTCTAGGGAATGGAGAACAGAATCTGGGGGGGGGGGGAATGATGGTCAAGCAGGTTGGCAGAGGAGTCAGATACCTCTTGCTGTGGAGTTGCCCCCTGGCACCTACACCTGTCAGTGGGGAGGTAAATGGGAGTAAATCAGATACTAAGTTGGCACAGACACGGCCTCCGCCTGCAAGGACATGAAGACATCAGCATGAGCAAACCTTGCAGACTCAGCCCAATCAAAGGAAGGCCCATTTGCAGACCCTCCAAGTGTCCCTATTTTCTAGGGATTTCCCTGATTTAGAGAAGCCATCCCGGTTTCTGATTTGATCCTGGAATGTCCCTTAGGTTGTCCCTATTTTCATCGGAGAAATGTTGGGTGGTATGCATTGGCTTGCCCAGTTCTGGGACCCCTGCGACTTCAGAAGGAAAGCGCAGGGTGTGTGCCCCTTGTTGGATCAATACCTTAGCTTGCACTTAGCCATGTATCTATACTTCTTCTGTACCGGCTGCTTCTTGAAACCAAGCTGGGAGTTCTTGGTCTGGCAGTGAGAGCCATGGCAGTAGATGGCTTCACAGAGAATCACCTCTCAGCTGGCAAATATCCCCTTTCTGCTGCCCTGGGCTTCTGCTGCAGGAAGCTTTAGCCCAATATTGGTGGATGGAGTACATTCTTAGAATGCATGAGATCCCATATTCAATCTTGGTGTCTCCAGGAGCTAAAAGGATCACCTAGCAAATGACAGGAGAGACTTCTCCCCAAGACCCCAGAGAGCCCCTGCCACTCAGTGCAGATAGAACTGGGTTATTTGGAAGATGCCTGGAGTAATTCTGATTCCTATGTGTTTGTAAGGATATTCACTCTTTATTTTCTTGTAGCATTAAGGCACACGCTTCTTTCTGTAGTCACATGCTTGGCTGACATCCAGAATGCGGTTATTTCACCAGTGGGACTCGCGTAATGGGAAGTAGGTGATTTCAGGAGTAGAGCCAAGAATTTAAAATGGGAAGCTAAAATAAAAGCTGAGCATTATCTCTGCAGTTTGGAAAGTTGCTTCATGTTTAATGCACATTTTTATTTGCTTCATAGTTAACACTAGTAAAGCACAAAGGACTGCACGGTTGTAGGCCATTTTTCTAAATATCTACAAATTACTTTGCTTTACTGACTCGTTGTTGTCCCCCCGCCCCACACACACTTTGTGCTCAATTAACCAAGACCCCAGAGGTTTAATGGTTTGTTTAAGCATTCAGCAAAAGTTGCATATGTGTTTTTCATGAAAGAAAAACAACAATGGAAGAAATGTAATTATTACAAATTCATGAATTAAAAACGAAACAGCAGTATTTCTGTTTTCCCAGAAACATATGTTAATATGAAAATCATATATTAATGGGCAAAAGAAATGAGATTTTCCACTGCATTAAGCAAGCCTAAACAAAAATGTTGGCGCAAATGATATTTAAGCATGACTGAACAAACTTTTCCATAAATGCCTGATGACCAGAATTAAGCAATAATTTATTTCCAAAAATATTCATTAACACAGGACACTTTAAATATAAGCAATTTGAAGGAAGAAGCATGTTTCCTACAAGGCATATGTTTCTTGCTTTGTGATGTGCTCTGATATTTTTTGTTCTCTTATAACAAACTATTACTCAAACCTTGCCAGTAATCAGAATACCTATTAAGACTGTTCCTTAACCCTCCAGCTACACCTATCCTGTATTCAGACTTGATCCAAGGTTATGTTGTTGTTGTTTTGTTTGTTTAAATCCCTTTTCTACTAAAAAGGTAGTAAGTTTAGATACCACTGGATGCCATTTTGAATTAAGATGGTGGACCAAAATGTCCCAAACTGTGCAATTTGGAACATCTCTGAAGATGACATCACCAATTTTGGCACAATAACACATGCAGAGGAGAGTGACCAATATGATCAAGGGTCTAAGGGTCTGGAAACCAAGCCTAATAAGGAACAGTTGAGATAGTTAGGTATGTTTAGCCTGGGAAAGAGGCGACTGAGAGGAGATATGAGAGCCATCTTCAAATATCTCAAGGGCTGTCACATGGAGGAGGGAACAAGCTTGTTTTCTGCTGCTTCAGACGGTAGGGCCAAAACACATTATTATTCAGATTCAAATTACAAAAAATGACATTCCAACTAAACATCAGGAAGAACTTTCTGACAGTGAGAGCTGTTTACCAGTGGAATAGACTCCCTTGGAAGGCGATGGATTCTCCTTCATTGGAGGTTTTTAACCAGAGGTTGGATGGCCACCTGTCAGGGATTCTTTAGCCATGATTCCTGCGTTACAGGGGGTTGGACTAGATGGCCCTTGGGGTCCCTTCCAACTCCAGAACTCTATGATTATCCAGAGGGTCACAGGTTCCCAGCCCCTGCTTTAAAGAGGTAAGAGTCATGCCAAAACAGCTCATCAGCAACAGCCAAGACTGGAGCTGATGGTTGATCTTTCAAAATACAGAGAAACATTAGGTACAAATCACAGTGCACAATCTATCCCATGCAATAGGAAAGATGCCAGGAAAGTAGTTACATGGGCAAGATCGAAGTATGTTAAGAATTGTAAAACAGCCCACATCTCTCTCTCTCTTTTTATAATAATTTTTATTAAGTTTTCCATATTTAACATAATCACATTCTATTAGATAATTCTATAACCTAAAACATTGCTCTAACTGAGCATCAACCTCCTTCCCTCCCTCTTTCTGACTTCCGAACATCTTTACTAAATCCTTAGCATTTTTATAACCACTTTTTTACCTTCTATCTTCTTTTTATATTTCACCTCCTTATATGTAAATCACTTTCTTATATTCACATTACAAAACATTTCAACTCAAACCTACAAACGTTTTCAGATGTTTACAATGTTCTTTCATATAAAATATAAATTTACTCCAGTCCTTTTGAAACAGTTCGTCGCGCTGATTCCGGATCTTCCCTGTCAACTTTGCCAACTCGATGTATTCCACCATCTTGATCTGCCATTCTTCCAAAACAGCCCACATCTCAGCATGTTCATGGCAAAAAGATTGCCCATCACCCACAGGAGACCACTTTAACCACTATTTCCTCTCAAGCTTTTCTGTTTTAGCCTTAAAAGTAATGCTGCCTCTGGTGTTCAGAAAGTGTGCCTGGGAATTAAAATTCTTCACTGCACTAGGCAAAGCTTTGAAGAGAGATCCAGCTTGAGTGCTTCCATTTCTCAGCCTCTACAACTGTCTCCAGCACCTTCTTTGCAAATACAAAATGCTTGCAAAATGACTGTTATCAGCTGTGCAAATGCCACCTGTAAATTGCTGAAAGCTCATTCTCAACAGTGCATGTTTTTTTTCCAACTCTTCAATTTCAATCACTTGAAACCTGGTGTGCTCCTATATGTACATCTGAAATGTTGCTCTCTTTTTATGCTGCTGGATGGAAGGTTTTCTGAAATAGGAGAGCTTGTGCATTGCTGAAAGCTGAGTTAAATGGGGATATTGCTAAAACAGCAGCAACCCAGTATTCTCTGGTGAGCCTTCTTCCTTGCTAATGGACCAGGCTCTGCTTGCTAGAGACACAAATACAACTGGATGGTCTGGTTGCATGGAGCCCATATACTCAAGCAGCTATTCTTCCATAGGTGGTCCTTTGCAGAAAAATGGGCTCAGTGCACCGATATCAGAAGGCAGGACTAGCCCTGTGGTGTGACAAACGTGGTCCCACTCAAATCATGAGTGGCCAAAATATTTCTGATGCTTTGGTGTATGTACAGTGGTACCTCAGGTTAAGTACCTACTTAATTCGTTTCGGAGGTCCGTTCTTAACCTGAAACTGTTCGTAACCTGAAGCACCACTTTAGCTAATGGGGCCTCCTGCTGCTGCCGCACTGCCAAAGCACGATTTCTGTTCTCATCCTGAAGCAAAGTTCTTAACCTGAAGCACTATTTCTGGGTTAGTGGAGTGTGTAACCTGAAGCGTATGTAACCTGAAGCGTATTTAACCTGAGGTACCGTTGTATTTCTTAAGGCATTGGATTGTGTTGTATATGCTGTATGTCACCATGAGTGGGGATCTTATTGTGGCACACAGATTTTAAAATATAAATAGCTCCAGAAAGATACCTTTTTAAAAATACAAACAAACCCCCGAACACTCACCTTTTCTGTTGTTGCTTGTCAGACCCCACCTTGTGTGAATAAGAAGGGGCTTAATGGAAAAGTCTGAAAGGGATTTTGCTCAAGTGTCTGTTGGTATTGCTGATCCTAGTTGTATAATTAGTGTGATGTTTTTGTTAATCTTGCTTTAATGTTTTAATTAGAGTTAGGGTGTTGTTTGTTTCCCAGAGGTGCATCGCATTTTGGAGCAAGGTGGAGAAGAATCAGAGGAGCAGTCAAATTGCAACGTCTGCACAGCTCTTAATTAATTTCTTGTTTTTAACGGGGATTACAAGAAATGCCATATTTTCAGAGCATAGGCGTTAGCCAATTTCAGTGTGAAATAAAAAAATGTGTACCTCAAAGAGTTGGAAACTGAGGATGTTTTGTAATGGCAAACCAATGGAATGTATAAACATCTAAAGAGGGAATAGGAAAAGAAAATGCCAGAGGGAGGAGGCTTATATGCCATGTCCCATCTGCTTCTTGGGATAATCTCATAACCAGGAGGTACCCAGAGTAACCTAATACAGGAAAACCATGAGCAGGTAGGTTATCCAGGGTCTTGAGTTTGCAGCAATCTGGTGATGACATGTATGTTTTTAAAATTATGGAGCCATTTTTTACCATTTGCATAATACCTGTGCCGCAATCCAGAGACAGTATTAATTCCTAAGTCCTATTTAGATCAAGGCTGATTAATGGATTTCAGCACAACCTTCTTTCAACTGGCCCATGGAGCCATATCCAACTTCCTCCTTTCATGATCACCAAGAGCCCTTGTGCTAAACGGAAGTTGCACTAGTGAAAGTTTGTATGTGCAACAACTGGTTCATGTTGCACAGCAATCTTTGAAAATGCATTTGTGTTTTCCATTGCACAGTAGCTGATTCTTGCTGTGCAATCTGTTGCACGGCAGTCTTCAACAATGTATTTCTGTTTTCCCTTGTGCAACAACATTTCCCCAGTGTAACAAGTATACCGCTAGGTGACTTTAACTTAGCTCTACATGGGATACAACCCCCAGTCTCCATCCTTCTGCCTGTTTATAGAACGCACTGTATTTATAGAATGCCATGTCTTTGGTCTGCCCAGGCTTCACCTTGGATGTCTAAAGCTCAAGGTTATGGTTGACAAAAGACATGGAATAATTTAATGCCGAATGCTAATCAGCTTGTTTTGTTTTGCTTCGTTCTTCTAGGGCATCAGCAGTCTGTTCAGCTCCCTTAAAGTAGTCAGGCTGCTCCGGCTTGGTCGCGTGGCTCGGAAACTGGACCACTATATTGAGTATGGAGCAGCTGTCTTGGTTCTGCTGGTGTGCGTCTTTGGTCTTGCAGCCCACTGGCTGGCCTGCATTTGGTATAGTATCGGGGACTATGAAGTTATCAATGAGGATAAAAACACAATACGGAACGAAAGTTGGCTCTACCAGCTGGGCGAATCCATAGGATCACCGTATCAGTTTAACAGGTCAGGAAGTGGAAAATGGGAAGGAGGTCCAAGCAAGGATTCTGTTTATATCTCATCGTTATACTTTACAATGACTAGTCTCACCAGTGTTGGATTTGGGAACATTGCACCAACCACGGATGGAGAGAAGATCTTTGCTGTTGCTATGATGATGATCGGCTGTGAGTATTACGGGATTAATTTCTACTATACAGTGTTTCAGACTGCAATATTCAATATGCTTGAAATAATGAGCAAGTCAAATGATTTCTTAAGGATGCAGAGATTGACTTTGCGATGGATTGAGTCTATTGGTTAGAGCGTGGTGCTGATAATGCCAAGTTTTGCAAGTTTGCAAGTTTTATGCCTGTATTGGATGGATGCATATTCCTGCATGGCAGGGGATTGGACTAGATGATCCTTGGGGTCCCTTCCAATGCTATGATTCTATCATCACCTTCATAGATCCAGCTCCCAACTTTTTGTCATTAGTAACAGTTTCGCCTCCCCTCCTGAGGGTGATTTTGAAGGGAACAGCCAGAGTGGTATAGTGTAGGGTTGCTCTATTTAAAAAAGTAAAATTCCCAACACCCACTTTTTTAAGGAAGACCCCCAAATTGTTTGAGCTTTTTTTTTTAAAGGAAACCACCAAAATTGTTGGGCTTTTTTGGGGAACAAAAAAAGAGAGAGTTTAAGCTTCTGGAGCTCTTTCCACTGCTTTTTCCATCGTGTTGCTATCCCCGCCCCCTATTTCTACACTCTAAAATGAGGCCATGTTAGGAATTTTCTAGATAGATATTTTCTAGATACTAGAATGGCAAGTCTAGTATAGTGGTTACGGAACCTGGGAGACCAGGGTTCAAATCCCCCCTCAACTGTGAAGGTCACTGGGTGACCCTGAGCTGCTGACTCACTCTCAACCTAACCTACCTCACGGGGTTGTTGTGAGGATAAAATGGGGAGAAGGAGAAGTCTGTCGGCCACCTCAAGCTCCCCACAGGAAAGGCGGGATATAAATGTAATGAAGGAATAAATATATACCTCACTACATGGTGAATGTACCAGCAATCAAAATCAGGACTCATCTAAGTCATTATCAAGTAAAATAGGTCATGTGGCTTGGCCCTAACATGCATATTTTAGAGGAGAACACTTTGCCCCTTTTACATTTTCATTGGTAAAATCGTCGTAGACACATAATCAAACCAAAGGTAAACTCTTTACCATACCATAGATTACAGCTGTTGAACACAGTTTAAATCTAATTGAAATCAGTGGAGCATCAAAGTGCTTGAAAAGTGACCTATTGTTTAGTGCGGAATAAGGAGAAATCACAACGGGAGGAATTCAAAATCATGTTTTTTCTGATCATTCTAGGAGTGCAAGCGTTTCTGCTTGCCAGGCGGAAGCAGTCCCCTTTCCCCTCCTCTCTGTTTTTTGGGTGAAGTAGGGGCATGCTGGAGGAGGAGGGGGGGCGGAGAAGCCCTATTGCACTCACGAGAGCCCTGGTGCTGGCTTCTGATGGCCCAGAGGATTAGTTGAATCTGACCCAATTCAATCAAAATGTTGGGTTTTTGTTGTATCTAGTGATATCAGGTTGCATAGTTTTCAGTGCAATCCCATACACATTTTACTCAGAATAATCTCACTGAGTTCAGTGGGGTTTACGCAGTGTATAGGATTGCTTAAAAACAACAGTACTTTAATTAAACTACTTACTGTAGGCACTATATAAACTTTAGAGCTCCTAGTTACCTGGTTTGATTGTTTCTCTCCCATATATAACCCTATGGAAATACACGGAAAAGTGGCAGGTTGGTTTCCTCATTTTATGGACGGAGATGATTTGTATTTTTTAAAAGTATGGAAGGAACGCTAAGGCCGTGGTTTTCAAAGGTAGTGCGCTACAGTGATGTGGTAGGAGAGTATGGCATGTGTGGCTGGAAGATTCAAGGACAATGAATGAAACATTTAAACCTTCCAGTGTAGTACAGCGCAGTATCATTTATTTATTTTTAATTTGTGGAATAAACTTGGTGTGGCATGAGCAAATTTTTATTCTGAAAGTGTAGCCCAGAGAAAAAAGTTTGAGAGCCACTATGCTAAGGTGATCGCTCTTGCAGGGGAAGCATTTTGGCTTGCCGAAAATAACAATACCTCCTCTCCTCCCCATAAGCTGTTCTGGGGGGTTCTCCTGACAACTTTGTGTGTGCACAGAAGGTGCTGGGGCAGGAGAGGGGAGGAAGCCCTGTTGTGTAAGCGGAAGTCCTCGCGCATGGCTTCTGCTGATGGGATTCATTCATTGAATTGCGCCCTAAATTTCAACCTCAGTCTTTCAATGTCAAAACAATGATGGTAGCAGTTAGGGCTTACATACTAAAAATGGGTTTCTGTAGTGCTCCCTTGAGAACACACCTTTGCTCAACAAACAGTGTCGTAGAAAACAACCAGGAACACATGCGTCTTTGTCAATAAATGTGCTTGTTTTAATACGTAATCATTGTGCCCTTTTGAGTCTCTGTCTCCAACGTTCCGTGTCTGACAACCCTATACTGTATAAAACCCAGACTTTAAATGGGAGTAGTCAATAGAAACAGCACAACTTCAATTACTTCACTGGAGTCAAGAAGATGCAAAATGCTGGCATGGTTAGATTTGTTCGAGAAGGAGTTACTGCTTCTAACTTAAAAAAGGAGATTTGAAGGGCTCCGTATAATGAAATGCGGACAGTAAAAAACTGTAATGTCACATAAGATGTTCTCAGTGGAATCAAGGCAGATAAAGAATAAAAATTCATATTTTTTTCTTTTTACTTGCCTGTGTTTGAGGAATACTTGAGTGTAGAACTGAAATGAAATGTACATGACTGAACCAAAGACGATAAAATGTTAAGATAAATGGTTTGGTTGAGATGCATGTACTCAAAGCATTATGACATTTCCAGCTTGAAAAAAAAAGGACCTCTTTATTGAGAGGGCTAAACAATGGATGTACCGTGTTGATAAAACAGCATAAAAGCATTTGGCAAATTACCTATAGTAAATACAGCAAATGGCTTTCTGCTGCAAACTGATTTGGATCATCAAGCCTATGACTCACTAAGAAAGAGAGGGGGGGGCATTAGCAGATAATACCAGAGACCTCTTGAAAGAGATTACACTGAGAATTAACTTGATGCTTGAGGTGCTTTGAGAGTGGAGCAGAAGAAGAAAGTTTCTTGACTGCTGAAGGGAAATAATGTTTGCTGAAAGGAAAGTTGACAGTTACTTTCTGTAGAGTGAAGGGTATTTTTGTGTGTGTGTGTGTACCTAAGCTTGTGCTCCCATGGGGGTTCCCATAAGCAATTCATGTGGCAAATATTGTGGGTTAAGCAGGGATAAGCCAGGCATCCTCACATGCAGAACACTTATTTGCTGGTTATGTGCCTGATAGGAATGGTCCCTTGTTGTTCCATCACTGGTCACCAGGTTTGTTTGTCCAGCGAATGCACAAGTCCATTTGTAAAGTAAGTGTAATGCTGAAAAGATTACTAATCTGCTCTCAAGTGAAGACATTTGTCCATTTGCTTTGGTCTGATTCACTGGAAGTCATGCTGTGCTGATGAGGATGCACCTTATGATGAAACAATTCAAGTAAATGAGACTATGGGCCTCATCCAGAGCTGGCCCACTCATGAGGCAAGGTGAGGCAAACGCCTCAGGTGGCAGGATCAACAGGGCAGCAGAGCCCGATGTAGATCTAATAATAATAATAATAATAATAATAATAATAATAATAATAATTTATTTATACCCCACTCATCTGGCTGGGTTTCCCCAGTCATGCTTGTTCCTGATATAGATCTTCATTCACCCCTTCCTCCCTGGCAAGGAAGGGGATGCCGTTTTGTGGTTTTCCTCAGGTGCCAAAATGTCTTGGGGACATCTGATTTGCTGCAGTTGCTCATGTCAAATAAATGGAAAGAAGAACTTCGTCACCTAGAATATGATCCCATGAACACACCAGGTTTGTATCAGGGATGAAACTGCAATGGGAAGAACAAACAAACAAACATTTGAATGGAAGCTGTGGGTAGCCAACACGGTACACTCCAGATGTTTTGTACCAGAAGTACTGTCAGTCATAGCAGGCTAGATCTGTTCCAGCGTTTCCATGAACTTTTATCCAACATGATCCTCAGGGTTCCATCCAGCTCTCCATTTCTATGATGGGGAGCTGGCCATACTTTAAGTTGATTATGTGGTACTGAATTGCACTTCTCTTAAAACTTTAGTGCTAAATTTAGAATGAATACAATAGGCATCATTTCTATTCAGTTTTACCATTTAGTGTGTGCTAATAAGGCTTTTGATTTGCCATTTTCCTAACAGACTTCAGCAAAGTGCATGGCATGTGATCTGAGATGAAACTGACATAAGATGTTAGGCGGTAATTGTACAATCCTTTTTGATGTTAATTCCTTATATTTCTTCACCAAAGGGGCTGGAGATAATCAGCAAACCGTATTTGCTGACGTTGATTGAGCTGATTTTTGTGAAATTGGTAAAAGGCGAAAGATTTATATGATCTGAAGAGACACCAGAGTATTGAGCTCAGAAAAATAGTTGTTTTCTCTTCTTCTAAATGTGAGTTTCCTCAAATACCCTCTAGTCTGCATGCATTCTACTTGAAATAAGAACAGTAAATTTGGCTGCAGTCCTGTGCACATTGACATAGAAGTGGCACGTGGAGCACAAGAGTGTAAGCCTAATAATAACTACTAGAAGTCCTATTGAATTGAAGCAAGTGTCATTGGAATCATAGTCTGAAACACACAGTATAATGCATTTCACCCATATATTCAAATGCATGGGACTGTGTTGTCAATATTTATTAAGGGTGATTATGGTGATTATAGAGACTAGGGCCCTGCGGGACTTGACATCTTTCTGCAGGGCCTGCAAGACAGAGCTGTTCCACCAGGCCTTTGGCCTTTGGTAATCCTCATAGAACTCTAGCCCAATGGTTGCCATTAATTTGATTCTGAATTGATTTTAGAATGAATTGATTTTAGAATGTATTTCTATTAATTGATTGTGATTTTATGTAAACTGTGTTACTTTTACTGTTGTTAGCCGCTCTGAGCCTGGCTTCGGCTGGGGAGGGCGGGATATAAATAAATTATTATTATTATTATTATTTATCACAATAATTTCAAACATATTATAGGGTTCCCTCACATAGTTTGTCTGTTACTAGAGCACCACTTTAGGGCTTCAGTAGGAGGAGCAGCAAAGGGAGATCAGCAGGACTCAAGACTTCTAGCAATGTGCTCACTGACATTATGTGCTCACTGACATTAAACAGTGAGCCCCAATGTTAAAATAGTCAGTCCTGATAAAGTCAACCATGACTGTGTGCCATTAAAACCAGTGGAACAATCAGCTTAGATCCACAATATTTAATGAGAACTAGTCGTGACTAACTTCATCTGGATCTGGGCCAGGCTATTTAAAGAACGTCTGTTGTAGTTGTTTCCTTCTGATAACAGCAGAGATATAGAAACTCCTGTGGCCTGAAGAGAGGATCTCCCTGGTTTCTCTTAAGGCAGAGCTGTCCAAACTGTGTGTCGTGACACATTAGCGTGTCGGCTGCAGTGGGAAGGTGTGTCATGCGATATGTGTCCGTATCTCTTATAAGGGGTTAGTTTAACCTCCAGTTTGCTAGTAAAACTGAGTTAAAAAGGTAAAGGTAAAGGGACCCCTGACCATTAGGTCCAGTCGTGGCCAACTCTGGGGTTGCGGCACTCATCTCGCTTTATTGGCCGAGGGAGCCGGCGTACAGCTTCCGGGTCATGTGGCTAGCATGACTAAGCCGCTTCTGGCAAACCAGAGCAGCGCACGGAAACGCCGTTTACCTTCCCACTGGAGCAGTACCTATTTATCTACTTGTGCTTTGACGTACTTTCGAACTGCTAGGTTGGCAGGAGCAGGGACCGAGCAACGGGAGCTCACCCCGTCGCGGGGATTCGAACCCCCGACCTTCTGTGTTGCAAAGTGATGCATATCTAAAAAGTGTCTTACCAACATGAAAAGTTTGGAAAGCTCTGCTCTAAGGAGTGCCCTTGCATGCAGTCAAACCCCTGCAAAGTCCCATGACATGTGTCCTAATGTGATATAGGCATAGCTGAGTGACACATTTACCCATTTCTTATTCCCCTCTCTTGCAAAAATGTGATGGTTTCAGTCCAGTGTACGCTATGTGTGTTGAAGCTAAAAACAATGGGATGAATTGAGTGATTATTTTTATTTTATTTTACTGTAATTTTATGTTGTGAACCACCCTGAGATCTACAAACAAAGGGTGGAGTAATAATAATAATAATAATAATAATAATAATGTACCAGAGATAGGTGAGTCTTCCTTGGCTGTACAGTGGTGCCTCGCAAGACGAAATTAATCCGTTCCGCGAGTCTCTTCGTCTTGCGGTTTTTTCGTCTTGCGAAGCACGGCTATTAGCGGCTTAGCGGCTTAGCGGCTATTAATGGCTTAGCGGCTTTAAGAAAAAGGAAACAAACTCGCAAGAACTCGCAAGACGTTTCGTCTTGCGAAGCAAGCCCATAGGGAAATTCGTCTTGCGGAACGACTCAAAAAATGCAAAACCCTTTCGTTTAGCGAGTTTTTCGTCTTGCGGGGCACCACTGTACTTGGATTGACTCAGAATTCTCCTGGGATTTCTTGTGGAATGTTAGGAAACCTTGGAAAAAAAATATTTAGCTAAGCCAAGGACTTAGAAAGGTACTCCTATCACCCCAAACACACTTTCCCCTCCCCTTCTATCCAGTGCCATCTTTCTAGAAAAATAGGTGCTGGAACTCACCATGAATGCCTCCCTTGTTCTCTTATTATGGCAATGGTGCCCACCTAAGAGGTGCCGGAACTGAGTTCCTGTGAGTTCTGGCTGAAAAAAGCCCTGTTTTTTTAAATCAGCAATGATGGTTCATGAGCAGCAAGGACAGGTGAGGTCAAAAGGATGGGATTTTCCCTCCCTCCACCTGTCTCCCCTCACCATTATTGTGTCTAACAAGGTGTGAGGGACTATGGGAACTGTAGTTCTGAGAACTACCACAGTCCACTGCAGTGTTCTGACCTGTTTAAATCAGGTAGTCACTACTCATGAGGTCAAGGCAGGCCAGTGGCTGAAATACCTCAAATAGGTTTGAGTGAGCAACTTGTTAACTGAACCATTATGAATCTCTTCTTCCAGCCTGTCCTTCTCAAGCTCCACCCCTTTGGTCTGAAGCCTGTGGATCCTAAAAGTCCAGCCCCCATGGGAACCTGATATATATTGGCAAAACCTATTGGTATTTCGCAACTTTCAGACTAGTTTCAGGACCTTAGCCAGACCTAGCAGAGTACATGCAGAATCCACAGAAGCAATTGGCAACTTGGCTGCAGACAGGATAGACAAAGCAGGAACCAGGAACTTGTAGTTAGGTGTTTATTATATACAGTGGACTATATACAGGAACAGAACACGGATCTTTTGCTAGCTCTCTCTGATACGACTCACAACTCCTACACTCACTGACACACAGAACTCTGAACCTCTGAACTCCTGAACTAACACATTCCAGTTAGTAGGCCATTAATTATCACTCCCTTGAGAGAGCTTGACCAATCAGGGAGCGGTCTCCATGTCTCTGTTATCACCAGGCAGACTTACTCCTTCAGATTGCCTTCTGGCTGTCTGCCAAACCTTAATTGACTGTGTGAGTAGCTGCAAGTACACAGTTTCCCAACAATATAGGCAGTCAGAACTACTGACGGTAGTTCTCAGGATTACGGTTTCCATGGTCCCTCATGCTGTTTTCATCAGAAGCGTCTTCTAAATTTGCCACCTTTATGCCAATGTATAAGATACCAAATGAACAGCAGGATTGGATGTTTTAAATAATTGGCTTTCTCTTCAAGTAATTTGTCATGTATTTCACATTGCATGTGCAATAGGGAATGTCACCGCTTGAAGTCAAACTGCTGGTTTCGAGAAGGATCTGCTTTTGAGTCATTTTAGTTCTATTGCACTCAACACAGTTCTGGATCTGTCAGCTAGTCCCCCATTTTCTTCACTGAGGTATGAATTCCATGAGGGTAATAAATAAATAAATAAAGCCGTGCCAGGAAGACCAGAGCGAGGCTTGCAAGCAATAAATAGATAATAACTTCAAATTTCAGATCAGTCAGAATAATGTGTTCCGATAGTGAGAAAAAGGTTATAAACAGTAGAAATGGAGGTCTGAAAGGTCAGAATCATGGAAATGCATGCATATTGGCTGGAATAATAGCGGTTAAGCAATGGAATCCATGAATCAAAGCAAACACACACCAAGAATGACTATTTCCCCACCTAATCGACTTCATTAAATGTTAGCATTAGTGCAGTCATCGCAGTGTCGTGGAGGGAGGCTGAAAGCAAAGGTTGCGAGGGTGCGTGAGAAAGAAATCAAGAGCAACACCAATTATTGTGCTGGTTTGCCTTGTTTTAAATAGGGTGCAGAGGTTGAGAAACACTGACATGCTTTCAGGGTGTGTGTGTGCCAAAGATATTGGGTAGGGGGAACAGGGAGGGAGAATCAGCAAAGACCAGAGGGAAGGGATATTTAGCAATCTTTGCTGTTGAATCTGTTGCAGGTGAGAAGGTGAAATGGCAGTGGAACTTAACAGCATTTGTTGTGACTGTGTGTTTGTGTGTGTACAGTGGTGCCCATTGGGACTGGTGGGGTGGAAGGCAGAGAACCCAAACAGTTGATTGATCCAGAGCCAATGAGAGGTGGTGTAACAGCCAATGAGAGGCAGAGGCAAGTAATTCTAGTGTAGTCCCATTCTCTTCCCTGCTGAGTTCTACAAGGGCAACTATGAGATCATGGACTGGCTATAAGAAGGCAGGCAGCTGGAGTTTGGACAGGGACAGACTGAGTATGTGTGTGTTCATGTGTGCATTTATAAATGACCTGATATTTTTTTTAAAAATCCAGGCAGCGTACAAGAGAAAAACAATAAGCACTACCATCAAAGCAAAACTGCCTGACAAAAGCATATTAAACCAAATAAAAACAGAGAATTCAAACAAATAATATTAGGATCCAATCTTATGGGTCAGGGAAAGCCTGAGCAAAAAGATATGTATCTGATATATACTCAGAGTCCTGTAGTGATTTCATGCTCTTTATTGCAGCTTGTAAAACAGTGATTGAATGGCCCCCCAAACCTCAGGCTTTTATATATATTATTTACACAACGAGTCCCATCTGATTGGCTGATTCTGCTTCCCTCCTGGAGCCTGATTGGTCTTTTCCTGCAGGCCAATCAGTTGTTGCATTCTAGGATCCTACTTGCCTATTGTTCTAGGATCCAACCTTAGTACATAACAGTATCTGAAAGATTTCTGGAGCAACCAATGTTTGTATCGCATACTGCAGAGGGAAGGGCATTTCATAGGACAGGGGCAATGGTGGAAAATGCCCATTTTGGGGTAATTGCCTTTTGATAAGATACAGTACTTTGAGTAGAATTTCCCTAGAGGAAGACCATAGCATTCTGCTCCATCTACAGCTTCTGGACCAATCCCAAGGGAAACCCAATAAAGGGTGCAATGCAGTAGTCCAGTCATGAGGTTATCAACACATGAGTCGTGGTGACCAAGCTATCTCTATCTAAGGAAGCGTCTAGTTGGCCAACCAGCCTAGGCTGATACTTGGTGCTTCTCGCCACAAAGGTCAAATTACAGAAATACCCAGAGAGCCCACCCTTTTAAGCAAAGGGATTTGTAAATCATATACAGGACTTTTTATATTGCCCACTTGTGATATGGATCTTGTGAGCAAGACACTATCTAGTTAATGTGCATTCGTGATTATTTGTTTGTGGAAGCTCCAAATCAGCTTTCATTGTGCAACCTGAATTTGCTGAATCCTGCCCAAAAAACAGTGCCCTTAAGTCTCCTAGCCACTATGTTACATCGCCTCTTGTCATCTCTGCATTGTCTCTGCTAATATGCCAGAATCCATATGCTGAGTAGCAATTACATAGATGTGAGTGACAGCTGTTTCCCTTTGATCATGACAGAGGGTGCCCAGCCAGCAACATTACTAGCGCATGCATAGTTCCAATGCATGCTTCCCCCCCTTTAGCACTATATGAATCAGCCACTAGAGGGCTGATATGGGAAGGCAGAAACCTGGTTTCCGCAACTGGAAATGGCAAATGACATCCTTACTGTCCCGTGAATTCTATTCATTTGATATGCTCAGCAGTTCAGCCCTTTCTTGCTTGTAAAGTTTAATGGAGAAGTATACTAGGCCCATGTAATTTTCTTTCTGCATGAGGTATTGTACAGAGCCTATTTGATCATCTGCCAACTACAGAAACGACCAAGCTCCCTATTGCAAAACTGAGTGAAAGGAATAAAGGGAATGAAAAAGCTGCTGGTTTTTTTTTTTTAAATAAAAAAAATCTGATCTATTTTTGTCACTGTTGAAATCAGGTTTCGTCCCAAACTATCAACTGGAGCAACTCACCCTTACATCTTTTCATTGCCACAGATTCTTGCTCCCTTTCTCCTTCATGTTTCTTTACTGCTCCCTATTCTTTAGTGAAAATGTATATGCTTAGGATGCAGTCCAGTTTTCATTTAAAGGTGAACCTATCTAATTCTCATTTTCCAGAACACTACATGAACCCAAAGCACAGCCATGCTTCAAAATTCACACTTCTCTGAATTTTGCAGTGCAGTTCTCTCCAGCCAAGCAATTTTTTTTAAAAAATGCATATAGTAAGGTAAAACATGCAAAATGTTTTGCATATTAGTGAAAGTAATATAGAAACATGCATGATATCAGGAAAAGTGGCTTTGCATACATATATATGAGGATAAATTTGCACTAACTTGCTCATGGATTTTCATTAAGACTTTTTTAAAAAAATGGCCAACTGGTGTGGAAATGTGGAGAATCAAATATAAGACTGCAAAAACCAGAAACTAAGAGAAACTAAAATTGACAGATTTGCCCATACCTAGCACACACTACACCCCCCACCCCCGATACCTTGCCTTGTTATATAATTTTATGATCATGTTTATTTTATTTAACATAATTTATTCACTACTTAATTTAAATATATAACCTCTAAACGCATGGTCAGAGCTTGAGAACTTAGGTATTTGAATCCATAGCCTGTCCATGCTGAAGAATCAGGGCAAGTCAGCAATATTTCTATTGCAATTTGCCTAAATTCAGTTTGCCTTGATCAGAAGAGATGCTCCAAACTGTCTCCTCACCAGACAGGCAAAACAGGCCCATGAATCTGCAGAAAGTGGAGAGAACCCTCAGCACAATGTTATTTAATCAAGATGATCGCAGCTGATGAGCTTCCTCTGTAGATCTAATGTGAGAATGAATGTGAGTGGTTGTGCTTAGCAGGGTGGGTTCATTTCAGTCCATATGAAAAAAATATTTGACACATTATTAAACTGATCAATAACCCCAAAGAGGATTTAGACGCTGTTCTGGTTTGTGTGCAGCTTCTTCTGGCTGCCTGGGTTCAGTTTACTTCTGCAGAGTTTATCCTCTGTCGGCTTCTCAAAAATCCTATCACTGCGGTTTTGCCAGCATCAAAAGTAATATCTTTCCCTGAGCCTGAGAGTAGAAACTTGCATCCCTTGAGGATGTATGGGGAAAGTACTCTGAAATGACCAAATAGAGAAGCTTGCTTTTTATTAAAATTCACACAAGTTTTTACAGTTTTCTCTTTGGAAAACCTGTAGGAAGACAAGCGACTTAGAAGTGCTTCACCTACTGAGACTGAAGGGGAAATAAGAAGAAGAGTTTTCCCCTTGCTTCACAGTGAAATACAGGATAGCTGGTCTTTGCTCTAGAATGCACTGGTGGAGCCCATCCAGTGTTTCCGCCAGCGCATTTACACCACGCTGACCTTGCAACCACCTCCCCCTTCCCCTGTACCTCTCAGTAAGCAGCAGGGAGACCAGGGCAATGGGAGGCCAGGTGAGTCCCACCAACCATTACTGGATGCAAGAAAGCATGCATGTATGATTTTGCAACTGGTATGGTCAATGGTTAGGAATATGGAAGTGGAAGTCTTACAAGATCTGGAGGTTCCCCATTCCTGACACAGAGCCAACCAGTTGCATTCCAGAGTCTCCAAGTGTCCCTATTTTCCAGAGACAGTCCCGGATTTACAAGAGCTGTCCCGGTTTCTGATGTGATTCTGGAATGTCCTGTTTTTCCTTAGGATGTCCCTGTTTTCATTGGAGAAATGCTGGAGGGTATGGAGTTATGTCACACACACCCAAGCCAAGGATAGAAGTAACTGTACATCCTTTAGAAGACATCTGAAGGCAGTCCTGTATAGGGAAGTTCTTTAAGGTTTAATGTCTTATTATTTTTTTTATACACAGTGGTACCTCGGTTGTCGGGCGTAATCCGTTCCGGAATACTGTTCGACTTCTTAAACGTTCGACAATTGAGGTGCAAATGGTGGTCGGCAAAGTCAATGGAGAAAAAAGAAAAACATGCAGCGGAAGCCGTTCGACTTCCGAGGTGCATTCGAAAACGGAAGCAATTACTTCCGGGTTTTTAGCATTCAGGTTCCGAAACATTCGACTTCTGAGACGCTCGAAAACTGACGTACCACTGTATGTTGGAAGCCGCCCAGAGTGGCTGGGGAAACCCAGTCAGATGGGCAGGGTATTAATGATGGTGATGATGGAATAAGACAACCCTGTTTCCATCAGAGAAATGTTGGAGGTTATGAAATTATTTCAGTGGTGAGAAGGTTGTAGAGCAGCCTTTGTTTCATTACTAGAAGTTCACTTTGGAGCTTTGTTGTACAAGGAGGGGGGACCTACAGTTTTGCTTTCAATGCACATGCACTTTCTTGTGCTATTATAACCAGTGGTGCAATGGAGGGGGAAGCACAAGTCTGAGACTTTTTTCTCAACAGGAGGGATGACTTCAACTGCCAGAGTGCTAGGGTAATTAACAAATCCTCTTTGCTCTGACTAGTAAATGAGGAGATAACAAGGCTTTAAAGTTCTAGGGTAGTTTGTATAGGATTAGTACAGTCATACCTCTTGTTGCGTTCGCTTCATGTTGCAGATTTTCGGGTTCCAAACGCGGCAAACCCAGAAGTGTATACTTCCGGGTTTCGCCATGTGCGCACATGCAGAAGCGTTCTGCACACTTCGCACATGCGCAGGAGCACTCTATCGCGCTCTGTGCTTGCGCAGAAATGCAGCTCTAGTTGTGGACTTTTCGGTGTGCGAATGGCACCCCGGAACCGATCGTGTCCACAACTAGAGGTACCACTGTATATAGGAAGTGAGACGATCCAACTGGGCTGCATTTTTAGGGTTCTCCTTGGGGATTCTATTGCTATAGGACCTTATTTAAAATTTAAAATTCTACCGCTACTCTACTTGTTACAACAACTTTCTAATCCATGCACACAAGGAGCTATCTGCCTTAAGTGAGGACACAGGTATGAGTTACTCTTTCACTAGGCTTATTGTGAGACTGTTATTTCCTTGATATTAGTAGGAGTTGTATGAGAACTGGGCGAATTTAATTTTCTTTTCTACAGCTGTCTTCCTATATTTTTGATTCCTGTCCCACATTTGTACTCACACTTTCCCCCCCTGTTGCCTGCGGAAATGTTGAAATCAATAAAGAATTAAGAATGCCAAACTGCATTTCTAAAAAGGGCTCTTTCTTAACACTGTTTGCAGATAATAGACTCTACCTTCAGAAGCTATTTTACTCCAACAGTGACAGAATGGAGAAAGGAATGACAGTGGCGGCTTAAGAAGATAAAAACTGCAACTGTATAGAAACTGATCTGAGAGTAACAGTGTGATCCTAATGCCCCAGATCTGTGTTGCTGGGTGTGTGTGTGTTTGGATATGGTGGAGGGTTGCCCCTCAACTAGGAATGGATCTGTCAGTTTTGTCTCTCTCCGTTTTCCATTTTTCCATTCATCAATTCAGTTCTTCACATTTCAGCAGCTATTATATATATATATATATATATATCCCGTTTCCTTTAGCTTTTCACTTTCCACTTTGCCATCATTTCTCTCCTTTTTGAACCCTGCTTAATTATTGGAAAATACCACTCCAACCTCTTACATTCCTGCCACAAACTGAGTTGCAGGGGCGAAGATGGTGTACTGCTATTTCCAGGTACTGTCACAGCTGGATGTGAGGGGCTGGCAGTTCTGAGCTAATTGATGATGCTGGCATGCTGCAATTAACCTCATTAGGGCTTGAATTACATCTAATTAAACCCTTGTCTCGGACAGGAGCCGTGTAATCCCTTCTTGCTGCTGGGCTGTCCCTCGGCGGGGGTCACACTGAAGCCTGCTGGGTTTTGAGTCCGAAGCCAGAGTGGGAGGACAGGAGCCGCCAAAGCGTCATGTTGTCACGTACCTACAAGTGCCACTGACAGCTTAGTCCTTTCAAATATTTTAAACTTTCTGTTGGAAAGTATTGTGGTATTTCAGCTGGTGTTGTTTTTATTAAAGATTTCTTAGTTTTCAAAAGTATGTGCAATGTCTCTTTTTTCAAGCTGTGTTTTCTACAGATCAGTTTCATTTGATGTGAGACATTAGTGTTACAGTAGGAAGAAAATACTTAGTGTATATGTGGGGTGGCAATACTTAGTGTATATGTGGGGGTTTTGTGTCAGCGTCACTTGTGTGGGTTCTTTACTATTTGCTTGCATTTCTTTGGAGGTGAGAGAGGTTTGGGGGTGGCCTAGGTTGTGGTTGGTTGTCTTTGACTGGTGGTAGTAAAATTTGTTTTCATGTGTGAATGGGGTGAGTGGGTGTTTTTGGATCAGGTTAGCCAGATTGATTCGTATGCTCTTGGTGGGTTCTTGCTGTTGTCGTGTTGGGCTGTGTATGTGATAAAGGGGAGCCATACCGGGGAGAAGGCGTCTTCTATTTGTCCCGTGTCAGTTTCAGTTTGTTGGTTAGTTTTTCTAATAAGGCTGTTTCCCATACTATTTGATACCATTGGTCCATGCTTACTTCTGACAGGCCTCTCCAGCGTCTAGCTATGATGTTTCTAGCTGCTGAGAGTAGGCGGGTTATGAGCTCTTTGTGATGGGAGTGGGCATTATTGTCTTGGAAGATGTTTAGTAGGGCCAGTTCTGGGGTGACTTCTAATACTTGCTTAGTTATTTTGCATATATCTTGTATGATTGATGTGAACAGTTGTATTTTAGGACATTCCCGCCACATGTGGAGGTATGTGTTGTGGTTGCAACACTTTGTTTAGTATGTAGGAGAGTGATTTCTTTCACAGGGCCTTCTTTCTACCAGCTGCTGAGGTATTGTGGCTAAGAAGTCCCTTGTTCATAGGGATCTGGGCTGTTCCAAGTCATACCGGGCTAGTTTAGCATTTATTCTGGCTGGAATAAAGGCCTTTCTTGTTACCAACTACAGAACCCCTGACCCTCCAAGTGTCCCTGCTTTCCAGGGACAGTCCTAAATTTACAGAAGCTGCCCCGGTTTCTGATTTGATCCCAGAATGTCCCGCTTTTTCTTAGGAGGTCCCTATTTTCATTAGAGAAATGTTGGAGGGTATGGAGTCATGCAACTCCCGAGCCAAGGAGATAAGTAACTATATAGGGTTAGTTTTGTTGTTGTTTAATGTTTTATTATGTTTTCATATATGTTGGAAGCTGCCCAGAGTGGTTGGGGCAACCTAGTCAGATGGGCAGGCAATTGTTTGTTTGTTTGTTATTGAATAGGTCATCCCTGTTTTCTTTGCAGAAATGTTGGAGGGTATGGAATCCTCCTTTTTAACTGGATACAACAGAGGTGTGTGTGTGTGTGTGTGTGTCTGTGTGTGAATTATATGGGATATGTGACCCTACAGATGTTGTTGGACTACCTTTATCATCCCTTGAAGAAGGCACTATTGTGCCCACTCCTGGAAAAAACCCACCCAGGGCTTGATATTATTATTATTATTATAGTGATACATCCATGTGATACATCTGGAGGTATATATCTTTATGTATATCTGTGCAAATGCAATAATAATATGGCACAAATATGGTGCCAGTCCCTGGCATATTGCAGGATGAGGGTTGGATTTTGCTGGTATGCCACATCAGATAGTTTTAGAAGCCCTGATCTAATCCAAGACCTTTCTTAATGCAATATAGTAGGATTCCACCCTACATCTCCCACATAGGGTTTTGCTTAGCTTTCGTATCCTGAAATAAAAACCCTGCCTGATGTACTGTAAGCACAGGATAGGATACAATCCCATATCAATAGGGCATAAATAATGTGGCTGTTAAGGCTGTGGCCCTTAATAGCTGTAATTTCCTGGACTTTTGGAGCTTCTGAAGATGGAAAGCTCTTAGCCCAACCTGCTAAACCAAAAGTGATTTGGTTTAATTGAACAGATATTCAAATATATTGGGTGGAATTCAACATTGCACTATGAATATGTCCCACCTGCGCAAGCATTTCAGCTTGCCAGAGACTTCTCCTTCCCCTATGTGCTCTTCTGGGGGTCCCTCCAAAACCAACTGTGGGGAGTGAGGGGGATGAGAAGGGGGAAAGCCCTGTTGCATATGCAAGGAAGTCCTTGCAGGGGCTTCCACTCAGGGGCATAGGAAGGGGGGTGCGGTGGGGGCAGTCCACCCCGGGTGTCATCCCGGGGAGGGGTGACAAAATCCCCCCCGGGAGGATCGCCAACGCGCCAATCGGCCCCCCTGGGTGTGTCGCTGATGTGCCTATTGGCCCCCCCGAGAGGGTCACCGGGGCACCAATCGGCCCCCGGGTGGATTGCCGAGACACCAATCACCCCTGTGGATGTATCACCCTGCCCCCTGGGCAGATTGCACTGCCCCATGGATGGATCACCCCACCCCTGGGTGCGTGGCATGTGTGCTGTTCCGGGTGCCGGAGCGGCTAGCTCTGCCACTGCTTCCACTAATAAGGCTTCTTAGGTGATTCCCACAAATTATATATATTACACACACACACACACACACACACACACACACACACAGAGTGGTACCTCGGGTTACAGACGCTTCAGGTTACATACGCTTCAGGTTACAGACTCCGCTAACCCAGAAATATTACCTCGGGTTAAGAACTTTGCTTCAGGATGAGAACAGAAATTGTGCTCCGGCGGCGTGGCGGCAGCGGGAGGCCCCATTAGCTAAAGTGGTGCTTCAGGTTAAGAACGGACCTCCGGAACGAATTAAGTTCTTAACCTGAGGTACCACTGTATTCGAGAGAGAGTTTTTCCACTCAGTATTTTTATATATGGACATGTTCATACATGCAACAGTGATCCTCAATGCCCTTGCACCATCATCCTCCATCATAACATGTGCATTCTCACAGCCAGTGTGGTGTAGTGGTTAAGAGCGGTGGACTCGTAATCTGGTGAACGGGGTTCGCTTCCCCACTCCTCCACATGCAGCTGCTGGGTGACCTTGGGCCAGTCACACTTCTCTGAAGTCTCTCAGCCCCACTCACCTCACAGAGTGTTTGTTGTGGGGGAAGAAGGGAAAGGAGAATGTTAGCCGTTTTGAGACTCCTGAAGGGGAGTGAAAGGAGGGATATCAAATCCAAACTCCTCCTCCTCCTCCTCCTCCTCCTCCTCCTCTTCTTCTTCTTCTTCTTCTTCTTCTTCTTCTTCATCACTGTGTGTGTAGAACATCAGCCCTGCATGAATCTATACATAATCTAGTTAGCTCAGTTGGTTAGAGCATGGTGCTGATAACGCCAAGGTTGTGGTTTCAATCCCCATACAGGCCAGCTGCATATTCCTGTATTGCAGGGGGTTGAGCTAGATGACCCTCGGGGTCCCTTCCAGCTCTACAGTTCTGTGCTTCTATTCCACTCAGCGAGTCCTGAACTTGGTAGCACTTGGTGGATCTGCTTGGTTTGTTGTCTGCTGAAGCTCACAACCATGTATGTCATTCAGATTGTGTCTTTTCCTCTCTCCCCTCCCTTCTGCTGGGCTTGCAGTAGGATGGCTGTTGATTCATTGGCTGACATTACATGAGTAACTGCTCTGCCGCAGTTCCTCACCTTCAAAATTGACATAACAATTCGGAGCTGCCTGACTCAGGATAAGCAGGTAGGGCTTGCTGAGGAAATGCTGGGAAAGCATGTCACCTTTGAGCAAATGGTTAGGTAGCATCCATATCAGCTTCAAATCCTCCTTGCCATCCTGAAGAAAGTTGAAATGGCAAACCTATATTTAAAAGCTGCTAAATATAATATTCCAAATCGTTCAGTGTGAATATCACTTGGACTACTCTGTGTGGGGCTACCTTTGAAGGTGACTTGGAAACTACCACTAATCCAGAATGCGGCCGCTAGACAGGTGACTGGGAGTGGCCACTGGGACCATATAACACTGGTCCTAAAGGATCTTCATCAGCTCCCAGTGCGTTTCCGAGCACAATTCAAAGTGTTGGTGCTGACCTTTAAAGTCCTAAACGGCCTCGGCCAAGTATACCTGAAGGAGCATTTCCACTCCCATCATTCTGCCCAGACACTGAGGTCCAGCTCCGAGGGCCTTCTGGCGGTTCCCTCACTGTGAGAAGCAAAGTTACAGGGAACCAGACAGAGGGCCTTCTCGGTAGTGGCACCCGCCCTGTGGAACACCTTCCTTTCAGATGTCAAGGAAATATACAACTATCTGACTTTTAGAAGACATCTGAAGGCAGCCCTGTTTAGGGAAGTTTTTAATGTTTGATGATTTATCGTGTTTTTAATATTCTGTTGGGAGCTGCCCAGAGTGTCTGGGGGAAACCCAGCCAGATGGGCGGGGTATAAATAATAAAAGTATTATTATTATTACTACTACTACTACTACTATTACTATTATTATTTCCCATGACTTAATCTTTATTATTATTTTAAAGGAATTCCCCTCCCCCATTCTTCAGCTGAAAAAGCCAGTGCACCAGAAATTCCTGGTTTGGGCACATATAATGAGCCTGCTGGATCAGGCCAATGGCCCATCTAGTTCAGCATCCTGTTCTTACTGTGGTCAACTGGATGTCTGAGCATGCAGGCAGCACCTGAGTGAAACAGCACTCTGCCCAGTAACTGGCATTCAGAGGTAGAATGCAGCCATTGATACCCCTCTCCTCCCTGAATTTGTATAATCCTCTTTTAAAGCCATTCCAGTTCATGGCCATCACTGCCTCCTGTGGGAGAGAGTTCCATAGTTTAACTGTGCACTGGGGTTTTGTCTGTCCTGAATCTTCCAGCATTTGGCTTCACTGGATGACCAATAGCTCTAGAGCATGGGTAGGTAAACTAGAGCCCGGGGGCCGGATCTGACCAAATTGCCTTCTAAATCTGGCCCGTGGACGGTCTGGGAATCAGCGTGTTTTACATCAGTAGAATGTGTCCTTTTATTTAAAATGCATCTCTGGGTTATTTGTGGGGCCTGCCTGGTCTTTTTCCATGAGTAGAATGTGTGCTTTTATTTAAATGCATCTCTGGGTTATTTGTGGGGCACAGGAATTCGTTCATTATTATTTTTCCAAAATATAGTCCGGCCCCCCACAAGGTCTGAGGGACAGTGGACCGGCCCCCTGCTGAAAAAGTTTGCTGACCCCTGCTCTAGAGCTATGAGAGAAGGATAAAAACATTTCTCTATCCACTTTCCTCATGCCATGCATGATTTTATAATGTCACCTCTAACTCACCTAAACTAATAAGTCTCAAATGCTGCTGCCTTTTCTCCTAGGGGGACTTGTTCCTCCCACTTGCCCCTTTCTGAACCTTTTCCAATTCTATAACACCTGTTTTGAGGTGAGGTGACCAGAAACTGTACACAGTATTTCAAATGTGATAGCACCATAGGTTTGTATAACGGCATTATGATATTGTGAGTTTTAGTTTCGATTGCTTCCAATAATGATCCCTAGCATGGAATTTGCCCTTTTTACTACTGTTGCACACCAGATCAACATCTTTGAAGTGTAGGTGGGTTCCCACGAGGCACTACACAGTGATAACAGCAAGAACTTTTATTGAACTAACAGAACTCGACAACAGGGGCAAAGGAACTGCTTATTTACATTTCTGCAGGCCTGGGCCGCTCCCACTCCCAATGTGATTGGCTGTCCAAACTTCCAAGCTGCAAATCATAACTCAGAATTTAAAAGCCAATGGCAGAGGCCCAAATCCTGAAATGTTCTGTGGTTGGATTTCATATATTGAATCAGACTACAGAGGCTCAGAATTCTTAGTCCAGACTCAAGCTCAGGCAAACACAGACCACTGAATACGTAACAATCTTTATTGAGCTATCCACTACAAGTTGCTGGTCAGTCACTGCCAGTTCAGATCCCATGAGTGTATATGTGAAATTAAGACTTTTTGCCCTGACATGCATCACTTTACATTTGTTTACACTGACTCGCATTTGCCATTTTACCACCCCTTCTGTTTGGAGAGTTCTTTTTGGAGCTCCTCACAATCCCTTTAAAAATACATATATTGAACTGATCAAACTGGAAACTGTGTACATGCTTTGATTATTGTTTGTTGTTGTTGTTTAGTCATTTAGTTGTCTCTGACTCTTCGTGACCCCATGGACCAGAGCACGCCAGGCACTTCTGTCTTCCACTGCCTCCCGCAGTTTGGTCAAACGCATGCTGGTAGCTTCGAAAACACTGTCCAACCATCTCGTTCTCTGTCATCCCCTTCTCCTTGTGCCCTCCATCTTTCCCAACATCAGGGTCTTTTCCAGGGAGTCTTCTCTTCTCATGAGGTGGCCAAAGTATTGGAGCCTCAGCTTCACTATCTATCCTTCCAGTGAGCACTCAGGGCTGATTTCCTTCAGAATGTATAGGTTTGATCTTCTTGCAGTCCATGGGACTCTCAAGATTTTCCTTCAGCACCATAATTCAAAAGCATCAATTCTTCGGTGATCAGCCTTCTTTATGGTCCAGCTCTCACTTCCATACATCACTAATGGGAAAACCATAGCTTTAACTATACGGACTATTGTTTACTTGATTATTGTTACTTAATAAATAATAATACTTTTTTAAAAAGTGCATTTCTCGATACTGATCTCTTCCTGTTCGGCACTAGCTACAAAATGTCTTGCAAGAATCAGTGATGAGGAGCAAGAGCGGACCTTGCAGTGCTTCCCTTTCCCTTTAACTTTCCCTTTAACTTTCCCTTTCCCTCAGTATATTCAGTACAGCTGTACTGGAGTGTAGAAGGCATTTTCAATTTAGAAGCCAATCACAGAGTCTCCCGTGTGGGAATTGTGCATGGTCCTCAAAGAAAAAGCATACTGGAATAAACATCTCTATCACAATGAAGTCTGGAAGTCCGTGCAGTAGACTTAACTGTGCTTGCACAATCCTTAGCAAAGTAGAGTTCAGGTCTTCTGATATGCTGATTTTTACCGGGTGCCATTCCTAGTGACCTCAAGTGAATTTTCCATACAAGATTAAGGATGTCATGCGAAGGTTTTCTGCAGGCGGTTGCCAAAATCATTCTAAATGTACAGAATCAACAACAATGTAGACTTGTTATTGTTTTTTGCTTCAGTTGATTTGCCTCTAACAGCTAAGAATATTCCGATACTGAGCTATCCTGGCTGTGAGCCCTTTTGATCTTCAATGACACTTCAAGGGTGTGAGGTGATGCTGGATTGTAAACAGAGAACTAAATAGCTTGTGGCTAACAGTTCACAGAACAGCAAGGCAATAAATGTGGAAGCAGTGCTGCTAACAATAAGAAACAGGTGATCTGAAAATAATGACCTCCAGACTCAAAAAGATTTGTTGTGCCCCAGATAGATGGTGGCATTTGTCCTTCTGAGAAAGATGAAAGTTTATTCAGGGTCAATTAAGAATCCTTGCATTAAGACTTCTGTGTCTGAGTGTTCTAAAATGATCTATTATATCGACATGGATGGCACAGCCATCATTTGTTTTAGCTTAAAATTTGCTTCAAAGGAGAATGAAAGGGGCTGGTGAATCATGGATAAGTCTCATGGATAACAATGAGATTAACACCTACTTTGCCCCTGTCTTTGCCCAAAAGGAAAACAGTGCCCAACCTGGTGATAACAGAATAAACAATAAAGCAGGGAGGGAGCTGCAGCCCAATATAGGAAAAGAGGTAGTAAAGGAACACCTAGCTACTTTAAACGAATTCACATTTTGAGGGTCTAATGAGCTGCACACAAGGGTACCAAAGGAGCTTGTGGATATTTCAGAACTTCCGTCTATAACCTTTGAGAAATCTTGGAGAACAGGTGAGGTCCCTGCAGATTGGAGGCAGACAAATGTTGCACCTATCTTCAAAAAGGGGAAAAGGAAGATCAATTGTCAACTGTTCAACTTGAGGTCAATGCCAGGGAAGGTTCTAGAACAGATAAACAATTTGTCTGTGAGCACTTAGAAAAGGATGCTTTTATTGCTAAGACTCAGGTGAATTTCATTTATTTTTTTGGTAGAATTACAAGCTTGGTGGATCAGGGGAATTGACAAAGTCCCCCTGCCCCCAAGGTCACCCCCAATATTTGTGCAGAGAAGATGGAGACAGAGAGATGATAAAAACAAAGAGTGAAAGTAGTGGAAAATTAAAGGACATCTCATGTTGCAAATTGAGATTAGCATTGGGTTCAGAATTTGAAAAAGGTCGAGGGTTATCATTCAGAAAATGTTTTTGGGTTGATCTGGCAATTTCAATTCACTTTGAACAAATTTCAGCAGTGATTACACATTCATACATCACAGAAATTGTGGCATAATGACCATAATCTGTGTGTCAAGAGCATTTATTTTCACCAGAAGGAACATACTCTTCCTCTGTGGCAAAAAAAGTGAAGAACCACCACTAAGTGTTTCTGGAGTCAAAAGGGCATGGTGATCATAAATAAAAAGCAATAATGGTTTTTATTTTTATGTCCATTCATTTCAAGGGGTCTACTCTTGAGTATGACTTAAGACACAGCCCACTGAAAGGAGAATCAGTCCTGGAAGGTGCACAGTATTAAGAACAGCTATTGCATTAATAAAGTCTGATTTGCTTCTGATCAGTTTGGCTCACTTTGGAGAATTCTAGCTGGGAAAATGATCCAAATATTGTTGTGGGGGAAGAGGAGGGTGTCTTCCTTTATATTCTCCCTTTGGCAACTGAGGCTTGTTGAGTGCTCTGTGGAATCAAACTTTCATGTTAAGTTTGACTCCTTTTCAAAATCGAGCATAGAGAGCTTGTTTCTCTTCAGCGTCTTGGAAACATAGCCTGGGCCGTGATTATGTTTCCAAAATGCTGAGGAGAAACAAGCTACCAGACGTCTATTCTTTCAGACAGGCAGCTCGATCCCTTGTGACTGAAAATGACGATTAGAGCCAAACGAAGTTGAATAGCATTTGCCCTGAGCATTCTCCTGCAGAGCTTTCTCTAATGAGCTCCTACACTTACAGCATACAGCTTCTAGCATTTAAAACTGTGTTGTTATTATTATTTTTAAGGCTATATTGGTGGTGGAAGGGAATTCACTTACTGATCAGTGCCTGTCCTGATATTTTGATAGCTGTCTTTGATAAACGACTGTCCTCGAGATGCTTTTTGTTGATGTGAGTTGCTAGAAAGATCAATTCTTCAGATTTGTGTGGGGTTTTCTTTACCCCACACCCTCCAACATTTCTCTGATGAAAATAGGGTTGTCCTAGTCCATTCTTCTTCTTCTTCTTCTTCTTCTTCTTCTTCTTCTTCTTCTTCTTCTTCTTCTTCCCATCTGACTGAGTTGCACCAGCTACTCTGGGAGGCTTCAAGCATATATAAAAACATAATAAAACATTAAACATTAAAAAAACTTCCCTATACAAGGCTGCCTTCTAGAAGTTACTCATCTCCTTAGCTCAGGGCTCACTTCATGCTCTCCAACATTTCTCCATTGAAAATAGGGACATCCTAAGGACAAGTGGGACTTTCCAGGATCAAATCAGAAACTGGGATGGCTTCTGTAAATCCGGGACGATCCCTGGAAAATAGGGACATGGAGGGTTTGCTACCCCCACTTTGGGATCTATTGAAGTTCCAAAAGGCATCTTTCTCCCCTGTAAACAGGGCTGGTCCACAGCATTTTGCTGCCGGAGGCAAAGGGCCATCATGCTTCCATTCCATGAATCCAAGTGGACCAGCATTTGAATCTTACTTTTACACCAATGACAGGACAGTATCTCCCACTGCACTTGGGGGCAGTATCTGCTGTCTGAGACAGCTGCCTCATTCTGCCTAGTGATAGGGCCAGCCCTTCATGTAAAGGCATGCACATGAGCACTAAGCCATTGTGTATATTTAGCATGCTAAAGCTGGTGAGGACAGTTCTGAACTGTTGAGAATATATTGTCGGATAATTATGCATTTATTGCATCTCTAGCCAAACCAACAAGTGGTGTGCTTTTAAAACAGTGAAGGGCAGGCTATTTGAGGTTAAAGGAATACAACAGGAAGAAAAGAACTGTGAGAAATGTATATATTCAGGAGTGCTAATTCAAGTTTTAGTTCTGTTGGGGGAGGCAAGAATATTTTGACCCATCATGTAATCACAGGAGTCTTTTAGGTACACAAGACTGTACTTGTTCTCATTTGTAAGACCTTGAAGATTATGCACTGTTGCAAAGTGGCCTAGTTCAGGGGTGGAGAACCTTTGGCCCTCCTAATGTTGTTGGACTCTGAGTAATCAGGGAAGACTCAACTTATTATGGATAGTCAACATGTAAGGAGAAGGAATGCTGTCATTTCTTCACAAGCACCATCCCTCTTATTATCAGCCTTCTCCAACCATCTAGATGTTTTGCACTCTAATTCAAATCCGCCCCAGTTAGCATGGCCAATGGTCTGATGTAATGGGAGTTGTAGTCCACTGATATCTACTTGGGCAAAGGTCCCCCATCTTTGGCTTAGATTATTTTGCCTGCCTTCCTTGGCATTTTTATGTCTGACTCCTGCACTTAGGTCCCTTAGTGTGTGAAACATGAGGTCAAGGCAGAGTGAAGTTTTATAGTAATTCAAAATGAGCTTCATTTCCCCACATTAGGTCAATTATCCAGCTGATTTTACCAAGATAATGTAGTGCAGAATCCCATTAATTACACAGAATTGAATCACTAAAGTGTTTTGCATGCTTGAGCTTGTAAATCTGTCTTTAGCTTCCATGGTAATGATAGCAGGCAGAATGGATAGCTTGCCATTTAATGGAGTCAACGGTATTTTGCCTTTTAATGGAGTCAACATGAAATTATTTTTTCGCCGTGTTTTTGACCCACGTAACTGAAAGTGGAGCAAAGTGCCTATTAAGTATGGCTTTTAATGCTGATATGCATTTTGGGGACTGTTTATACTAGGGAAACTCAATAACCACATTATCTGTACTGGTTGATTGATACATTTTCCAATTTAACAGTATCTTCCTAAAGGAAGGAATATTTAATGATAGGGGCACTGACCCCGCAACCCCCATTGATGGGTTCATCACATGACCCACCACGGCCAATTTTATGTATATTTGTCATTTAAAAAATAAAAATCATGAAAATTCAAAATTTTTAGTGCTAATTTCCCCCAACAAACACATTTTTAATGTAGTTTTGACCAATACACACATGTTACAAGCCATTTTACCTCATAATATTCATTTTTGTATGTCATGTTGACTAATTTATGTGTTTTTCCTTTAATATAGGCAGCAATTCATTTTACGTATACATCCCAACCAACTTCTTTCCTATTAAAACAAATATTTGAGTCTGTTAAAACGCTAAATCCACATGCTCTGAAAATACGAGTGCATGTTATTACAGTGAACATTTAAGACACCCCCCAAACCAAGTGATATTTTGTTTAAGTGCCAGTGTTAGAAAAAATACATCTGTGTATATTTTTGAAGGTGAATGTTCCCATTAAGAGTGCATTGTACCCCTTCTCCCTACATGGATGGCTGGGTGATGGGGCTTGGATGGTTCCTATATGGTTTTCCAAGATGATGGAGCTCCATTGCTGGTGTGGTGGCTCCCCATGTGTGGGATTGCTGCTGATGGGAGAGGGAGAGTCTGTATGGATCTTCTCATCTGTGGAAGGACTGGGGAGGAAGAATGTAGAGGGGAACTGGATCGTCCTCTAACGTAGTTGACTAGGAAGTGCTTGAGCAAACAGATATCTAAGAAGAATAACCAGAAATAGAACTTTAATGGCAAATGTATTTAAGGAAACTCTTCTAAAATAGAGTTCCTTATTTTTTTCACTGGAAAGATCTCTGTGATTCTTTGGCGGCATGCAAATTAATGACAGAACAGAACAAGATGTGTTTCAAATGGGAGAATAGCCACCAGAATAACAAGAGAGCGCGATAGGAAAATATTTTTAATAACTCCATTCGTGCCTGCTGTTTGATTACAATAGCAGATTAGGGCTAAGTATGCTATCCTGACTCATTATTTTCTGGCAGCAAACATTAATTAGAAGGGGAAATGTCTTAGGAGCAGGCTTGGATTTTCTCTCTGTCAAACTTCTTTCTAAAATTGAAAAAAAGGAAAAGACAAATTTAGGATGCATGATCTGTAAAGATTTATAACCACTTCAGCCCTTGAGCCGCAAACAGATATATTTATTACTGACAGCTGTAATGTGCTGGAGTGCATTCATGTCTTCATATCACTTCATAATTTGTTAAGCTCAGATCCAGGAAAATATGTTTACTAGTGTGTTTTGCCCTTGTATTGGTAAATCACACATTAGTTGCATGCTGTTGACACTGCTTTTAATGACTATGGGAAATCTAGAGCAATACTCCAATATTGTATGTGGGAGATGATGTGTGTGGCAGAGGGGGATAGCAAAGGCAACAAAACAGTTCAGCTGTTAGATCTAGTGCTGAAGTAAACCTGAGAGACTTGATAAGTTAGGAACGTTTTAATTTTGTGTTGATGCATCGCTTCTGTTTTCCCTAACCAATTACTAGCCATTTATCAGTCAGCTGTGTAGGGGGGGATTCATGCCACAAGAAAGAGCCAGTATTAGCATAGCAAGATGACAAGATAAGTGGCACCTTTTTGAAAGGTTCTGCAGTTAAATGGGATGGGAAAGGAAGATGCAATGGGCTTAAAGCACCAGCCATTAGAGGACTGGAGGTTTCGTGTTAGCATTTTGTACAGCAGGCTGCTGCTGCGGCACTGTGAGTTGGGGAAGGCTGCTCCCTCCTGTAGGCCCACTCCACCAGGCCTTGGGGGCGGGGCCCACACTCGCCACCGCTACAGTTTTAACGGCACTGGTGTTGCTGCAGCAAATGTTAAAAATGTTTTTATATATTTTAAAGTGTTTTAAAGGGGTTTTTACTTTCTACTTTGTTGTACCACCATGAATGGTGGTTTTTATTGATGTATTTTTATTTTGTTCCGTTTTATTTTGGTTTGGGGTTGGATATTGAGTGGGGTGGGGATTTGTTTTTGTTTGGTATAATTGTTTTTGGTTTGATTTGTTTTTCTATTTTGTAAATGGAGGTTGGTTTGAGGCTTGGGATTGCTACCGTAGTGGGGTGAGGGAGGTATGGCGGTGGGGGCAGATGTCATAGGCGAAGGGGATCGAGATACGGATATGCTCGTACCCTTTCCAATCTGCGCCCCATCCCGAGGGATGAAGGTAGGGTGAGCAAGGATTACTCACCTCCGTCACTGGTGTTGTGCAATGCCAGGTCTATAGGCAACAAAACTGCCACCCTGGGAGATTTCTTCACCTCGCAGAGGGTTGACCTGGCTTGTGTGACGGAGACCTGGGTGCGCGAAGGGGAAACTGTTACCTTACGAGAGATGGCGCCCCCGGGTTTCTCCGTCCTCCACCAGTCGCAGACTGTGGGCCGGGGGGGAGGGGTGGCATTATTAAATCGGGAAGATTGTTCTTTCAGGGCTCTACCATCGCCATCGATCCCCGGCATTGAATGTGTTGGCCTAGTGTGGGGCTCCGAGGTGAGCTTGGCTGTCTGGCTGGTGTACCGGCCACCTAGCGCACCAGCAGCCACCCTGTCAGGCCTGCTGGAGGCGGTGGCCGGCTGGGCCTTGGAGTTCCCTAACCTATTGGTATTGGGGGACTTCAACATCCATGCCGATGCCACTCCCTCCTCACAGGCTCTGGACCTGGTGTCTTCCATGGCAACACTAGGGCTCTCCCAGTTTGTTTCGGGCCCCACACATCAAGCAGGCCACATGCTGGATTTGATCTTTGGCATCGGTATAGATGTGATCATGTCTCCTTTGATGAAGGTGCCATGGTCTGATCACTACACTCTGAAAGCCAGGATTGATTTTCCACCCCCACCCTGCTTAGGTGGCGAGCCAATTTGGGCTCGTCCGCAGAGGCTGATGGACCCTGATAGATTCCGTCAGGCCTTGCGGGACCTTGCTCCCCCTGGCGACTCACTGACTGAGCTTGTTGAGGGCTGGAATATCCAGCTCCTAGCAGCCATCGATGAGATCGCACCTAGGCGCCCTCTGCGACCCCGCAGAAACCGGGCTCCCTGGTTTACCGAGGAGCTTCGGAAAATGAAGCGGGACCTCAGACGGCTAGAGCGAGTATGGCAGGGTGCCCGTGACGGAGCCTCAAGAACATCTTATAGGGTTTTTATGAAAACCTACGAGATGGCAGTGAAGGCCGCTAAGAAGTCCTACTTCTCGGCCTCCATTGCCTCCGCTAGCTTTCGCCCGGCGCAATTATTTAGTATAATTAGGTCTTTAACATCCCTTGAAGGACAGCCAAATTTAAATAACAATTTGACACACAGCTGTGAGGCATTTGCGAGCTTTTTTGCGGAGAAGGTCCTGTTGCTCCGCCATGACCTCCCTGCCAATTTGGATACAATAAAGGAACTGGAGGCCCCTCGACTGTCCTCGGGTCCAGTATTGGACCACTTTGACCTGATATCCCCAGCCGATGTGGACAGACTCCTCCGAGCTGGAAAGCCCACCACCTGTCCTCTTGACCCGTGCCTGTCTTGGCTGATTAGAGCGTGTCCAGACGAGGTGCGGGCCCCCCTGGGTGATATCATCAATTTGTCCCTTGGCACCAGGATATTCCCAGGGGAACTGAAGGAGGCAGTGGTGTGTCCGCTCTTAAAGAAAACATCATTAGATCCCTTAGATCTATCCAATTACCGCCCGGTTTTGAATCTTCCATTCCTGGGTAAGGTGATTGAGAGAGCGGTTGCTGAACAGCTTGGTAGGTTTCTGAATGAAACATCGGCTCTCGATCCATTCCAGTCCGGCTTCCGTGCTGGTCATGGGACCGAGACGGCTCTGGTCGCCCTAACATAGATCTCCGTAGGCAGCTGGATTGAGGCGGGTCGGGGCTGCTGATTCTTCTAGACCTGTCAGCAGCCTTCAACATGGTCGATCACGAACTCCTGGACCACCGCCTTGCCGACGTGGGGATCCAGGGCACAATCCTTCAATGGCTGCGCTCCTTCCTCTCTGGTCGGGGACAGAGGGTGGCGCTTGGGGGGGAATTGTCATCGCGCCACTCCTTGGTGTGTGGAGTGCCTCGGGGTGCGATTCTCTCCCCGATGCTTTTTAACATCTTTATGCGCCCCGTCGCCCAGCTTGTCCGGAGTTTTGGGCTGGGTTGCCATCAGTATGCCGATGACACCCAACTCTGTCTGTTGATGGATGGCCATCCTGACTCGGCCCCAGACACACTGACCAGATGTCTGGAAGCTGTGGCTGGATGGTTACGTGGGAGCCGGTTGAAGTTAAATCCTTCGAAGACAGAGGTCCTCTGGTTGGGACGGGGCGATATGGGATTGAGGGGGCAACTCCCATCTCTTGCGGGGGTGCAATTAGTGCCAGCATCGTCCGTTAAGAGTTTGGGTGTAATCTTCGATACCTCCCTCTCTATGGAGGCGCAGATTACAGCTATAACAAAGGCGGCATTTTTTCATCTCCGCCAAGCTAAGCAGTTGGCTCCTTATCTCTCTCACCCTGACCTAGCCACTGTGATCCACGCGACGGTCACCTCCAGATTGGATTATTGTAACTCGCTCTACGTGGGACTGCCCTTGAGACTGACCCAGAAACTCCAGCGGGTGCAGAATGCCACGGCGAGACTCCTTATGGGGTCTTCGCTGCGAGATCATATTCATCCGGTACTATACCAGCTGCACTGGCTCCCGGTGGAGTACAGGATGAGGTTTAAGGTGCTGGTTTTAACCTTTAAAGCCCTATACGGCCTAGGACCCTAGTACCTACGGGACCGCCTCTCCTGGTATGTCCCACAGAGAAATTTACGGTCTGCAAATAAAAACATCCTGAAGATCCCAGGCCACAGAGAGGTTAGGCTGGCCTCAACTAGAGCCAGGGCTTTCTCGGCCGTGGCTCCAATCTGGTGGAACGCTCTGTCACAAGAGACTAGGGCCCTGCGGGACCTGACATCTTTCCGCAGGGCCTGCAAGACAGAGCTGTTCCACCAGGCCTTTGGTCAGGGCGCAGCCTGACCCCCTCCTCTGACAATCTGCACAGAATTTTGCTTAATGGTTGCCATCAATTTGATTTTAATTAATTTTATAATGAATGTTTTTAGAATGCTGGATTATTTTGATTGTTGTTAGCCGCCCTGAGCCCAGCTTCGGCTGGGGAGGGCGGGATATAAATAAAATTTATTATTATTATTATTATTATTATTATTATTATTATCTTATGGGGGAGAGTTTACTAATGTATTTTTGATTTGCATGAGGATGTTGAGGCATTTTCATAAGGGCAGAACGCAAAACACTTAATGTAAGAAAGCAGGCAGAGGCTGCCAGTTTCAAGGATCTGGTTTACACAGTTTGCGTACACAGCATACAGATGCACATGCCCTATTCTTGAGAGTCCCATGTGTTTGCTGATTGGGTAAAGCCACCTGGTATCTGCCACCCCAGCCTCTCAGTGGATAACTGTGACTTATTTCTGTGACTGCCACACCCCTTGTGAGATAGGAGCTCACAAACCCATGTGAGATAATGTGACAGCCGTAAGCTGTATGAACCAGGGATTGACAAATCTCTCCATTTTGGATCTCTTGTTTTCTCATTTTTCCAATCTGTAATTCAGTTCTCTACATATCTGAGGCAATTTGGGATTTTAATAGCCCCAAACTAATGAAAATTCACCAGCCCTGTTTAGGGAAGCTTTTAATGTTTAATAGACTATTCTGAATTAATATTCTGTTGGAAGCTGGCCAGAGTGGCTAGGGAAACCCAGCCAGATGGGCGGGGTATAAATAAATAAATTATTATTATTATTGTTATTATTATTATTATTATTATTAAAGCACATTTTTGTATGCAGTTTTGACTAATGTGCAGATTTTTGCAAGGAATTCCCCCCCGCAAGGATCCGTGTTATTATTTCCACTACTATATTCATTTGTGCACACATATATTACTTAGTTGGGAAACTGCATTGGAAAATCTGGATACGTGTGAATTTCAAATGTTAGCTGTGTTTCTGTTTCTTTATTGTTAGGTAGTTTTGCATGAAAACGCAAACCTAACCAAATTCTTCCTCCATCCCTAGTTGTGGACCTGTGATTAGTAGATTCCATACAGGTGTGGTGAGAACATTTAAATAGGGGAACACCAGCAACTACCCCCTCCTTCTAGAGATCCTATCTGTACTCCTGCACTTAGGGGTTGATCACCCCTTTAGGTTTCCCAGAGTGCTATCAAGTTCTGGAGTCAAAGATAATGTTGACAGTCTGTATCACACTCTCCCATCTACCGACCTGCTGCCTCCCATGACAGGGAAGCTCAGGCAGCTTCATAGAAGAAGTCATCAAGTACATATGTCTGACCTTAGCTGGCCGGCAATTGCTCTGTTTGGTCCCTGTTCTATGCCTATCCCTATTCTATTCCTGGCTCTGAGCTGCACTCCATGGTAACATCAAATCACTCTGCTTTCTAGCAATTCCTTTCCTAAAGAGCTCCAGTGGCCAACAAGAGCCTTGTCTATTTTCAGACATTTCAGTGGGTTTGGGACTCTGGTTTTGCTTAGCATGGTAATAAGACCACAACAAAAGTACAATTCTCTGTATTTCTTACTTAAAGAATCATGACTGCTTGACAGAAGTGTTACTGATTTAGGCTGCTAAGAACTTATTTCCAAGCAAAACTTGAAAATTAATCTCATCTCACGCAGTTCTAACTCTCAGTTTAGATGCTTTTAATAATATAATTTCCAGCCTCTTCTTAAATGGTCTTTCCCTTTGTCTCATAAAAGAGGACTGATTATACAAATAGTCTATCACTGCCTTACTTAACACATGGGTAAACTTGGTCAAGGGTAATATTTTAAAATATCGGAACAAATCCAGGTTTGAACTCAGACTAGCCCTTTAATTTAGCCACTCAGGGAAAGTGACAAACCTTAAAGCACAAGCCAGACTCTTTGGCACAAATAATCAAAACAGCAGCTCTCACTGGAGATTTAATTTCAGCTCTGTAATTGAAAATGGCCCATGCATTACTCTCTATAAATTGCAGAACGAAAATGATACCCTTAAATGACTCTGCCTTCATTTAAGTAGTGACCTGTTCATTAGCACTGTGAAATGAAATAGAAATCCATTTTAGTTTTCGAGACTATTTAATTTTGTTGTAGATAAAAGTCAGCAAAACAGGACATCAACATTATTTCCCTCCCTAAATTGTACAAAATTCCCTCAGTCTTCCTTTATCTTCTTCACACCAGTGGAAAGCATTGCATCTATTAATATACTGGCCAACTTTATCCCTGGTTTCAGCTAAAGTCAGGTGTAAATGCCCCCAAAATTGGCTGAGCAACAGGGCCTCTATGTTTATAAACTGTGCTGAGGGCAAGATCACGATTGCTTCGTATCAGACCTGAAGAAACGAAACAGCACAGAGGAAAAAAGCTTTAGCATTAATTTTGAAAGTGAAATACCGATTGTGCAGTCTCTCAGAGAGACTGGAAGATTTACTTACATATTACATTATTCAAAACTGCTCTATAAAAATTTCAAGGTGACTTAACCCAAGATGAGTTATAATGCAGTTTGAAATCTCGAAACAAACTGATAAGAGCAATGAACTAGTCCCTATTAAAATATCACAACAGATTTAAATATGCATTAACCAAACTAGAAATGCTTCTAACACAAGAAAGTCTTTACCTGGCAACCATCAACATTAGCTTTTTCATCCCAGGACTGTAAAGTGTTGCTTAGTTTGCATTCGCACAGTGCAATAGCAAACCTGTTGTATCCCCACAATTTCTACTTCTGATATTTTTTCCTGACTCTGCTCCTGTTTCTTGTGCTGCTGCTGCACAAATGTTTCTAGGGTGGACGAGAGGCACATTATTGTTACACCTGAATGGTGGGAATGGTTTGCTCCGAAGCACCAATTTTGGGCACTTCCACACTGTCACCATTTTGGGGTGGTATTCCGTCTCATGCTGGCACTTTCAGGTTGCACAATTTTAGTTCATTGGAAGGTCTTGGGCAATAAATTCGCTCCCCACTCAATGGACATTTTTACAATTGGTTGTTACATCTGTAGTGATGAGATGGAGAAAAAGGCTGCAAGGACTGAGGTCAGGGTGATCTTTAGGGTCACTATGGGGGGGGTGATGCTGGAAGTTTGCTTTTGTGCTTGTAACCGTATTTGTCTATGCCTGTTCCTTTCATGGTTGTTACCAGTGTTGATGTTGATTATTTGTCATGGGGTTATTGGGCATTACTGGAGGGAAATAGTTTTAGGCTTTGCAGTATGAGATCCAGCACTCTGGTATAAAACTGGGTCCCTCACAGGTGAGAGGGAAGTATCTGATCGTTCAAAGGGCATTTGGTGTTCACTGATATGAACAGTCCATTAATTTTGTATTCTTGTCGGTGATCAGTTGTAGGAACAATATAGGTGTGTAGTCAGTTATATATTGGGTTATAAGGTTGTGAATAGTTGTAGTCATTGTGTAAACAGATGGTGATAGTGACATGGTGTGAGTATTGTGTGAATATTGTGTTTTATTTTGGTTCGAGTTTGTATCATGCTGTCTAGTATTTTTCTCTGGAGCTTATTCAGATAGATAAGCATATGGTATATTTATGTATTTGGATTTTTCTTAAAGCAAATCAAATGCAATTGTGCTGATTGTATATTTATGTACAGTGGAACCTCGGTCGTCGAACGCCTCTGTAGTCGAACGTTTTGGCTTTCGAACGCTGAGAAACCGGAAGTAATTGCTCTGGTTTTTGAACGATTTTCAGAAGCCGAACGTGCTACACGGCTTCCATTTTGAGTTCCCCTGTTGTATTGACGATCCTGTATTGAGTTTTTGGTTTTTGAACGTTTCAGAAGTCGAAAGGTCTTCCTGAATGGATTACGTTCGAAAACTGAGGTTCCACTGTATTTTGCTTTTACTTATTGTTAACTGTGGGTAATAAACTGGCTGGCTAAACAAACGAACAGATAGTAGCCCCACAATATTATTGGTAAATGTGTAAATCTTGATGAATGTGGTTCTAATGTGTTAGTTAACATCGGTCATAATGCAACTTTAGTTAAGCACTTTGAAATCCCATTGCTTTCAAGGAGGTGAGGCTCTGTCAGTGGCTACTCACTGTGAAGGCTAAGCTGTGTTTCCACAGAAGAGGCAGCAGTGCTTCTGAATACGAGTCGCAGGAAGTCACAGGAGGAGAGAGGGCTCTTGTGCTTGAATCTTGCTTGTGGGTTTCCCCCAGGTATCTGGTTGGCCACTGTGGAAACAGGATGCTGAACAAGATAGTCCATTTATTAGCCGATCCAGCAGACTCTTCTTATGTTCTTAAGGGATTTGAAGCATATCCTTATCTATCCTATGGAGAGTTCAACTTCATGATTTGTTCTTCTTCAGCTGAATTGCACCCATAGTTGTAAAAATATATTGTGAGTAATTTGACTCTGGTTTGACAATTGCAGAATTCCTGATTCCGTTATGAGATTTGAGCAAGTATAATATGTATTGGTTGAGCAATTTTAATGAACCAGCTAAGTCATGCTATGTTTTTCACAGTAATGCATATGTTTCAGAGAGCTTAGATGGAGAACCAAATTTGGAACTGTATAACTTTAATTATTATTTGAAAGTTATAATCATAAGTTACTAAAAGAAAAAGCAACAGACTCAATATCGAAGCGCTGTTGCAGCAAGTCATTATAGTTACATGGTGTTAGATGGATTCTAAATTTGTCTTATTTCTATGGTGGTGATACTGCTACCGAAATTAGAACTATACAGATTGAGTGATCTCTTTGAATTGTCAATCAAGCTTTCTATTAATAAGTAGTAATGGAATTATGAATGACAGGTCTGAAATTGGATATTTAACATTTTGTTAATTGATTTTTAACATTCTAGCACCATGGAAGTTCATGCACCAATATTTTCATTTTGCGGAGGTTAGTATCCATGATGTTGTGTGTTAGATGTAGATTATTTCATTGTAATGCTGCACTTATTAGTGCAACAAGCCTTGGTTCAGATCCTAACTTGGCGCTTTAGAAAAACAGTCTGCCTTGATCCAGGGTGCTTTGTAGGCTGCCTGATTCAGCTTAAGGTCTGCCCATATATGCTTTGCTCCCCTTTATTTTCAGGGTTTTAATTTTTTTTAAAGGCTTTTGTATTTTCCCTTTTGGCAGAAGCTGATGAAGCTCTTTAGCGAATAGCCCAGTGTTGACTACTTCCCAGCCAGAGCCTTTGGTTGGTTGTGAGGAAAATCCCATCTTTACCATCCTGAGGCTTGGATACAGTTGTGAATAACAGTGGCAGCCTTATGTTGATGCAGATTCATCTTATTTCTAAATCTAGTTTCAGTATATTCTAGAATGAGAACCAGTCCAAGGACTAGCATGTTTATAAAATTAGTACATGGCCACTGCTTTTTAGAAGAGTTTGGATTTGAAGAGTTTGGATTTGATATCCCATTTTATCACCACCCAAAGGAGTCTCAAAGCGGCTAGCATTCTCCTTTCCCTTCCTTCCTCACTCACAACAAACACTCTGTGGGGTGAGTGGGGCTGAGAGACTTCAGAGAAGTGTGATTAGCCCAAGGTCACCCAGCAGCTGCATGTGGAGGAGCGGGGAAGCAAACCCGGTTCACCAGATTACGAATCTACCGCTCTTAACCACTACACCACACTGGCTCTTTCTCTTTTAGCCCTTGTTTGTCATTTTAGGTCACAATGATGCAATGGTATCAGAAGTTAGAATGAAATAAATTCTCTCGTCATGCTCTAGATTTACCTACTGCTTTCTTTAGCCACCCTGTCTCTTGACTAGCTACCCTAAACCCCTCCCTCCTCCAACCTAAAGCTACTTCTGATCTGAAGCACCATGAACATTTCTTAGGGTCCCTTCTGTGATGATCATCTCTGCCCCCTTTCCTCTAACTTTTCTTGAGGTTCGTCTTCACCCTTCCTTCTGGACCCTTCATTCATCTCTCATGCCTTTGGAGTCCCTGTCTCTTAGGGTTCCCTGAGTCCTGGGACCACTTCCTAACGCTTAACCTGCATCATGTGAGATTTTAATTCCAGCCAAACTGACAGTTCTCCCTTGCCACACAGAAGCTGGATTACAAACTTCATTGTTTCTTGAATATCTGAACTTTCTGTGCCGCCATACCAGTTTAGGCAATCAGTGTCAGAGGCATCACCACCACAAGTACACACTCGCGTTGGTTGATCTTACTCGGAAGAAACAAGAGGGCGCTCCTTAAGAGAGCACATTTTAAATCAGTCCAATTAAATGCGATCATTCACACTGGGAACATGAGACACTACTGCAACACTTACAACCCCAATTACAAGGTTTGAGTGTTTTGCAACTACTCCAGGCAGGAATTCTTTTTAAAAAACCAACAAAACTTTTTAAAAAGCTATATTCTATTGTGACAATCAAGTACATACATTTTTTTTTATTTGTGTGAGTTTTAACTACCTTAAAAGTAGCAAATTGTTTGGTAGCCTCGCCAACCTGATAGTGACCTTCACAACTTGGCTGTAAGAGTAACTCCCTGTAGCAATTATGCAGCTTTTATCTGTAGTGTTATTAAAAAACAAACCCACCACAATGTTTTAAATGAGGTGGCAGCGCAGAGTGCATTGTTAATGAGTTGCCACATTGTCGCAGACAAGACACTGTACTTTAACTCTGAACAGAGAAGACGTAATTGGGAAGAGAGAATAATGCGAAGACGCTTGGCTCTGTCTGAGGGTTCTGTACATTAAATGACATCTGCTGAAAAGATTTCTTTCTGGGCTGGTGCTGTGGCAGGTGTTGCCACAGAAGAACAATACTAGCTGTGAATGGAATTTGCTCATGCTCTGTAAGAATGCTTTCTTTGCCTGTTCTCTTTGTGGCAATAGCCCTGACTGAAAGCATTGGCTGAAAAAAAAAATGTGCGAGGCTTAGGATGAGATTGTAAATTTTGATGGGCAAATGTTCCCTTGCTATCGACTTCCTCTCATAGTTCTTCTGTGGTTAATCACTGGCTTCCCATATTGAGGAAATTGAGTATAAATATTCTTCTCATATTGATGAAACTAAGAATTACCCTTGTAAATGTGTTTGTTACCTCAGCCTGCGGCATGAAAAGCAGGTGTTTGTGCTGTAACTTGGGCCTTTTTTCAGGTCAGTTTTTTAAATGTTTCCAGAGATTTACTGAACTCAGCTGCATGGTGGGAGGACTCTGTGAGCCCAACATGCACATGCAGGAAGGACTGTAGTCTGGTGGTAGAGTATCTGTTTTCCATACAAAATGTCTGAGGTTCAGTTCCCAGCTTTTCCATTTAGGGTTGGGAGAGACCTGTTACGTATTCTGTGTTTGCCTGAGCTTGAGTCTGGACTAAGGATTCTGAGCCTCTGTGTTCTGATTCGATACATGATATCCAATCACAGAACATTTCAAGCTTTGGACCTATGCCATTGGCCCTTAAACTCTGAGTTATGATTCGCAGCTTGGAAGTTTAGACAGCCAATCACATTGGGAGTGGGAGTGGCCCAGGCCTTCAGAAATGTATATAAGCAGTTGCTTTGCCCCTGTTGTCCAGTTCTGTTAGCTCAATAAAGGTTCTTGCTGTTATCACTGTGTCTTGCCTGGTGGGAACCCACCTACACTTCAAGACCCTTGCCTAGAACCCCAGAGAGCTGCTGCCAGTCAGTGTATGCAGTCCTGAGCTAGATGGAACAATATAAATCAGCTTCCCTTATTTCATGCAGGCTTGTGGAGGCTGCCTCACATAGCACTAAGCCATAATTTCACATTCCCTTAAAAACCAGGCCATTTTGTAATGTGACACCCGATCTTATTTTTCTTCTTAATTTGTCTTACTTACTCAGTGGGCCAAATCCAGCATTTCGCAAGTAGAATTCTGCTCATGCACTGGGGCGTCTTCCTCTGAACATCCCCACGTGCACAGACAGTGCTGGATACAACCAACTAGGTGATATCCGACTACATTATATTCACAGTGGGACCCAGTGAAATCAGTGGGTTAACTAATATAAATTCATTTATTTCAAAGGGTCTGCTCTCAGTAAGACTTAGTTGAATTCAACCCACGTATTAAAAGTACAGTATGCATTGCAAGTATAGTAACCCATTGTATTGCTGGTGGAGAATGTGGTGGCTAGGTTGCTTGTGGGGGCAAGTTACTACCAGCCTATAACACTTTGCTTGCGGTATTTTCACTGGCCAGTTTGCTACTGGGCCTAGTTCAAGGTGTTGGTACTAACATATATGTCCCTATAAAGCTCAGAAAAGATTACTTGAGAGACCACCTTATATACCCAGTAAATTGATGCAGTCTGCAGGATAATTTCTCTTGCAAGTTCCAAAGTTCTAAGAAGCCCTCTCCGCAAGAACTCAGAGCAGGACTTTTAATGTGGCTGCCCCTGTTCTGCCACTGCCAAGATACAAACAGCTCCCACTTTTTGTTCCAAATGGCTTTTCCAGCTAGATAAAATGAGGCCTTACTGCAAATGTCTACTTGTTAGAGTGTTAGTGTTGTTTTAAATATATCTGTTGCTTTTGTGTTTTTAACTTTTTAAAATTATGTGCAAATTGCATCAAGACGGTAGTTTAGAAAGCAAATAATAAAGCAACACCAATGCATTTGACAGGATTCAGAATATTTGGGCTTGGTGTGCCCCTCACCCCTGCCTCTTCTTTCTTTCTTTCTTTCTTTCTTTCTTTCTTTCTTTCTTTCTTTCTTTCTTTCTTTCTGTATATATTTTTTTAACAATTTCAAAAGGTTTTTAAAAGAGTTCCTCTTTTTTAAAGAAGAAAAGAAAAGGCAGATCTTGAGGGCCTTCTCAGTAGTGGCACCATCCCTGTAGAATGCCCTCCCTTCAGATGTCAAGGAGATAAAGAATTGCACAACTTTTGGAAGACATCTGAAGGCAGCCCTGTATCGGGAGGTTTTTAATGTTTGTTATTTTTATTATGTTTTTAGATGTGGTGTAAGCTCCTATAGAGTGGCTGGGGAAACCCAGCCAGATGGAGGGGGGTTAATAATAATAACTATTACTATTATTATTATTATTATTATTATTATTATTATTATTATTTTATTAAGTTCCCAATGTTATGAAAGCATGTAACTTACAACTTTGTTCAGAAACCCTGTGGGTGAAATGATGTTTGTTTGTTTTTCTTTAAAAAAATGTTTTGATGAATCTCCTGCACTAATACTGTATTTCACTGGCTAACTAATGGCAAATTAAAGCTAATAAGGTTTGAGATAGATTAATCAGATGGAGTAGAATGCCTTTTGGCAAGGGTAATTATAATACACAATTTGTAATTAACAGTCAGAATGGTTATTTACAGCATCCTGATTATGAAGAATTAGAGGTGTGTGGGGACTCAATTAAGCATGGTGTGGCTGGATTATAATTCAGGGATAGTAGCTCTCACCCAGAACAGAATTAAACTCAAGGAGCTTCAACCTTAGTGGCATGCCTTGCTCACGTTTAGTTGGCTGCCCCACTGCAGAAATGTTCTCAAACCCTGAACAGCCTTAGACAGGGCATGACAGCAAGTGTGGTCTAGTGAGCGTGGTTCAACTCCTTTTCCTCCTACCAGTATCAGTGCTTGACTTTGTACACCTTTGTTGTTGTTTAGTCGTTTAGTCATGTCTGACTCTTCGTGACCCCATGGACCAGAGCACGCCAGGCAATCCTGTCTTCCACTGCCTCCTGCAGTTTGGTCAAACTCATGCTGGTAGCTTCAAGAACACTGTCCAACCATCTCATCCTCTGTCTTCGCCTTCTCCTTGTGCCCTCCATCTTTCCCAACATCAGGGTCTTTTCCAGGGAGTCTTCTCTTCTCATGAGGTGGCCAAAGTATTGGAGCCTAAGCTTCAGGATCTGTCCTTCCAATGAGCACTCAGGGCTGATTTCCTTAAGAATGGAGTGGTTTGATCTTCTTGCAGTCCATGGGACTCTCAAGAGTCTCCTCCTTAGTAAGGCTTTAGTTGTAAAGCCTGTTAAAACCAAGTGTCCTTAGAGTGTTTGAAAGTGACTGCAGAACCAACATCTTACCTGTAGATACCTACACATCATTTGTTGCATTTTAATGAGGAGTCACAAGCACTTTGAAGGCACTCCCCTTCAAACAAAACTTTGTTGTTTAGTCGTTTAGTCGTGTCCGACTCTTCGTGACCCCACGGACCAGAGCACGCCAGGCTCTCCTATCTTCCACTATCTCCCGCAGTTTGGTCAGACTCATGTTTGTAGCTTCGAGAACACTGTCCAGCCATCTCATCCTCTGTCGTCCCCTTCTTCTTGTGCCCTCCATCTTTCCCAGCATCAGGGTCTTTTCCAGGGAGTCTTCTCTTCTCATGAGGTGGCCAAAGTATTGGAGCCTCAGCTTCACGATCTGTCCTTCCAGTGAGCACTCAGGGCTGATTTCCTTCAGAATGGAGAGGTTTGATCTTCTTGCAGTCCATGGGACTCTCAAGAGTCTCCTCCAGCACCATAATTCAAAAGCATCAATTCTTCGGCCTTCTTTATGGTCCAGCTCTCACTTCCATACATCACTACTGGGAAAACCATGGCCTTAATTACACGGACCTTTGTTGGTAAGGTGATGTCTCTGCTTTTAATGATCCTGTCTAGGTTTGCCATCGCCTTTCTCCCAAGGAGCAGGCGTCTTTTAATTTCGTGACTGCTGTCACCATCTGCAGTGATCATGGAGCCCAAGAAAGTAAAATCTCTCACTGCCTCCATTTCTTCCCCTTCTATTTGCCAGGAGGTGATGGGACCAGTGGCCATGATCTTGGGTTTTTTGATGTTGAGCTTCAGACCATATTTTGCGCTCTCCTCTTTCACCCTCATTAAAAGGTTCTTTAATTCCTCCTCATTTTCTGCCATCAAGGTTGTGTCATCTGCATATCTGAGGTTGCTGATATTTCTTCATATTTGATATGTCAAACAAAACTACCATACAACAAAACTATCATCCCCTTCAAACTCCCCTATCACACAAAAGCTTGTCAATAAATTTAGAGTGTCCCCACCTCTTTCCTCAGTGATTATTCTCTCACTGCCAAGGCCCATTATTGATCCACACATTAACAATTGACCATGCCCCTTTCAGTCCCTGCCAAGTAAGCCTGAAAACTATTTGATACTGCCTTGTTTGCAACCAGAATTGTATGTGATGAGCCAATTAGTGCATTTCAAAACATTTAGAATTTGTTGTTGCTTAAGGCACTAATCCTTGCCCGCAAGTAATGTTGATATATATAGTTAGTGATATTTTGATTTTGGGTTTACTTATTCAGAGGAGAGATTCCCACTCAGTTGTGGAGCACATTCTCTGTCTGAAGAAAGTCCTAACCTCAAACTTGGGCATCTTCAGGATGGTAGAAATGGAAAGAGCACTGTCCAAAACATGAGAGAACCACAGCCAATCAGTTTAGATCAGCCTTCCCCAACCTGGTGCCCTCCAGCTGTTTTGGACTGAAACTCCCATTAGCCCTAGTCAATATAGCCCAATGGTCAGGGATGATGGGAGTTGTAGTTCAAAATTTTGGGGAGGGCACCAGGGATTCAGCTATGCAGCTGCAAATACGTTTTAAGTGTATTAAATGTCACATTCTACAAATGTAATACTAGATGATGGTGAGCTAATGGGAAATTCAATACAGTATATATTTTTAAACAGTTTCTTTAAAAAGCATTTTCACAGGGGTTTTTATATATGTCTAGATTCAGCCGAGCTTGGAAAAGATGAGTACAGAGAATACTGAGCTGGATTTACTGATTATCTTCCATTATTCTTTAGAAGACATCTGAAGGCAGCCCTGTATAGAGAAGTTTTTAATGTTTAATTATGTTTTAGTATATGCTGGAAGCCTCCCAGAGTGGCTGGGGCAACCCAGTAAGATGGGTGGAGTACAAATAATGAAATTATTATTATTATTATTATTGACTTTGTATAAGGCAGCTTGATATGACCATCTAATTGAAAGCAGTATTTCGAAGTCTCTAGGGGAGGTCTTTCCTAGCCTTACCACGTGAGACTTTTCCAAGCTGAGATTCAGCTTGGAACATTTTACATGGGGGGGGGGGCAGGGAATCTACATTAAAATCACCAGCTGAGGTCATCCTCCAGCTGTACCCATCTGCTGAGATTCACAGGGACATGGACTTTTCTGTTGTGGCTCCCTGGTTGTGGAATGCATTTTATATGCTGGGGAAAAGAATTGCATATATTAAAGACTTTTCATTATGGATGGCTGTTGGTTCTTATTTGAATAGTGTGTCTTTAATAATAATAATAATAATAATAATATCATCTGTCTTGTATGTTAATTTGCTGCTGCTGTTAGCCTTTGTACTGGTTTTTAATGTTTGTTAAAATACCTTGATGGAAAGGCACGGTTACACCCCCCCCATAAATATTCTTTATAATGGAGCTGCTATGGCAGATAGGCATTCCTCTGGTAATTTCCAGCAATGTTGGTAACCACCAGCAGTATTAAAAGGAGCAAATACACTTGGATTCTGCAACTAATGGGATTCTGTACCTGCTTATGGTTAGTTGAACTGGAGGAAGTTGATTAGTGAGAATAAGCAAGGCTTCAATAAGCAGCCTTCTGGGGTGTAAGGCGAGTTCCCTAATAACTAGGAGTTCTCCAATAAAGTCACTGAACACAAGCTAAACTGACATGGGCATTCTTTAATTGAAACAAGAGAATTTGTGCTGAGGGGATGCTTCCCTAACAGGATTCAGAATTACTTGAGAAGCACTTGAGTGCCAACAGCAACCATCCAATAAGTGGCATCTTAATGTCAGTTTGTAACAATTAAGATAATTAATGCTGTATTTTGCATTATTTCTCCTACAGAGAACACACTGTATCGACATTGATCTCAAATGTTCTGCTTAAAAAGTGTTTGGAAAATATTTACTTTTATTTCCTTTTCTTCTTCTTCTTCTTCTTCTTCTTCTTCTTCTTCTTCTATTTCCAGCTCTCCTATATGCAACGATTTTTGGTAATGTAACAACCATATTCCAGCAAATGTATGCTAATACAAATAGATACCACGAAATGCTAAACAGTGTCCGGGACTTCCTGAAACTCTATCAAGTGCCCAAAGGTCTGAGTGAACGTGTGATGGATTACATTGTTTCTACCTGGTCCATGTCCAGAGGCATCGATACAGAAAAGGTGAGCTGTCTTGATATTGGAAAGCTACCACCAAATAAATGTTTTCTAACTGTTCCTTTCTTGTAGCTGCTATTCTTGATGACTGTTTTTTTTAAAAACTCAGTTTTCCTTATATCAAATTCATCTTTGTCAAATGTAGAGACGTCTGAGTTCTCTGAAGTTTTCTCCACATACTGGCTTTGTAAGTTTCAAATTTTCATGGAGAAAAATATGGGGAAATTTGAAGAATGTTGCAATGCAACCCAGCAGCGCTGATTTCTTTCCCTCCTCCCTTCCTTCTCTGTTTGTCCGTTGCCCATTGTGGTAGCTAATACAGCCAGGAGAATTTGGGAGATGTACCATATTTTTCGCTCTATAACACGCACCCGACCATAACACGCACATAGTTTTTAGAGGAGGAAAACACACACAAAAAAAATTCTAAATGAAACAGTGGATGTATGATTTTTGTGGTTCATGCTGTGGCCACAGACATGTGATCTGACGGTGAGTTTGGGGTAGCCCAATGCAAAAATCCTGAGGATCCATGTGGATCCATGCTTTGTAACCACATTTTTGCACCACTGCGGCCCCAGGCAACAGTGGGTGTGTGCTTTTTTTGGTGCAAGATGTAGCCATGGACATGCTATGTAATCTGATGGTGAATTTGGGGTGACCCAGTGCAAAAATCCTGAGGATCCATGTGGATCCGTGCTTTGTAACCACGTTTTAGTTGGGGAGGGAAGGAAAAGCACTCAAGGGACAAGGAGCACGTGTGGGGTGTGTGGAGAAGGATGCTGCTAATAATGCAGGCGAGGGGTTTAAGGGGAGAAGGAACATGCGTGGGGTGTGTGGAGAGGGATGCTGCTAATAATGCAGGAGAGGGGTTTAAGGGGAGAAGGAACACGCGTGGGGTGTGTGGAGAGGGATGCTGCTAATAATGCAGGCAAGGGGTTTAAGGGGAGAAGGAACATGCGTGGGGTGTGTGGAGAGGGATGCTGCTAATAATGCAGGAGAGGGGTTTAAGGGGAGAAGGAACACGCGTGGGGTGTGTGGAGAGGGATGCTGCTAATAATGCAGGCAAGGGGTTTAAGGGGAGAAGGAACACGCGTGGGGTGTGTGGAGAGGGATGCTGCTAATAATGCAGGCGAGGGGTTTAAGGGGAGAAGGAACACGCATGGGGTGTGTGGAGAAGGATGCTGCTAATAATACAGAAGAGGGGTTTAAGGGGAGAAGGAACACGCATGGGGTGTGTGGAGAAGGATGCTGCTAATAATGCAGGCAAGGGGTTTAAGGGGAGAAGGAACACGCATGGGGTGTGTGGAGAAGGATGCTGCTAATAATACAGAAGAGGGGTTTAAGGGGAGAAGGAACACGCATGGGGTGTGTGGAGAAGGATGCTGCTAATAATACAGAAGAGGGGTTTAAGGGGAGAAGGAACACGCATGGGGTGTGTGGAGAAGGATGCTGCTAATAATACAGAAGAGGGGTTTAAGGGGAGAAGGAACACGCATGGGGTGTGTGGAGAAGGATGCTGCTAATAATACAGAAGAGGGGTTTAAGGGGAGAAGGAACACGCGTGGGGTGTGTGGAGAGGGATGCTGCTAATAATGCAGGCAAGGGGTTTAAGGGGAGAAGGAACATGCGTGGGGTGTGTGGAGAGGGATGCTGCTAATAATGCAGAAGAGGGGTTTAAGGGGAGAAGGAACACGCATGGGGTGTGTGGAGAAGGATGCTGCTAATAATACAGAAGAGGGGTTTAAGGGGAGAAGGAACACGCGTGGGGTGTGTGGAGAGGGATGCTGCTAATAATGCAGGCGAGGGGTTTAAGGGGAGAAGGAACACGCATGGGGTGTGTAGAGAAGGATGCTGCTAATAATGCAGGAGAGGGGTTTAAGGGGAGAAGGAACACGCATGGGGTGTGTGGAGAAGGATGCTGCTAATAATACAGAAGAGGGGTTTAAGGGGAGAAGGAACACGCATGGGGTGTGTGGAGAAGGATGCTGCTAATAATGCAGGCAAGGGGTTTAAGGGGAGAAGGAACACGCGTGGGGTGTGTGGAGAGGGATGCTGCTAATAATGCAGGCAAGGGGTTTAAGGGGAGAAGGAACACGCATGGGGTGTGTGGAGAGGGATGCTGCTAATAATGCAGGCGAGGGGTTTAAGAGGAGAAGGCTCCTCTCCTCTCCTGCTTTGCTCCTTTGAAGCAAGCAGTCTCTGCTTCTCTCCCACCTCCCCAGCTTAGCTCTTAGCGATCTGAAAAACCTCGCTGCTATTTCGTGAGCTGAGTGGGGAGGAGAGAGGGACATGGTTGCTTTAAAGGAGCCAACCGGACAGGAGCCGCTTACACTCGTGTAAGTGGCTCCTCTCCTCTCCCGCATTGCTACTTTGAAGCAAGCAGGCTCTGCTTCTCTCCCTCCTCCCCACTCAGCGGCTCTTCTCCCGCTTTGCTGTTTCAAAGCAAGCCACGGAGGAGGGAAGAAAGGGGAACCATGGATCCTCTGCTCACAACTGCAGCAGATCCCCCCGCCATCCGTAGGCATTTGCTCCATAACACACACAGACATTTCCCCTTACTTTCTAGGAGGAAAAAAGTGAGTGTTATGGTGTGAAAAGTACGGTAGTTATCTAAGGGGTTTCTGTATTTGGGAAGGACATGATATGTCAGCCATGATGAAACTTAGCAGGTCTTTATATGGATGGGATGTTACGGCCACAGACCAAGATTCCTCTGGATGTTACAGCCACAGAAAGAGTTCTCCTCTGATAGGAGCTCTGAGGAGAAAATGAATCTACTCCCTCAATTGTCCCATGAAAAGGTGCAATCAGCTTCCTCTCCTTCCCTGAACGTTGAGAAGAGACCTCTGCCACAGACTATCTAGAGCAGCCTTTCTCAACCTGTGGGTCCCAGATGTTGTTGAACTACAACTCGCATCACCCCTAGCTAGCAAGGCCAGAGCTCAGGGATGATGGGAGTTGTAGTCCAACAACATCTGGGGACCCCTAGGTTGAGAACTGCTGATCTAGAGGATCAGGAGAGTCCAGAGGAGATATCACCACAGGCTGGAACCCCAAGCCCTAGAGGAAGCCAACAGTAGAAGATCTAACTGACCAGATTCACAACGGGGGGGGGGGGGGATTCTAGTCAATTAAAAGCTATAGCCCAGGCTATAAAGATCTGCCAGTTGTTCCAAGACACAGCAGAGGCAATTCAAACGTTCTGTCTCAGCATGTTCTGTCCTGAAACCCACGTTTATGTAGGTCCCTCTCCAAGGTGCTGATTCTTCTTTGCCTAGCCTTCCATTACTATGCCTGCTATTATTAATATACAGTACTGTCCTTTGTTTAAAGATCCCAGGGCTCACAAGATAAAAGCACAAATACCTTACTTGCAGTAGTGGGCATCCCCATGGAATTGGGCACCCGTGAATGGTGCCTTGAGTGCATTCTGTGTGTACTAAATAAACAAATCCAGAAATCCAGAAAAATAGCTTCTCTGGCTCAAAATTGTTGCTGAATTTTAGTAAATATGAATGCTGTTTCTTCAACTGGCACCTGCTTCCACACCCTAACTCCTTGTAAGAGAGGGCAAGTCCCTGGGTCCAGTGGCGGAGCTTCATGCTCTGGCACCGGGGGGCGGAGAGAAGGCGGGGGGCAGAGAGCAGGCCCGCCTGGGCGTGGCCCGCGTCCTTGGGGCGTGGCACCCAGCAGGGGTTGGGGGGACAGCCGCGATGGCACCCCACCAGGATCGTGCTGCTGGGGGCGGTGCACTCCGCTTCCTCTGCCGGTGCCTTGGTCCGTTGCATATTCTGTGTGTAGAATTATTGAACTATGGAACTTGCTGCTGCAGCAGGCAGTAAAGGCCACCAACTCAGATGGCTTTGAAAGAGGGTTAGACAATTTCATAGAGGATAAAGCTATCAACAGCTTCTGAGTGGGATGGCTATCCTCTGCCTCCACTTCTGAATAGAAACAGCTGGGTGGGTGAGGGCTCTTGTGCTAGAGTCCTGCTTGTGGGTTTCCTACAGCCATTTTGTTGGCCACTGTGAGAACAGGATGCCGGACTGCATGGCCCATTGCTTGATCCAACAGGCTCTTCCTATGTTCTCATGCAACATATCTATTCAGTCATGTCTTGAAAAGCATCCTCAGTTTCCTCTATTTAACATCTTTTCTTTTCTTTATTTTTATTTCTATACAAAAGGTGGGCTAATTTCAAAACAAACTTCTGCCCTCTTGCGCCAAAGGCATTTTCATGAGAAGAATGCAAAGGCTATTGAATCACAGCTATCCATTTTCACCTTGAAGAATTGCTTTAATAAATATAAAGAAATATTCAATTCTTCAACTATTAAAAGAGATATATTCTGATAGATTTCTGTAATTGACATATTCATATCATAGGCAGTGGAGTTTAGTATCTGGTTCTTTTTTTAAAAAAGCCTGTGTTGATAGCAGAGGCTAACAAATTTAAGACTTGAGTAATGACAATACCAGTCCATAAATTCTAAAGTCCAATTCTCAAGCTCCACTGAATTTGCATACAAACACAACTTCAAGAACATTGTGGAATGAATAAATCATAATGTGATTTCTACACTCCTGCATTGCTGTCACTACTGATGTGTGTCATGTAATACATCCCTCTAAGCAAATATTTTGAAGGTGAATTTATCCCCTGAATCACTATGCTTTGATTTTACCTGCTTGGTGAGGTACAGAGGGTATAGAAAACCTAAAAAAGTAAAAGCTAATTTAAGTATTATTGATTTATTTTGCAAATGTAAGGTAAGGTAAAGGTAAAGGACACCTGGATGATTAAGTCCAGTCAAATTCAACTATGGGTTGCGGCGCTTGTCTCCGCTTTCAGGCCAAGGGAGCCGGCGTTTGTCTGCAGACAGCCTTCTGGGTCATGTGGCCAGCATGACTAAACCACTTCTGGTGCAACAGAACACCGTGATGAGTACCAGAGTGCACAGAAACACCATTTACCTTCCCACTGCAGTGGTACCTATTTATCTACTTGCATTGGTATGCTTTTGAATTACTAGGTTGGCAGGAGCTGGGACAGAGCAACAGGAGCTCACCCCTTCATGTGGATTCAAACTGCTGACCTTCTGATCAAGCAAACATAAGAGGCTCAGTGTTTAAACCACAGTGCCACCTTAATGGGCTGAACAATTGAAAGAAGCCATCACAACAGATTTGGTTACATTTTAACTTGTATGTTGATGAAAGGCAACAATGCTACTATTTTATTGTTTTGTTGTAGATTTATAAATGATTCTTAGTTTTATGTTTTGTAAGCCACTTACGGTATAATTTGTCACAGAAGGCAAGTGGTGGTTGTTGTGTAAATTTGAAAGAAAGTGTTATCAGTATCATGCATAGATTTGGCAGGTACCTTGCTTTTGATTTTCAGACATTTTCTTTTAGAAATTTTATGCTGAAAGGCCTATGTAACTGTTTAATATTTTTGGCTTAGCCAGATACTTTAACAATTGTTTTGTACCGTTTTTATGTTTCATTGTATATATTGCTATGCATTGCCATTGTATGAATTGTCAGTATACAAATACTTTTATAAATAATGATAAAATAACTCAGAAATCCTATGTTTCCCAAATAAGTTCTAGTTCTGCCCTTACCATTAAGCAAAGGTACGTTAGACAAGCATATTAGTAAAACAAGTTTATGCTAAGGATAGTTGCCATAGTGGTAGCTGTCTTCTAGTTGCCCCAAGGCAATGGCAAAGGCCAGGACTTGTTGGGAAATTCTACATATGAGTGTATTTTGAGAAAAAGGTTCTTCTTCTCTAGTGGAAGAAAAATCATCAGCAATAAGCAAATTTTTTTTCTAGGCATGTGAATGCTAGCAACTACTCTAAGATGCTATTGTCTTTGACCACTGATGCAATGATACCACTCTTCTACGCTGGTTTGACCATGAATGAAAATTGGAGGTTTCAATAAAATGAGCAAATAAAACATAAACAGAATCCAACCAAAGTTAACCTCATTAGAGAGATTTAAGCATGTGTCAGGTCTTGGATGTGAGCTATAATTTTTTGGGGGTTGGGAGGTGTAATCCAAGGCAGCCAATGTGTGTTTGGCCACATATCTCTCTCCCCCTGCCAGGTATGTGGTGATGATTTGCTACTGTAGGTTAATTGGTTTTCTCAAGACAAAGGAATTTGAAAGCCCCCTGATCATATATACATTCCAAAAAGTTTAAGCATTTGTGTGCTGTTTCAATGCATGCCCTATTTAAGTATGCGATATGTATTCTGTTCTATTGATTTCACTGTTTTGTTAAAAAAACAAAAAAACCTTTGACTATTATCTTGGTAGCTCAATAGCTACCAAAGAATGTGTTTGTCCTAAATAATTGTTTTATTCTTGGTCTTGTACAGATATCTTCTGCCTTAATATCAAAGAGCTTTTTAATTTAATGTTGAGGCTGGTTCGGGAATTTCAGGGTCAATGAGGGCTGCACTTTTAAAACTAATTTTCTAACTTTGCATTCCCTGACTGATTCCTGTTTAACATTTGCAATTATAACTTCAGCAGCTGCCACCATTCCCAATGAGATTTAATGATTACTATTAATTATTTTCTGTCTGCTATCTTGGCAGTTGGAGATGTTTCAGTTTATTTTATGAAAACAAACATCTGCTGAGCAGTGTCACAGCTTCCATGCACATAGGTAGATGCAGAGGATTCCAAATTCAAAGGCAAATAGCTAAAAACAGGGTTGTTATTAGGGATTCACATCACTTAAGAGATAGGCGGCTAGATTCCATTGCTGCAGCCACTTGTCCAAAAGAGCAAAGAAGCAGGAACAGGAATTTAGCCAATTGTAAGTTGGCTAGCCAACAGGAAGCCAAAATGAATCTCCTGCACAAGCACATGATGCTTTTTAAAGAAAAAAAAAGATTGTCATAATGACAGCACACAGTGGATGTAGCACACTCTAATCTCTTGCAGAGGTTGATTCTTGTAATGTTGTCCCAGGTTCTGCAGATTTGCCCTAAGGACATGCGAGCGGACATCTGCGTTCATCTGAATCGAAAAGTTTTTAAAGAGCACCCTGCGTTTAGGCTGGCCAGCGATGGGTGTCTGCGAGCTCTTGCCATGGAATTTCAGACGGTGCACTGTGCTCCGGGGGATCTCATATATCATGCTGGAGAGAGCGTGGACAATCTTTGCTTTGTGGTTTCGGGATCCTTGGAAGTTATCCAGGATGATGAAGTTGTTGCAATTTTGGGTAGGTTCTCCCATTACAGTCTGTCTTCATGTTTACATTTGTGTACCAAATGACAATGTTTATTCTGAAAGTGAATTCCGGTGTAGCTTCTTTCTTTCATTTTTTGCTTTTTTTAATCAGCTGTTTTGTTTGAGTTTCGCTTAGGATTGTTTTCATTGTAAATATTGTTTGGTTATCGAGATTTGTTACTAGGGATGTCGGAAGCTGAACTGCAGTGGAACAGAAACACAAAAACAAATACAGGGTAAAGTGGAAAATTGTTAGCCACCTTGAGTTCCTCTGAAAAAGAGGGAATGTGTTTTCCTCTAATAGAATAATCATCATCATCATCATCATCATCATCATCATCACTATAGCTGGGGAGAAGCATACAGCTAGTGGTGGTCATCCATGACTTTATAATTCATTGGAAGTAAGGGACCCATCCAGCCCTCTCCCCCCTCCCCCATCCCGTCTTGGATATATTTATTGCAATGCCGTTGTTTAACACAGTATTTCCAGGCATCATTAACAGCACAAAAGCATTAAAGAACATTAAAACCTATTCTGTCAACCAAAGCCCAAAGCATTTTGAAATGTAGATTTGCTCTATTTTTAGCCAGAAAGTTCAGCCACACAGTGAGGGCACTAAGCACATAAAAAAGGTTTTGCACTCTAACACAGTGGAAGCAAAGCAAGGAGGGAAAGACCATGTGATAACCCATAAGATGTAGATAAGTAACAAGGATGATCCAGCCTTCAGGTGGTGGTGCGATTCTATCACACCTTTCTAATGGTAAAGTAAAATCTCACAGAGATGTGGTGCAGTGTCTGTTGCTCACATTAGCCTTGCAGAAAAAACAGCAGCCTAGCAACCTTAAATCTTTCAGAACAAATGTAGCTATCACTTAGAAGGAAATATACCGTCAGGAAAGAGAGAAGACAGAGCAATACAGTGGTACCTCGAGTTACATACGCTTCGGGTTACATATGCTTCAGGTTACAGACTCTGCTAACCCAGAAATATTACCTTAGGTTAAGAACTTTGTTTCAGGATAAGAACAGAAATTGGGCTCCGGTGGCGCAGCAGCAGCGGGAGGCCCCATTAGCTAAAGTGGTGCTTCAGGTTAAGAACAGTTTCAGGTTAAAAAAGGACATCCGGAATGAATTAAGTACTTAACAAATTAAGTACCACTGTATACTATAGAGCGTAAACCCCTTAGATGTTGTTTCTCTCCCCCCCCCTATTTCTTCCTCTCTTTCTTTTACTTGGGGAAGCTGCCTTGCATTTATATCTGAATTTGTCTCTCTGTCTCAACTAGGTACCTAAAAGACTGCTTGTATTCTGGTTCAGCCAATTATTTATTTATTTATTTATTTATTTGCAGGGCAAATTATTTGAAAGGCATATATAAATAGTCTCAGTCACAGTCTGGAGTCCTCCAGCATGCTGATGTCTCCCTCTTCCAAGCCTTTTGTTGCCAACAGCCCCCTTTCATGTTGTCATCCCCTCCCTCCCTGGTTTGCTATCTGCCCTTTGGGGCTCTGTCCAAGCCCCATTCCTTCCCGAGGCCACACCTCACATAAGACCTCGCATTCTCTCCCTTCCTGGGTTTTCTTGCTTGGCTGGAATGTAATTCTGTAAGAGCTCCTCTTTCTTGCCTGGATTGACTATGCAGCCCCCAGAAGGTGGCCCAAGAGGGAATCATAGAATGGCGGGTGGCGCTGTGGGTTAAACCACAGAGCCTAGGACTTGCTGATCAGAAGGTCGGCGGTTCGAATCCCCGCGACAGGGTGAGCTCCCATTGCTCGGTCTCTGCTCCTGCCAACCTAGCAGTTTGAAAGCACGTCAAAATGCAAGTAGATAAATAGGTACCACTCCGGTGGGAAGGTAAACGGCGTTTCCGTGCATTGCTCTGGTTCACCAGAAGCGGCTTAGTCATGCTGGCCACATGACCCGGAAGCTGTACGCCGGCTCCCTCAGCCAATAACGCGAGATGAGCGCCGCAACCGCAGAGTCGGTCATGACTGGACCTAATGGTCAGGGGTCCCTTTACCCTTTACCTTTACGTAGAGTTGGAAGGGACCCTGAGGATCATCTAAGAATCTCAACTAAGGCATCCATGACAGATGGCCATCCAATCTCTGCTTAAAATCCTCCAAGGAAGGAGGGTCCACAACCTCCTGAGGGAGACTGTTCCACTGTTGAACAGCTCTTAGTGTCAGAAATTTCTTCCTGATGTTTAGCTGGAATCTGCTTCCTTGTAACTTGAAGCCATTGGTTTGGGTCCTAGCCTCTGGAACTGGAGAAAGTAAGCTTGCTCCATCTTCCATGTGACAGCCTTTTAGACATTTGAAGATGACTATCATATCTCCTCTTTGTATCCTCTTTTCCATTCTAAACAGACCCAGTTCCTTCAGCTGTTTGTTATAAGGCTTGGTTTCCATACCCTTGATGATCATAGCTGTGCTCCTCTACACATAATGCCTTTGGGCTGAAAAAGATTCCTTGCTTAGACACAGGGCCAGCCCGTCCTGTTCCTACCCCCACTGAAGCCTCAATTACCAGAGTTGTGTGGCTGCAGCTTATGGGTTCCAGTTTGGGTGGCAGAATCCAAGGGGTGACATAGCCCCCACCACCATTACTGGAGAAACAAGGAGAAGCAGCTGCGGCGGCAGCTTCCAATAAGATTTTGCAGGGCTCTCCCAAGATCTCACTGGAACCTGGAAGCCGCCACCAATGCTTCTCGCTTATACAGCAGCAGTGGCACCTGCAGTGGTGCAACCTCTTGGATTCTGTTGTCTAAGGCAGCTGCCTCAGTATGTCTCATGGGTAGGCCAGTTCTGCTTACACATACAGGATTGTACTCAAGACCGACTGGACGGAGGAGACCACACTTTAGGGCTGCTGAAGGATCACTCTGTGGTTATGACTGTCATTAACAAAGACAGTGGCTCTACTGTTAATTGGTCAATTAAGAACACAGGTCAATAGTCTTACTATTAATTAACCTGTTCCACAAATTTTGAATTCTGATTATTCAGCAGTACCCCTCAGGATTTTGAATAGCAATCATTGTGAAAATTGTACTAGAAAGTGTGTGTGGGGGGGGGAATGTGTTCACTAAACTATAATCTCTCAGTTTCTCTTTTAATGGAATGTGATTATGGAATGTAAGAGTAAGAATATAAGAGTTATGCTCTTATCCCACCTTGCAACTGAGAAATAAACTGCATTTTTTATTATTATTTTGTGACTCAATGATCTATGTAACTTAGGAGCAAAATGTCCTTTGTGCCTTAAAAAGATATGAATGAATTTACAGGCAATATTTTTTTTAATGCCATTGGAGCCAACTTTACGCTGAAATTAGGAGGCTGAGCCTCCTACAACAATATTTCATTTGGTGAGAATATTGCTCTTGGCTTATTGAATACGCTGTGTTCTCTTGCATAATAACATTACTATAAATCAGGTTTACTCAGTTCCTAAGAGGAAAGCGTGATCTCAGTTCCAAACGATATTCATCGTGCTAAAAGGATATCTTTTGAGAACCAGTCTGGCGTAGTGGATAGGATCTTGGAGTTAGGCCAAGCAAATCTGTGTTCAGTTCCCCGCCTAGTCATAAATTTGTAGAATGGAAGGGAGATCTCATCCGACCTCCTGCTCCAAGTTAGAAATCTAGAGCAAGAGTATTTACATCAGGTGACTGCCCAGTCTCTTCTTGAAGATCTCCTGTGAGATCTCCACCCACCCAGGAAATTTGCTGGGTGACCTTGGACCAGTTAGACTCTCTTACCCTTACCTACCTTTATGTTGATAAATGGAGGCATCCATGGCAGGCCACAAAAAGGCCAAAAAAAGGTCAGTCTTCAGGCCTGGGGGCTGGCCCTTTAAGATTCACTCCAGACAAAGGTGTAGAGCTTTGATAACTTCAGGGATAGCTGTTGAGATGTTAGACTACAATAACTTTACCAATCCTGGCTGGGGCCCATCGGACTTGTAGTCCAGCAATATCTGGAGGGCACCATGTTGACTACCCTTGATCAAAGCCCTGCTTTACAAAACAAAGACATATCTCTATTATTAGAATGTAAACATATGCAGAAGTATTTCTACACTAATACTGGAAAAGTGCAAATGCTATCTTTGTTGACTAAACATTGTTTCTCCCTTGCTGTGCTGAAGTTTTTGCTGGAAATGATGTGGCGAAGCACATTAGGACCAGCCTCTTTTAAGTAGGAAACATTGTGTACAAAGGGGAGTTGGGTATTCAATTTAAAGCATAGGATTCCAGTTTGGTATGGAATAATTTCCACCTCAATACAAATAGCTATAATAAAGCAGATAAAATCAATAAACGAACTAAAGTTATGATTGTAGTGTGACCATGCATGCATTTGTTACGCAAACCCAGCTATTTTAATTTGTTTGCTGCCACCAGGGATTGGGGTGGTTTCATTTGTTTACTCTGATTAAGAGAGCACATTGCACAGGCGGATGGCATGGATTGCGTGTCCTCAGATTTCCAGAGTAAGTTATTATTCACAAAGTCATCATCCCTGAGGAATTTTACTTTCATTCAAAAAACTATGTTACCCCTGTGGAAATGTGTGTGTGTGTGTGTTCCATTCTGTAGAAGAAAGGTGTTAAATGGCCCATTTGCTCTAGAAGGAGAAAACCCTGCTGGTTTAATTTTATCTAATTGCAATCTTAAAGCATACAGACATAATTGTTCTTGTAATGCTTCTCCGAAACGGCTTTGGTTTATTACTTTACCCGCAAGGACATCTATTACACAGAAGTGCCAAAGGTGATAGTCCCAACTCAATGGGATAGATTCATAATGTGGCACAGGAATATTTAAACCTTGCCCCCACCCCCATACAAGGGAGTTGGATTTTATTTGATGTATTATTTCCGTTTAGCAACCGCTTACTTTCTGAAGATCTCAAAGGGGTTCCCAGTCAGTCTGTCTGTCTATCTATCTATCTATACATACATACATACATACATACATACATACATATCTATATGTCTATCATCTCTACACAATAAGTAAAATAAAGACTAGAATTATTTCTGTGAAACAACAACACTCAAATACTTAAACAATATCCATGTTCATATGAATAATCAGAGATCAGTACAAGACAGTATAATGCAAAATTACAACCAACATAACACACATTAGTCATGTAGCCACTCACCCAATCTCACTCACCATCCATTGCACAGAACCACAACAGTCATTTACTACTTTGAATATTATCTCCGTCAACCAACCACTCATACTCAACAACATAACAACCTACAGTACCTACAAAGGATGACTGCCAATCATACACATGTGACATAGTCTCCCCATCTCCAAAGCACTAAAGAGCTCATGCCCCACACCTACTGGACCATGCTAGGATATCTTACCTGAGGGGGGGGCAGTTCTATACCAGAGCAAACATTGTCCTCACAAACATTTCAGTTTGCCAAATGGAATGATTCCCCCTCTCCTCTCCCTGTGTGCTGTTCTTGGGGCTTTGCAACTGCCCAGAGCCAATTTCAGAGGCACATGGGGGCAAGAGGGGGTAGAGCTTGGTTGTGCTTGCTGCTGGTGGTTAAGTGGATCCCACACATAAGGTTGTATCCCCCTAAGTTATACTCAGAGTAGACCTATTGAAATAAATAAGTTAGTCATGGCCATTATTTTCAGTGAGTCTGTCCTGATTAGGGGGATACAACCCAAATACAGGCAGCCCCCTGTTTACTCGGAGGTAACGAGGCACCGCCAGCAAAATCATGTATAATTGAAACCCATTGGAAGAGTCTGTAGTCACCCCACTCTGCCCAATTAGTGACATTTCAGTGATGCCTTTATGACGTTTCCATGTACCTTCTGGGTTCAGCGTGATGTGCATATACACAGCTGTACACATATTGAATGCATGTAAATGGGGGACTGCCTATATAGCAAACTCCTACCTTGCAATTTGATTATTGCTCTATTAGCACAATGTGCTCTATTATATGACATGAGGAAAATATTTTTGAATCTTAAGTGTTTGCGTTGGACCCACTGGTCATTTGGCATCTACCCAATGGACAAGGTATCTACTAAATGAATATATACTCTTTATCTTGTTATTATATCTTTATAGAATATGGCCACATGACAACAGGGCTGTTCTTTCAGATTCTGAGGAGAAAATATTTCTGTTTATCAGTTTTTTAAAAAAGATTTCTTAGGCCATACAATATTTTTTTCATGTGAACTTGGAAGAGTAATTGTGGTTAGTTTTCAAATAAATGAAAGAAGTAAATTATTCACACACTTTTAGGGGACAGTGCTCTTCTTCTGTTGGTATAGATCAAGCAGCACCATTGAATTCAGGTTAAATCATATATGAAGAAACTGTGTGGGAGATCAAAAGCTCAGGGTGGCTTTTATCAACTCTGCCAGTTACACTGTTTAGCCACTGAGTAAAGAAAAAGGAGCAAAGAGAGACTGACAGCTTTTAAGTTGTTAGCCATTTTTGAAGGATTAACAGCAGGCTGACACTCAACATTCTTTTTATGCTATTAACTGTCTTACTTTACACAAATTACTCTAATTAATTAATTGGCAAATTAAATATCAGTGCCTTAGCACAGTTAGAATTTTTACAAAGTTTAATAAAGGTACATTTTCTTGACTGAACAGCACAGGACAAATTACTTTTATTAGGAATCTTACATGGGATGGATCTTTATAGATTATTGGAAGCAATCCACATTTTAAATTGAACGGGTTAATCACTGTTACCAGAGTTGTTTAACTAAATATTTTGCAAGCTTGAGAATTCTGAATCCAGTGCTAAGACTGGATAAATGGATTTATGCTAATCCACCGGATAGTTTTAAGCACAGAACTCTGTGGAGCAATTCAGCTGATTGACTGCTGGCCTTTGAAAAACACTGCATTCTGCTTGTCTAGAGTACGCATAACTCTGAATACATAGTAGCTGTGACCATATATAACACCAAACTGCCTGGCGCCAACATTTGTGGATTTTCAGCGCCAGCTAAAGTATGCTTCTCTTTAATGATATGGGTTCTTGATGTATTAGGCTCAAGGTCGACCCTACCGTTAGACATAATGAGGCAGCTGCCAGAGATGGCAGGTGCTGGGGGCAGCTCCCCCTTCCCTCAGCAGCGCCTACAGGTAGCCTGTTGCCTTCAGGTGCAGTCAAGGTCCCTCTCCTGTTGCCAGTTCACTTGGTTCTATATATAGAATGAGAGTGTACCATCTTGTCCTTTGCCTCAGGCAGCAAAATGTCTTGGGCCCACCCTGACTAGGCCACTGATATTTGCAGTGAGCGGTGCAGTTGTTGAACTGGTTTATATTGTTTTAATGTTCTTAATGGACTTCTTGTAGGGTTCATTTGATTTTTATATTTGATACATCCCACTTTGGAGTGACTTGAAGGGTGGGGTAAAAACCAATTTAAACAATTCATGGCTTGGCATTATGTGAATGAGCTGCAGGAAGCCTTGAAATCATACACTCTATCCTCTTTTCTTTCCACATGGCTGGAAAGAGGATTTTGGTCTATTTTCCCTGAATCTCAGCTTATTGCTGTATCCGAATGGAATCTCAGCTTTTTGCTGTCTCCAAATTGGGGATCAGGGCTTGCACACTTACTGTGGTCAAACAAGCCAGCTTCAGAAACCATGGTTTGAAATTGGCTTGTTTTGACACTGAGAAGGATTAGTTGATTCCCACTTTGGCTTCAACAATGAGCTGAGATGCAGAGAAACTGAAAATAAATGCTACTGGGGTTCTTTTTCTGGCTTTACATGAGAGGAGGGAGAACATAGGTCTGTTGCTTGCTGTGGCCCATTGACTCAATGCTAAGCCATGGTTTGGTGTTAACGTCTCAACACTGCCAGTTGCCTATGCAGCATCCAGCATCCATCTCTCCAGACTGCGTGTCATATTATAGGTACAGCATACAAAAAGAAAACAAGCCCAGGAAGATAAATTGTCTCAAACGTGTATTTGGAGAATGCTGCCTGCTTCCTTTCCTCAGCATGATAGCTTTCTTCTTTATGTATTTTGAAGCACTATGAGTTTGCATTGAATTTGTTTATTTTGTCAGTCTTATTTTTTTCTGCTATTGTGTTTTTGATAGGATTATAGGGACTGTAATGTTTGCACATTTTAAAGATGATGATGATTGTGAGCCACTTTGAACCCAACATTGTTGTTGGAAAAGTGGAATACAAATATCAAATAAAAAATCAACTCTACCAAGTGTACTACAACCTGCATGCTTACACAGAACCAGCACCAGCTGATGGGTTGATTTAAATGAGAGAGTGACCACATGGGAAATGTTTCCTTATGTCCTTGGCTTCTCATTCAAATCTGGCCTGACAGCGCCAACTGGGGAAGAAGGTTGTTGGCAGCATGTCACCGCGTACAGGGATATTTGGATCTTGTCCCTGGACTCCAACCAGAGGGCCCTGTTAAAAGTGTGTGTTCAGAATGTGGAATGAAATGAGAAATGCACTTTCAGTAAAAAGGAAGAAAGAAAGAAACCTCTTGTGGAAATGTTTTGTTCTTGCTGTTTGAGTCTCGGCGCTGAGGCAGTCCTTTGATCGTGGATATTATTGCTGTTGTCTTTTCCTAGGCAAAGGAGATGTTTTTGGGGATGTCTTCTGGAAAGAAACTACCCTTGCCCAGTCTTGTGCTAACGTAAGGGCTCTGACGTACTGTGACCTTCACGTGATCAAGAGAGATGCCTTACAGAAGGTGCTGGAGTTCTACACAGCCTTCTCACACTCATTCTCCAGGAACCTCATCTTGACCTACAACCTGAGGAAAAGGGTAAGGGGTTATTGTGTGCTTATAAGGATGGTCTTGGGTTGGCTCTTTTCCTTTTCGATTGATTCTGTCACGATTTTTTTTAAAAAAATGGAAAATGAGGGTGTATGAGAATCCTCACTGGTAAACAACTCACCTACAGGCATATTTGCACTACAGTGGGGTATAACTTGGGCAACAATCTGCTCCTCTGTTTCCTCACTTTGCACGCTCCCTGCATCCCTCCCCTCCCCCAGTTCCGGAATTTGCACTAGGGATTCCTTTTTTTAAAACAGAATAAGACTTTATTTAGAGTTCAACAATAACAAAGGGGGGGGGGAACCACAGTAGTTGTAACATCAAATCATTACAATTAACCAATTTTAACATTTTATAAATACTAATAAAGAAATTATACACTGGGGATTCCATAGATTTTTTTGGATTCAGCCCATATACAGTGGTACCTTGGTTTAAGAACAGCTTAGTTTACGAACAACTTGGATTAAGAACACTGCAAACCCGGAAGTAGGTGTTTTGGTTTGTGAACTTTTCCTTGGAAGCAGAACATGTTGAGTGTGTTCCATTTGTAAATTGAGTCTCCCGCTGCTATGGGAAAGCACGCCTTGGTTTAAGAATGCTTTGGTTTAAGAATGGATTTCCGGAACGAATTAAGTTTGTAAACCAAGGTACCACTGTATTGATTCACACCAGTTTACCAGAGAATTTTCTGCATCCCAGCAAACTAATATAAAATTACCGTGGAGTCAATTACAATGAAGCATGATATAGAAAATGTGTCAAATTGGTGGGCAAGGTGGGGATGTAAAAAATCCAATGTCTGTTGATATGCCAGTGTTCCTAGGAGACCCTGAGAACTGTAGCGCTGCTCAAGTAAATTCTCAACACCCTTTCTATGCTACAATTCCCAGGATTGAGAATCCTTGGCCTTGCACAAATAACCATAGATTCCAGAGTTTCCTAGCAAGAGGGAATGACCGTTAAAATCTGTAATGGAGATAGTTTCTGCTTCTTCACAACTTCGATATCCAGCAAATATGCCTCAAGCCTTCTTCCTTATACCTCTATTTTTGTATATGCTCAGAAAGTTGTGAAGACGGGGGGGACGGGACGATTGTGCATATATTTAGTGCATTCTTCCCCCACCCACAAACATTTGCTCAGCACTAAGAACAGTCCGCTATTGCAAAAACAGAAATGCAAACAGCAACATCAGCACTTTGAAGGATAGAATTAAAGAATTGCCATAAGAGGTTTTGTGGGAAGCATATTCTAAAATAAAGAAGTCTCCAAACTGAAGTTTGTGTTAGTGTATAAGAGTAAAGAAAAGCATATAGTAGAAATATGACTGTGAATGTAACATGGAGAAATCCTGAAGTATGACATGAAATGAGGCCTCAGACAAAAGGGAGGCTACTCAGAGGTGAAGATTGAGGCCTGTTCTCTTTTCTGTGTTTGGCTCCTCTGAGTTATTCTCGACAACCCTTGAAAGTGGCAAGTAGCTGTCACTTCATCCAGCCAGTCAGATTTATTAACAAGAAACCGTTGCTGATCACAAAAATAGCACCAGCATGTTTTAACATAGGCGATTCCCAGTCTACAAGGCCCCATGTTGCACTGTGAAATCTTGTCTGAACTGTGAGGGCAAATGTTAAAACCTTATATGTAGTGTAATTATCCCAACCCATCAAGAAATAACAGATTTTCTACGTATTTTTTTTTTTAAAAAAAGAAATCTTCCTGGTAGAATTAGACAGGGAGCAATGCAGTACATAATGAGCAGCATTTTCCACACCTCCTGGACTGTAGGTACATAAATGATGGCTTAAAGGTATTCTGGCACATCCGCTGTGCTTTGCTGTGGAATGGTTGCGTGGGCAGTTAGTATGTGTATTTATTTACTTGAAGACAGATATAATTGAGCTCCCAGGTCTGTGGCAGAAAATTGGCAATTGGTGTACAATGTTTGCCATGGTTTGCACGATATGGTTGCATTCTGCTAATGCTTTGAAATAATCTCTCAGACGGAAGAATCAAATACACTTTTGGTTGTGGGGTTTTGTTTTAGCTCTGCATCATTTCTGGTGAGACGGTATGGGCTGCTTTCTGTGGTAATATATTTTAACAGTGTTGGAACTGTTGCTTCAGATACAAGGAAGATAGGAGAAAGCCATGAAATCTGATTAAAAGCCAGAAAAAGGCTTTACAAGGGTATAGCTTTGCAACTATAATTGGCACCGTGCAATGAGCGTAACCTATTTTGTCAAGACATTCCTTTATTATAGCTTCAAATACAGCATGGAATTCTTTGGCCTAATTAATTAACCTGTTCGTTAGTATGTTTTGACGGAGACGTGTGAGAATCACCACAGCGTTATGTGCCATTTTTTATACCTGCCAGTGGAAAGACTACTTATTTGTTTTCAAAATCATGTTGGCAGCAAACAGAGTTAATCATTTCATTATGCCCTGTTGAATTGAAGTACGCACTCAATTAGGTGCAAGCAGAATAAATTAGAGCAGGAAAACCTCAATACAAAGTGGATATTTCCTTCAGATTAACGCTCAAGATCCCTTTATGAAGGACCACTGGATAGTTAAGCCCAGTCAAAGGCGACTTTGGGGTGTGGTGCTCATCTCGCTTTCCAGGCTGAGGGAGCCAGCGTTTTGTCCACAGACAGCTTTCCAGGTCACGTGGCCAGCATGACTAAACCACTTCTGGTGCAACGGGACACTGTGACGAGTGCCAGAGCGCACAGAAATGCCGTTTACCTTCCCGCCACAGCAGTACTTGTTTATTTACTTGCACCGGTGTGCTTTCGAACTGCTAGGTTGGCAGAACCTCGGACAGAGCAATGGGAGCTCACCCCTTCCTGCGGATTCGAACTACCAACCTTCTGATCAACAAGCCCAAGAGGCTCAGTGGTTTAGACCACAGCACCACCTGCTCCCAATGAAGAGATGCATGGCGCAGCCACCCCATATATCACCTTCTCCAGTGATGTGCAGTTGAAAGGCTGCCTGATGTCACATCAGCATGAAAACCAGCACATTTTTTTTATGGGCACGCCTCTGCAGCTGCCGTCCCGAATGGGGGCACTCCCCGCCCTCCCTCTCACCTCACCTGAGAAGCATGCTGAGCAGGAACTGGGAGAGGATGGGTCCTTGCATCCCTTGGCCATGCAGCATCACCCGCCGGTGGGGGAAGCAGGCAGACAGTGAGAGTGGTGGCAGTGCCCAAGGTGGAGGAGGCAAGCACACATGTCCCGCTGCAGCTCTGTCCAGCGGCAGCAGTGCTGCATGGAGGCGCCAGTTGGGGGAGCAATGCTTGCCTTAGGAGGCATAATGCTTTCCTTGCCCTGGGCTTTGGCAACCCTCGCTATGCCACTGTTTGTAAGCAATTTCCCCTAATGAAATGCATTTTTGCATATTTCCTTCACAGACAGTGTATATTGTTATGCAAACTTTATTATTTTTATACACATTACCTGGCTGGAGAACTGCACTGCAAAATTTTGAAAAGTGGCTGCGTTTTGGCTCACTTATTATTTTGGGTATTGTGAACTAGTTAACTTTGTTTTCAAATACACATTGGGACAACTTTCTTTCTCATTCCATTCCAGCTTAAGGAACTGCTATCCACGTCTGCTACTTTTTTTTAAACCAGAGCTTTCTTTATGCTAAGCTTAGAAGGGTTATCTGCGGATTGATTTGGAAAGACATATTCAGGCAAAGGAACTTCATTCTTTCCCTTTCATGTTATTCTATGAAACATTTATTATAGAAAGCACATTCCATCATAGCAATTTCCATCTGATTATTGAGATAATGGTATTTTAATTGGATTGCAGTCAGTGATAAAACTGATGCTGATTGATGGTGAGAATGGTTAAACTTGATTAGTATTAAGTAAGTGAACTGCATTCTTTTTCTTTTATTTGCAAGAAGCTGATTGCAAATTAGAATTGGCTACCCTGAGTTACCCAGCACACTTATTTTGCAGGCTGCAGAAGATGTAAACATTGTGTTAAGAATATGGATAAGGTATACCAGATGGGAAATGTTGAAGAAAAAATACAATCTGTTTTGAGCAAAGTGCTTCATTCATTACCCATAGGTTGCATTCCTGTTTGTGCCACAAATATTTCGGTTTCTCATGCTTTGAGTCTTTAAGGATGTTGTGTGTCTGTGAGGGAGGAAGAGCTAGAATCTAGGCTTTAGGTGAGTATAATTCTATCAGTTTAACTTGCATGGGAATCATACACAACAAAACATTGAAGAATGGAACAGTTAACAATTGTGTCCTTGTGAATCAGGTCATCTGTCTGATTGCTTAACTTTTTTTTTAAAAAAAGAACTGCATGCCCATTTATCCTTTTGATAAAGAAAGGCATGTTGAATGCATAGTTAAACTATGGAACTCACTTCCACATGGGGCAGTGATTGCCATCAACTTAGATGGCTTTAAAAGAGGATTAGGCCAAACCATGGAGGAGAGAGGTATTGATGGCTGCTAGCTGCAATGGCAATGTTCTATCTTCACTGTCAGAGGCATTATGTCTCTGATCACTAGTTTATGGGAATCACAGGTGGGTAGATGCTGTTGTGTTAATGTCCTGTTTGCAGGCTTCCCACAGTCATCAGGATGCTGTCTTAGATGGGTGATTGGCCTGATTTAGCAAACTCGTCGTATGTTCCATTTATAACAGAGATACATTCCACAGTGACTTGTAGCAGGGCCTTCTCAGTGATGGCACCCCAGTTATGAAACTCCCTTCCATCGGAGATACTTTTGCACCCTCCTTCACTGACATCTTTTAAAAGTCTGTGAAAGACCTTTTTTGTCTGGACTTTGGGGACAGAAGAGGTGGCTAACCAGCTTCTGTTTACTGTGACTTCTGCATTGTTTGTTTTGTAACTGAATTGTAAATTGTATACTTTTGCAGTATTATGTTATATTTTACTGCATTCTTTGTATACTGCCCTGAAAACATAGGTTGGAGGATGGTCTAAGAATGCAAAAGAATAACCATAAAAGTCATTCCCTGTTATAATTGTATCCCTTCATGCAAGTTGCAAATCTTCTCTGGGGATTTGAATTTCAGAGGAAAGCTTCTGATAGCACAATTACTAAACAATAGACACTTTCGACAGAGAAACCTTCCTCACTGAAACTCTTCTGTGCTGAAAACCTGCAGAACCAGAACTTTTGCCACTCATTTGATGGTACACCCCCCCACTCCGTTATTATACA